ATGTCATGTAATTGCATATAGCCAATGAATGGTGACTTGGTGACTATATTCAATTAAAAGTGAGATTCCTTGGATTATCCAAATTGGATTACTTTATTAGGTTCAATAAAGATTAACTAATGAAAGCCTGTAAGCTTACATGTTAAGAAGGTTAGACACTGATTATGAAATATTGAGATTGGTAAATATCAATCAGTGGGCCTATTCCTATTCCTAGAACTGGTATTTGTATAGGAATTGTATGTTTGTTTTTCAGGATGAGAGTGGCTGTCAGATAAAGATTGAGAGCCGAGATTGTGAAAAAGACGGCCAAGCGAGAGTTGATCTGTTTGGTGTTGGAGAATGTAGGGATGCTGCACGAGGATTAATTGAAGAAATCTGCAGCCAGCCCCCTAGGGAAGGGGGAAGAGGGGGGTATGGTGGACGAGGCGGTGGTGGATATGGAGGAGGCAGGTCTTATGGAGGAGGGGGCGGGGGTAGATCTTATGGTGGAGGTGGAGGGGGGAGGTCGTATGGAGGTGGAGGTGGTGGGGGATATGGGGGTGGTGGAGGTGGAAGGAGGGATTATGGTGGGGGTCGTGATGATTACAGATCAGGCGGTTATTAATATAAAATCACAACCCATCTCTGCTGAAGGCTGTCTTCCGTACAGCTGATCTAATGTTTTATCTTTAATTATGGCTTGAATTGCCTAAATTGGTGCATGAGGCATATATTGGCTTTTCTACATGCCAGTATAGTATTAACATTAATTGTGTACTTGTTATTTGTTAAAAGAAAACCACACAATACACCAAATCCAGTCTTTTTGCGATTAATACAAATTGCTTTATAGTATACATGTGTCTACCTAATTCAACAAATCCATAGAAAATGATGAGTATCGTTAAGAAGAAATGATTGAATATATTGATGTTCATCAGTTAATGCTCGACCAGTCAGTTGATGAATTGTTGATAAAATTATATTTCCTAAATAAGCTTACATCTGATGGTCTGCGTGAATTTACTTTTTAAATAGGATAATTGATCGCCCAGGTTTTTATCATTAGATTTATTAAATGTGAGATTAGAACAATCTATACCGGTTTGTGAAATTACAACACTTAATGTGGTATAACTTGTTGAAATTGAATATGAAACAAAATCCTAGTTAGAGCTAAAAAGTGAAGAAGGCATTTATTTGTGAGAAGCCTAAATTTACAAAAGATCAACAGAAAGATGAGAAAAAAATCCAACTAATTAATAAAAGTTCAAGAAATAATTCCAACTGGAGAATTGAATGGCGTAGATGTTTGGAGGATGGAATTTTCTCGATTCTATTGCAAGTCCTATTTTGAAAACTTTTATATAAAATGATTGTTATTTAATTGAATAGTATCAATGTCAGAAATTCATTGAAAACTGCACAACCGGAGTCAGGAACTGCCAAACAATGTCGTCGCTAAATCCATTCATGTCTTTATTCATGCAAATAAATTAATCTTTATGTTCAGTCTAAAATATTTGAAATGGTAAGTATAGTTAGAATAACCATGTGCTGGTCAATAGATGTTAATTTCTGCGATGCCACTTAAATTACCATATAAAGTAGTAGCATCTATTCTGATTTATGCCGTAATCTGTTGATTAACCAATATAAATTGCAGAAAATAAATCTTATCTAAGAAATAGAATGGTGACAATTTTACAAACGTGTGAATAGCTGATGATTTTCATAGTGTTTCATCAAGTTTCTGAGTGCAACTTCCAATGTATTGAAAACGTACAATTGTCTTAAATGTTGTTTTTCTTGAAATATGCTCATGTGGTCATCATTAATAGGAAGACTTGAACTTTTTGATCATCAACATAAATCAGCACAAATTAGTAATAACTGTGTGATTTTAGAATACCTTGAGTAAAATAATCTCTATAATTGATGGAGACACCTTAATAAATTAAATGGATTGCCATGAATTGCTGCTAATCATTATAAATGTGGAATGATCTGAATAAGCTTACATATATTCATTTTACCCACTTTTGCTAACAATCCAAGACACATTGATTTTAGTGGATACCAAATATAATTTGATGAATAGACGACGGAAGAGGAATTAATAACCTCTGAATGTGTGTTGATGATCGTTTCCAATCTTAACCTGTGAAAATGACTTTGACAGTATATTTTTAATTATGATTTGAAATGAAATTTATGTGTGACTTGTCTGAGAACAAATGGGGTTATTGCTCTACTGAAATGCATAATTAAGTTTTATTTTTAGTGAACTTAATGCAATTGATATACATGTATGGAATAATGAGATGAATTTGTGAAGATCAACTGTTCTTATTAATTAAAATGATGAAAATGTCTTGCCTGGTCCTCGTTACAGGATTTTTACTAGTAAACATTGAAAGGATGATGGTGGGAACTGCATGTATTTGAAAGTAAATAGTAATAACCCCTGATGTTTTACATAGAGTATGATCCATAATTTATTTTTGTGAAGAACATTTGTACTTCCACACACAATGTATTTGAACTTATAAGGGATTTTTATTTAGGGTACTAGAACTTTTAAATATGTACATGTATGTTGATAATGGTAATGTGTTTATGCAAAAAGGCAATGGATAATTCAGACCCAGTAATGATAATCTTGTATTTTGGAAATGACCTGTTTAAACCAGAGTATTTAAATTCTACAAAGCGGGTATAACCTAATGTCTTGATAAATAGCTGATGATTACCCCAAAGGTTTATAAATAATGGATAATAACCCAATGGCTTGATAAATAGTGGAATATAACCCAATGTCTTGATAAATAGTGGAATATAACCCAATCACTTGATAAATAGCAGAATATAACCCAATCACTTGATAGAGGAATATAACCCAAAGACTTGATTAATAGCGGAATGTTACCCAATGACTTAATAAATAGCGGAATGTTACCCAATGACTTAATAAATAGTGGAATAAACCCAGTAACTTGATACAAATGTAAATAGCAGAATATAATCCAATGACTTGATAAATAGCAGAATATAACCAAGTGACTTGATAAAAAGTGGAATATAACATACATGTATATCTCAATTACTTGATAAAATGAAAGCAGATTATAACTCGGTGATAAATAGTGGATAAATACCTATTGACTTCATAATAGCAGATGATTAACCAGTGATTAAAACCCAATATCGTTATATAGCAGATGTAAAACCTATGACATAAATATTAGATTTTAGTCCAATGACATGATTAATGTCAGATAATAATCTAATGTCCTGAAAAATAGAGGATCATCACCCAGTTACATGTACTTAATTGGATAATCAGTAGCGGATGATGGCGTTTTTAACCATATGATTTGTTAAAAGAACAGATTTCTATTGGAATGATAGATTTTGTCCGATAAGCTTATGCAATAATATATATAATGGAATTGGATTATATTTCTGAGGGTCAATTTTAAACAAATGAATTATTTCCCATGTCTTGATGAATAGCTGCTTAATTAATGATCAAAAGGGGTTATAAAATATTTTTTGGGATCTGCCAATGGAGGGTTTCTATGACTACAGAAAAAAAAGGCTAATAGATTGAAAGTGTAAGTATTGACTTTAAGTAAGTATTGACTGGATTCGCTAAATTTTTATAATCCATTAACCTTTCAAGTAGCAAATATCCATTATTTTTTAGCACGATTTTATAATGTTTAACTTTTTATTGATGGGAATTGAAAATGGATACGATTTTAATTTAAACTAAATAAAATTTATAAGTGGTAAAATAGCATTCTGTTTTAAATGTTAAATTCACACTGTTTAATTGTGCAGCAATCTGATTAAAGTACAGATCTATATTTCGTTTCGTTTTTTTTACACTTTTGATGGCCTCTACTACATGAATAGTTGATCGGTTGTAGTGGAAGGTTGCGTCAGGGTTCATACGAGTGGCTTTTGACCCTATGACGTTGGAATTTGATCAGCCAATTAGTGTTGTTTCTAGTGGGCTATCCACAGTTCCGTGCACCTCACGCCAATAACTCTTCGTAACAGACCATTTCATTCGGTAATCCCACACACCATCCAGAACGCGGGTTATATAACAACTATTCCAGATCCTAGTGTAGTAAATACGAGTAAAACAAAATTTTGAACTATAAAAACGAAACGGGATAGGATCTGTGTTTAAATCCGATTGATAGCTACAAGTACAACAAAATCTCCATGTGAACAAAATCCACAAATTGGTCTCAGTCAGACTTGGAAGAGAACAGATGATTGACTGTAGATCTAAAAATATTTAACTCTGAAATTTAGTTTTAATGTCCTACTTTTCTGCACTGACTGGGCTAATGAGGAGAGGAATACACCATGCAGTGTGTTATGAGTGAAATTTTTGTATACAATAACTGCTTCTAATTGTAGAGGTTGGTCATCAGTTATTAAGTCAGTGGCGTAGTTTTAAACTGCTTACGTACAGGAAAAGGAATAGGGTTGCCTGCTCAAACTTTTGGGTTTACTCCTGGTCCTCCCACTGCTACAAGCAAGCAAATTATTGAAGTAAATTAGCCCAGAAATGAAATAGTTTGTGTCGAGTGGACGTTAAATCCCATTTATCTCTCTGACTCTGAGGTAGAATCTTCAAACTTGGAATAGGCAAATGCCTGGACCGGATTTCATGATGAGCATTTTTTGCTTCGGCTAAGCAGAGATAAGCAATTTGATTTATTGCTTTTGGACACAATAACTTTGATTCCGAGTGAGTGGTAAGCAATTTGATTGCTTGATGCTTTACAAAACGATGAGTAATTAATGAGGGGACATCATCCTCAATGTTGGCTTGTTTGTGTTGTTCAGGAAGGATCGTTGCTCAGAAAAGATGCTGTATTTCCATAAAAACACCACTCCATTTATAAGAAGTTGTGGCTGACACCAAGAGAAGTTCACAGCTTAAAATTTTTGTTCTACTTTTATATTCTTGAGAAAATAACACCAGCAGAATATAGCTTATTGGATTTTTATTTTTTCATAATTCAAGGAAAATATGAAACATTCATGAACCTTGTAATTGTAATGCAAGATAAATCTAAAATATTTATTGAGACACAAACAGAATAAAAAAAAAATAAGTAGGCTACCTGTTGAGACTTTTTTTTTTAGGTGCATGCCTTGGTTCTTGTCCCAACTAATAAATGTGTAAACTTCCCTTGCATGTCAGCATCACCTGACAGGTAGATACCTGGCTTTCTGCTGTTATAATTAGTCACTTTATGCTGTACCCACAGAATAATTTGCTTGAAAATACAGCAGAAATGCCCTAAGAAAGCAACAAGTAGGCCTACACGATTACAATTATACAACTGTTATTGCACATTCAACAAATATAATAAATTAGATTTTGATATTCCAATAAGTGGAAAAGTTCAATAAATTGAATTTACCTGTCACTTACAGACTGGGATTGTTTAAAACAGTGTTCAGTTTCTATAAATTCCACTTAAAACCTTTTTAATTTCATGTACCTAACCAGTATATAATATTTAACAATTTATATATTACTTTAACAATCAAATAGTCTCTAAAACTATAAAGAATAGAGTTACATTGGCCTTGTCATTATGTATTAGGTTATTATACTTTCCTTTGATATATTTTCTTAAATAATTAATTATACAAAATATTTACAATTTCTTTAAATTTGTTTAAATATACTGAATATATACAGTTGACTACATTGAATATATTATACAGTTTACTATACTGATTATATTATACAATTTACTATACTCATATATAATTTACTATACTGAATATACACAGTTTACTGAATATATACAATTTCTTTTATGGTTAACTATACAGTAAACAATTTCTTAAATAGCTTAAAATATCATTTTTTCTGTAATAGTTTGTGATAAACAGAATTATGTTAAAATTAAAGCTTCAAATATTTTCAAAACAATTTTCGACATCACAAAGTGTACGTTTGGTTATTATTGAGGTAAAATGCATTCTGAGCACATGTCTATTTTTGCCCGCTAACCTACGGTATGATACATATATACATGAAAGACTAAACATAATAAAAAAAAATATCAACATTTAAGAAGTAGAAAGCTTCAAAAGATTGCTAGCACCTCCTACACCATGAGCAGAGGGGAGGGGAATTTGATAACCTGGGGATTTTTTTGATTAAACCCAGATAGTTAAAGATAGGTTGCCACTTGCAAAATCGTTCGAGCAGTCGACAAGGGTTGTCGCATATTTATTCCTTTGTAAGTAATGGGAGCTTTTACAAGACACTAATATTAATTTCATACAGATCAAAGTAATCAACTGAAATTCCATAGACTTCTTCGTTCTACTAATCTAAATAATGCATACAAATTTCATACAGATCGGATGATAACATTTGCCCATAGAGCGTTCACATGAGTCAACAAAGTGAAACATGGACCATAACTCTAAAGGTAATGAACAGAAAATGTTGATATTAAATAGGCTTCTTCGTCTCACTATCGTAAACAACACATATAAATTTCAAAATGATCAGATAATAAATGTAGTCCGTAGAGTGTCCACAAGAAATCGTGGACGACTGATAGACGGAGGCGACGGTAATATACGCCTATGATCGTATAAAAATGAACCAGCCATTGTTGGCTTCAAGCAGATTCAATTTAGGCTAGAAAGTTTCAATTATTAGTAAATTACTAACTGAGCAAAATAATAATTAAAATTGAGTATTGGTATAAAATGCATGGCTACATGTATAATACAATATAACTACCAGCCTCTCCATTTCATTACATATAACAATGTCACAAGTTTAAATCACAGTCTCTTTCTCACAGTGCTCAACTAAATAAGTTAAATCAATATAGCCTGCAGTATAAAAACTAAACGAATTGTTTACCGGTATATATATACACAATATGCACAGATGGTTTACTGTTTTATATACATATATCATATATTTTGACACAATGATATAATACATCAGAAATTCAGAAGTTATAATTCTACGTTTTATCTGTCGTCTTCACTTCTTTTTTTAAAGCTTCATACTTATTGTGTAGTTTATCAAAATTAACTAATGAACCAACAACACTAGGAGATTTGGATGCAGATGGACTTTCTACTTCTGGTGGGGCTTGTGGTTTCATTCTGAAATTATTATAATACATGGGATGAATCTTTACTTGAAATCAATAGTCTAAATTTAAATCAAAAATCAATAGAACCTCAGTAATTAAGTATAATCAGTCTGAAGGGTTCAATATGAACGAAACTAGTAACTGCACACAGGGATAACTGGTTGTCTCAACTATTTTATCTAATTTATCAAATAAAGGAGTCTGTTATCAGTGATTTAAAACAATAATTCACTTACTGGCCTGTTTGATTAAGTCTTGCTTTCTGTATAAGTTTTATTATTGTTTTGTTAGTTGTCATTTCTTCTGGTAGTAATCCTTGTAATGTTCTTGTGTTTAAATCATTTCCTTCGTATGCCTTAAATATATAATATTGTAAATGTAGCTATAAATATATACATCCACTGTAAATATAACGAACAATGCAGGAGAACTGTACAAAAAAATACAACCAAATGATACAACTAGAAGTAATTAATGGAAATGTTGAAATTAAATATGCTTCTTTGTCTCACTAACATAAACAACATATAATATACATATTTTAAAAAAATCAGATAATAAATGTACCCTGTAGAGGGCAATATACAACTACATTTCCATGTGGGCGTGTGAAAATACAATGCAGACAGTATAATAGGCAGATTTAGCTCTTGCATAATGCATCTTTAATTACATACGCTGCTTCGTTAAACAGGTGCTGGTCCAGAAAAAAATACTCCTGTTAGAAGTTAAGTTAGAAGTTAAAAGCTATGCTGGTAAAGGTACACAATAAAACAAAATATATGGCCACATAATAAGTCATCTGTAAAACCAAACTCACCAAGAGTACTTCAACAGATTTACGTCTTCCCATCTTACAAGCTAAATGTAAGGGACTTAATCCATCATCATTTTGAACGTTTAAACATGAAATGTCTGCTGCTAACAAGTTCTTTATAATAGGTAAATTATCTCCCCCTTGTATTGTGTAATGTAAGGCGTTATTACCATTAAACAGATTCACAGCACAAACATGACTTATCAAAGAATCTGAAAAATAACGAAATATTCCAAAATGTAAAAGCGCTACAGAAAGTGAAGTTAGAAGAGTATTTAATGAAGTGATAGGAAACATGGTTATTAATAAAAACTGTTTCACCCAAGCATCAACTTAACAGGAAATTGTTTCGATGTTAATTATCAAATAAACACACCACTTGTGATGCTATGATGTGAATTGTCAGTTGTTGTATGTGAACAAACCAGAAGGACGTGTGGTGATAGCTTGTCTTAATGCTATACATTAACATATGACTAGGTGAAGTCGTTGGATCGAAGGCTATTATAGCTTATGCTCAGAGAAAGCGGTGCTAGCTTATTTATTGACAGTGACTGGCAGTTCCTCTGTGTTAATTAATGGCCAAAAGATTTGCACTTCAGTTTGTGAATGGTTGAAACCATTTTAATACAGAATAGTATACAAATATGTAATGGCTGGAAATTCTTTAATTTACCCTCTGTTGAGAGATTTGAATAGATATTGAAGATACTTACCATGAAATATTTGAAGGCCTTTAGGTTTTTGTACATCTTGTAATAATACTCTTAGTGTTTTATCATTTGTAGTTTCTTGTACTTTTATTTCAGACCTATGTAGAGATAGAAATATCCTTTACTAAAATACTACACATAAAAAGAAAATAACTACATGTTTATAAGTTTAATAAATTTGTCCAGAAACCAATTAAATATTTTAAATGAAAAGATGTCTACTGTTCTTGCTACAGAATGTCATATTGCACATGCTCTTAAAATTAATAAGTATTTTTACAAGTTGTCATCTTTTAACTTACATATCATCTAAAGATGGTGATATATCACCACTATGTTGTAGATCAGCACCTCCTATATTTACTTCTGTTGATTGGTTAAAATTACCACTTACTAGAGATACATTTTCACCTAAAATTAAAGAGGACAATTTAAAGGTGAAAGTATTCTAAGCTGAGCAACTGGTTGACACTTCAATTGGAATATTGTGTCATAACATTACTTATGAACCAGCACGGACGTCACATTACTCACAATATTAAACCTAAGAGTGATAATAATATATGTTTGTTCTACACTGTTTTACTCTTAAATTTTCTACACAAGTTATAACTTACCATCATCAGATTTAAATATCTTATTGTTTCGTTTAAAAGCCCAGGTATGATCTAACACACCCGAATCAGCATCTGAATCATCCCCACTGTAAAACAATAAATTATATCGTTACAACATCTTCTGTTGGAGGGGGAACCAAGTACTCTAAAATCTCTGGTTTTAGATGCATATGGTCAGAACAATTATAAGTAAATTTCTATGAAGGATCAAGTCTAAATCAAGCGACAAGTAACACTGCTTAAAGATGCATTATTAAATAGTTAAAAAATAGATAATGAAAAAAATGAATATGTCATTCAAATCAATTTAATCCATGTAGCATCAGTTGTTTAATATTGTAGCAACAGTACTTGACAATTAAGACTAAGTCTCAATTATCTATTTCATCGTTAAATTTTCAATTGTTGCAGGTGTTCAAATCCATTTAAATCTCGATTATAGGCTTAATAAATATCTAAATAATAGTTTATATAACATTTGACGCCAAAACAAAGACCTGAAATGGGAAGATTTAGCTCTGACATAGATCATTTTTAACAATTGAAGTTTTGAATGTCATTTAGAAGATGTAATTTAATTAAATTAAATTTTCTGGCACAAACTTCTTTAATTTAGTCTAGTGGTGGGTGGTTGATTATTCAGTTATTTTAAAAGACAGATTTATAAGTCAATAGTTAGGGCAATTTCTATCATCAAAGATTCAAACTATTGAAAAACAGAAGTATGTCATTCCCAAAAATCTACACATATATTTGACAGTAAACAATGTGTACGACTCATACATAATCCTAAAATATCATGACTTCAGCAATAGATTGGCAAAAATGTCTCAGATTTTGCATGCAATCCCATTGGACCATTCCTGATATAACTGTATATTCTATTCGTTGCAAATTGATCACTATTTTTACCGACTGAAATAGAACTAATACGTTCTAATGTCTGTGTACATTTCAGTTTCAATATTTATATAAATCTACCTGTCATCTGCAGGCATATTAGAATAAATAGCAGAATCTAGTAATATCTTAACCATCTGAAGACGGCCATGATGACAGGCCACCATTAACGGTGTGTCACCTTGCTTAGTTCGTAGATTGTGGTCAAATCTTGGCTGTAAACATAAGAGGTATATATATATATATTTACTAGATCATATTGAAATCACATGATTGGGTGACAGCTATATGACTTACAAACCAGGATAGATTGTTGTTTTTGCTATAATAATAAATGTCAGAATAAATGAGAGTGGTTTGTGTAGAAAAATGCTTTAATATGAATAGAAATTTCGTTCATATCTGCAATATAATTACGTAACCCATAAATAAATATTCTAATATATTATTAATCTCTATGGCTGTAATGTAATTTTCATTTATGAATTAATGAAAAAATCACAAATGGTTTCTCAAGAAAATTTGATATTTTCAAACTTATGGTTAAAAAAATTAGCAGTAAAAGAACTATTCTCATAGATCTCTATGACAAAACAAGGGGTTTCTCTACTAATAGCAGTATATAGATAATATTATAACTACTTACTAGCCAAACTTTCTGTAGTAAACTTGGTGCTTTTTTTGATTTATCTGATATGAGCCTCATCACATGTTTAGTATGTTGTTCACGATGCGATTCAATTAACATTCTTACACCCTCATATTCACAACATGTAAACAACAAACCCTGATTATCTAATAATGCTGTTGTAGCCCCATAATTTAACAACAGTTGTACCATCTTACTAAAACCTGTATAAACATAAATACTCATAATTACTCAGATCTTCATTTCTCTAATGACACTCTCATGAAAACAAAAATATAACGACCCAATGGTTGATCTGTATTGGCCTTTTTACAATGAAGGCTTTCAATTAAAAATCGACATGCATTTATTCAGGACTATGGAGTACAATATGTGACCTACCTTTCTCAGCGGCAACTTGTAGAGCTGTTTTATTTTCTGAATCAACTGAGTTAATATCTACTTTCTTTCTCGTACCACCATGATATGATGTTATGTCTTCTGAGTTGTTAGTTTTACAGAAATTAACTAGATGTTCCATTATATGATAATGTCCCATTCTAGCTGCTACATGTAACACTGTGGCCCCTGTAACACCATGACGTTTTCTGATATCTCCTCCTTTCTATTTAAAAAAAACAACCAATATCATTACTACGAATGAAAATATACACGCAAAGACATAACTCTTATTTTATTTTTTTCAGTTTAGAAAGATTAAAGAGGTATTAGGGCTATTCGACTTAATGTGATTTGACTAAATAATTATATCAGTGGAAGTTCAAATTACACTGTATGCAATATTTGAGATAAATCAGACAATTCATGCAAATTATTTAATTGTTTTCAATACGTAAACCAGTGTTTGAGAGTGATAATGTCATTTTAAGATGAAAGAGAGAATGTTACTTGCTAGTGAATAGAATTACCTCAAGTAAAAGTTTCAGTACATCTAAATGTCCATTTTCAACGGCTAAATACATTGGCCAATTTCCAGTGCCAGTCTACAATTTAAAATTGTATAAAATATTATGAAATGTTAATACCATTTCAATATACAACTCTTGTCTGTAACACAAACCCCCAGAAGAAGTTATCATGACTACCTTCAATTCAAGTGTTGATAATAAGTAATTAGATGATGAGAACAGTTGATCATCCGTGATTTGAAGATGAGGATAGATGATTATCCATAATTAGATGATGAGAACAGTTGATCATCCGTAATTAGATGAGAACAGTTGATCATCTGTAATTAGTTGATGAGAACAGATGATCATCCATAATTAGATGATGAGAACAGTTGATCATCCATAATTAGATGATGAGAACAGATTATCATTCATAATTAGATGATGAGAACAGATGATAATCAGTAATTAGATTATGAAAACAGTTGATAATCAGCAATTAGATTATAAAATAAGTTGATAATCAGCAATTAGAATAATTAAATACGACATGCTTTTTCAGAAAAAATGAAATCTAAATTTTCACACAAAATAACACAAAAACTGTATGTGACACTTTGAGTATTTATGGAGGTAAAGTTTATACTATAAATAAAGATAATGATAATAAAAGTACCTTGGGATTAATACAGTCACCTTCATCTAATAAAACAAACAACTCTTCAGCATCACCATTGAAAGCACATGATAGCAATGTTGGTGTCACTATTTCATCTTGTCGCCTGTTAAATACATATCATAATTTTAAATAAAAAATATTGACACTACTATTTAATTTTAAAAGCTCAAATTTATTTTTTTTTTTCTCATTTCACAGGCAAGACTAACTGCAGGCAACTGATATTAGCCATATGTGGTTATACAATCGGTGACACATTCAGTCATTCATCAAGAAAACAGACTTACTTGTCATAAGCAGCTTTTAATTTGACATGTATAGATGACTTTTTTGACATTCTTAAAGCTTTATGTAATCCCTGCAAAAAAATTACACAAGTTAAAGATGAATTAGTGCTATGGAGGTTTTCATGTATTGATTGATAAATAATTATCCATTTGACGTGATTTCGCAACTGGGATGTACAAAACTTCAAAGCCATTGCTGCGATATAGGCATTTAAATTTTTTAGTGGTTCAACAAAAGCTTATAAAATATAACTTTAGGTCAGTACTTGGATGTTAGTGGGAGCGACAGCCAGAAAATTGCCACATATTATCTATAATTGGTAATGTTTTGGAGAATGAAGTTTAAATGTATATCTTTAGATTTTTGTCATAGAGAATGATTGGAATGAAATATGAATACTTACTGTATAAGCTACAGGGAAGAAATCAAAAAATAGATCAACTATTGGTTCATGATTATTGAAGACAGCATAGTGTAGGGGCAGATGACCCTTCATATCACTTATAGCAGGATTAGCACCTTGTCTAAAATATAATAAATAATTCTCAAATAATTTCATTAACCAATTTCAATAAATGAAGATATGATGTCATCTTGAATGATCTGGTCTGTTTAAACATACATTATGCAAGAGCTGAATCTGCCTATTGTAGGTCTTTCTTTAGGCCTGAAATGTTGTATAAACTATTAATTAGACATTAATTAACGTATCCAGACCATAATCAACTCTCGATGTCAACGCTAGCCTGCGATAATTGTTGGATTATGATCCGATTGGCTGCATAACTTTTCTTCTCGATTTAACGATTAAATGGATAATCAAGACTATGATTTTTGTCGTACCGACTTTAGTAATGATGACAGAGGCTATGCGGAACTTTCGATCGCTTATTTCACGGTTTATAGTGGATCAATTTGACTGAAATTTTCAGCAAATTGCCTTTACATTATCTAGTTTTTAACTATTATAGTGAGAACTGCCAACTCGTTATCTAATCTCCCATAATGTATCTTTAAGAGAGTAACAAGTATATAGAAGATAGCAAGTTGAGTTTCAAAAATAAATGCTAGACCTGAAATGGCGTTTTATCATTGAATATAAACATAAGAATTGAAATGTTGATCTATAATGGTATAAAATGAAAAATATTGGTTTGACAAATGTCAACCTGAATAAATAAATATACAAAGAAACTATATAAAATATGTTAAGTATTAAATTAGTTCTATAATTGGCAGAATATTCTATTAATGAAAGTAGCACATTAAACAAAAGAATCATCTCACTTACAATAACAGTAGTTGACAACATGATCTATAACCATTCTGTGCCGCAATAGCTAAAGCTGTCATACCAGTCTATTCAAATAAAAAAAAAACGGAAACTGACTCCAAGAATGGGTTATATCAGTTCAGAGAACAATAAACTAAGATTTAAATGTAAATGTTTAATACAAATGAAATCTAAAGTATATAGAAGGATGGAAAAGTCTGTTTAACACTTGAACACAACACACTTTCAGGTAAGGCATAATTAAGACTTTGAAAACAAAAGAATTTCAGTTGCTGTAGTAAATGACAGTAGCTGTATTAATCAGTATTAACATGACAGTTATTATACACTTACTTGACAATGTTGAGCATTTATAGTCGTTTTATTTACAGCTAAAAGACGACTCATTGTTTCCACTTGATTGGCTACTGCTGCTGCCATTATTAGTGTATTATTATCATTATCTACAGTATATAAATCTGTAATCAATATATCTGATGATTCTATGGTACCCTGTAATTATAAATAACAATCATCTGGTGAATAGCCTGTAAAATAGTTTGAATCTATTGGGAAATCTGAACAAAGTATACTCTTTTTGTTACCCCTTAGTAACAGCTAATTATATATAATTCCTATACAGTTAGTGTGATTCCCACAAACTGATCACAAAAATACAGATCCTTAGTCAGCTCAAAAAAGATTAAATATGATTAAATTTTCAAAAATTCTTGATTACCTGGTACATCATTTGAAATAGTTTTTCATGAAATGTAAGAGGAAACCTGCCAAATCCATTTCAATTCTTAATCCAGACCGTATGAAATAAAGGAGGAACCTGTGTTTAACACCATTCAAACCTTAATCAAGACTACATGATATATTTAGGAGACACACACTTTCTTTTTCATATTTAGAGGGGTGTTATTCAGCAATAGACATTATTATTTAGGGTTTTAAAAGAACTTATTTTATTGTGTAAAGTTCAAATCGAGCTGGGATTCCTTCTTCAATAACCAGAGCATTGCTGCGACGATCGCGAATACACATTCCTAAGTGGTTGGATGCCAGGCAACGAAACATATGGCCACAGCAACTTAATCATCCGAGCGGTCGACAAGGGCTGTCACACATTTATTCTTTTGTAGATAATTGGGGGCATTTATTTACAAGACAATTTCATACAGATCAGATTAAAATTTTCGTCGTTTGAGGGTTCACACGGTTCTACAAACTGAAACAAGTGCCTTAACTCTGGAAGTAATTTACAGAAATTGTTGAAATTCAATAGGATTCTTCATTTCACAAATTTAAATCTATAGGCTTCTTCGTGTCACTAATTTAAATGATGCATATAAATTCCATACAGATCGGATGATAACTTTTGTTGTTAGAGCGTTCACAAGGTTCAACAAAGTGAAACACGGGCCATAACTCCAGAAGAAATTAACGAAAATTATTGAAATTAAATAGGCTTCTTCATCTCACTAAAGTAAACAACATATATCAATTTCAAAACAATCAGATGATAAATGTAGGCTGTAGAGTGTTCACAAGAAATTGTGGACGACAGATGGGGGCGACGGAAATATACGACCACATTTCCATGTTGGCGTATAAAAATGCTTGAGTTCAAGTCACTGGTAAATAAATTATGAAAGATAATGTTATTCAGATATCTCCAATAAAATATTTTTAAAAAGAATAGGAAATTAGTCTTATTGCGGTGTGATCGTCATTTGTGCAAAAATTCTTGAAGATATTTGTCAATAAAGAATTTTGAGTTGAGGAAGATCATTGAGTACAAAAATGAAAAAAGTACACTGTAATATTTATACGTAGTTAATCGCCTTGCTGAAACAGAGGGGTGTTATTATTCAATCGACAGTGTCTCTAATTGACCAATCAAAATGTAAGATCCCCTCCCCAAGCATATTACAATGGGTAACAGACCTCTTTTACACTCTGACTTAAATTATCCAGTCTTTTCTTTCTGTTATATTTTATTATTTCACAAGAATCATCAGGACCAATGCATGCAGGGACATCATCTGGTCTACGCCCTTCATGATCTTCAACATTAACATCTGCACCACGACGTATCAAACACCTGAAATAAGCAAAGATAGGCTGCCAAGCAACGAAAACATACATCCAAAGCAGGTAAGTCGTCCGAGCAGTCAACAAGGGTTGTTACATATTTATTGTAAGTAATTAAAAAGATACTCAAAACTGATTAAGAGTAACAACCCATAAAGTATTTATTAGAAATAATTAACATTTGATGGGCTTCTAGTTCTTCCAGATGCAAACATTTATTATAAAAAAACATCTAGCCTACCAGTAACAGTGATAGATTTAGCTGTTTGAGTTATTGGAAATCATTGAAAATCAATAGGCTTTATATAACATAAAAACTGTGTATTAATTTCAAGTCAATCGGAAAACAACTCTAACCACTAGGTGTGTAAAAATAAAGGCACTCGAAAAAATAAATTTATAATAATGAGTATCTACAAGATTGTTCGAAAATATCAAGGGCATAACTCTGGCAGTAATTATTAGAAATCACTGAAAATCAATTGGTTTTGTGACCATAAACACGGTGTATGAATTTCAAGTCAATCAGATGACAACTTTAGCCTCTAGCTCATCCACAAGCAATTGTGCAAGTGGACCGACTGGACAGAGAGACAGGGATGAGGACAATATACAACCACATTTCAATGTGAGTGTATAAAAATCTTTAATTTTGTGGCCTACGGTATTGATTATGTGAGGGTTTGTTAGGGTCACTGTTTTAATACAACATCCTACTGATAGCAACTTTATCCCATAACAACAATTATGGGGAGACCATGGAAACAGTATGAATTAAGGTGTTTTGAAAAGAATATTTAAAAAATTGACAAGTCATGGTAATTACAGAAGTATTACTTACTCTACACTTTTTCTATGATTACCCTCAACAGCATAATGTAAAGCATATCTACCATTATGAGGATTAGATTTATTAGGATTGGCACCAAACAGACACATTAACACCTAGAAAAAAAAACTACATTATTACATTATATATAGTACCATATATAGATATAGTGTTCTAAACACTACCACCACAGCTTTTTTTACTATAATAAATCTGGAATGGCTCCTTTCTATAAAGTTTCATTACAGTTGCCCATAGATTACTCATTCTTTATAACAACATTACTCCTCCTTTATATACAACTTTATTATAGTTGCCCATGGATTCCTCAACCTTTATATACAAAAAGACTGTAGAATAGATAAAAATATGATAATGTTAACTTACATCACAGAGAACACTATTTCCAGCTGTAGCTGTTAACATGAGTGGTGTCATACCATCGGCATTACATAATTCTATATCAGCATGTTGTATTTTAACTAATGCCATTATTAATGGTAATTGACATAATCCTTCATTACAGGCTATATGTAGTAGAAAATCCCCATTACTATCACATTCTGTATTTACATTAAAATCAAACGTCTGAAGAAAAAAATAAACCACATCAAAATATCAAATTTCACAATGAATAAATATCCAGATTTTTAAGTATTAACAACCTTTAGAATTAGACAAAAAATCACTTTTAGATAAAATCATCAGTGAGGCTTATGTCCCCTGTCTCAATCTCAAAAGATATTGAAAAATCACTAAATACTGAAAAATCAACAGTAATTACCTAAAGAAACCTAAATACCGAAATATTGAAAAATTATGGACCCATTGGGTTCAACTGCTCCAAGCCTGGTGCATTAATTTCAAGTCAATTAGATGATAACTTTAGCCTTTAGCTGAAAGACGGATGGATGCACTGATGGACTAATAGGTGTGACAAAAATACACAACAATATTTAAAAGTGGATGTATAAAAAGGGGAAGCAAGCTAATTAATCTCTAATTAATATAGAATTGATGAGCTTACTTGTAATCTCTTCTGAATATCATCAAAGTTTTTAGGATTTTTAGCAAGAGAAAAGATGATGTCTTTATCTTGTCGACTGGGGTCTAGTAACGTTCTATTTGTGATGTTGGTATCACGATGATATTTTGGTGGTAAAAGACGTTTTATCTTTGGACAATATGTGACCTGATCAGCTGTACAACCTTAAAAAAAAGTTTTCAAAAAACCTCACTATATCTGACAAAATATTCATATGAAGGGCATGTGTCTGACAGGCTACAGAGTATGCTACAGAGAATGTTTGACAGTGCTACAGAAAGAATGTTTGATAGCTACAGACTGTGTAATATTGAACTCAGAGAAGTTTGTTTTTGTATATTTGACATGGCCACAAATTGTTTTATTGCAATACAGATCAAGTGTATTTGGGCTACAGATTGTGTTTGATGACACTACAGAGTATGCTTGACTGAGTATGTTTGCTAGGGCTACAGAGTGTGTTTATTTCAGATAGAACCTAAAGCTGTATAAGTGTACAGCACTGAACATGTGTAGATAGTGACACATTGGAAACATACTGGATGGAATGGGATTTATTTTCAAAAATTTCACTCATTTTGAGACTAACTTAAGTTATATAATATGTGTAATACAAGGTGGGTTTTAGCCCAGACAGCAGTAGTTCTGTTTATGATTATTGGAATTTCAACTGAGGTCTTTCTTTTGGCCTCAATGGTATATAAATTATTAACTAGACATGTATTCACTGACAAGCCCATAATCAATTCTCTAGACCATGAAATGGTCGTGGTTTAGATGGATTAAAACACGATCGCCATTTAATAATTCAATTTAGAAACGGATAACCAGGAATTTTTTTTTATTATCGTAATATTGGTAGCCATGAAAATTGAGACTAAGCAATACAGAAACATCCAATGTTCTTAGCTTCACTCGGAATAAAGTAATTTAACTGAAATTCTCAATATTTTTTATTATCTATCTTTAAGCCAATATATTGAGAACTGTCAGCTCTTTATCTAAATATTATATTAGACATCTTCAGTGTGAAAATGCATATATTTAATTGACGCGTATATTATCTCCCTGATAATGTCTGTCTACTACATCGTTAACACTGTTCATCACTTGCATTTTGCATACCAATAGTTCATTGGCCAATCACGCTATTTTACCGAGATTTCGCCGAATAGTTTGGATGCAGCTATGGCGGGTGTGGCGCCAGGCAGGGTAAGCTTACTCTTTCGGACACCTGTTACCACTGTTTGTCGTGTATTTTGTACACGGTGAACAGTCCATTTGCTGATTACACTATTTTGCCTTATTACACTATTTTGCCTATACCGTTTTTTTAGGACTTCGAATTTTGTCTAATGGTTTGGATTGTTCGTACTTGGTTTTATTTTATTTATATTTACCTGTCATCCATTTCTTTGAACATTTATTGGACAAAATTTAATGAAAATCCGCAACATCAAGTCACAAAATTTCTTGAAATCTGTTCTATTTAGAGAAAGTATTTGTTAATATTTAATGAATAGCGTTTTTATGTCTACAAATAAGCTGGTTGTCAAAGGAAGTATTTTTGTTTTATAACCACTCACATTAAATATTAAAGTTGCTAAATACTTTCTGTCAATTTATCGAGGATAGCAACATTATTTCCGTCAATGTTGAGAATCAACTGAATTAATGAAAATTCTGGCATGCAAATGTTTTAATGGAATATAAATCGTTGTATTTTTGATCTTTAAGATTACTGCATTTGAAAAACAGCCAGTGTCAAGAACATTGACAGAAAACGTTGAATTAAAAAACATTTCCATTAAGTTGTGGTTCTCCTTTCCATTTGAAGCCATTTTACCAAGACCATTGAATACTAGCATCACCACATATGACAAACTAATTTCACCAGAGGTAATTTTTTTATGTGGATGAAAAGATGCGATCGTCAGCTTTTCATGCAATGTGAAAATGACCGAATTGAGGTTAGCAGGCTTTTAGTTTTACATTCTCGGCCCTCAAACTGTTGATATTTATTATTTCTGGCTACAGATGTGCCTGCAAACACAATTAAATGGAAATGAAGTAACATGTAAACCTAGTGCTAACGTCATATTCTTTGACGACTGTATGTTTATAAAAAATATTTCCACCAATACGTTTGTTTTTGTGGTTTGTACTTGTTTTGTAAAACTAAGAGAAAATATTTAACTCCTTGTGTTTGTAAAATACATGTCTGAATTGTTAAAAACACAAATTGAAAAACCTGTCCTCATATACTTGGTGGGTGCTATACCCATCAACACCTAACATCAGCACAGATCTAAAGGTCAAAAAAAACAAAACACCTAAAGTGTAGCAAAAATAACTAGCAATAAATGGGATTTTTCATATTTTATCAAAACATTTCTTGCATTCTATTCATAATGTCATAATGCATCTTTAACCAATTAAACTGAATAACATAATCAGTTATGTAGCTCATTGACATAGACTACATGTAGGTCACCAAGACATCTGATGGTAACTTAACGTTTCTGACGCATGTCTTGGTAACTAATACTCTATTACAGTATTAGCAAAATATACAATAATGTTCACATATACATATATAGAGAGAAATGGGGTAAGTCCACTTAACACAAGCTGGGTCATTTCGTGACAAACATATGGTTCAATTTTATTTCAATAATTCACTTACGCATAGGGATTTTAGCTATGGAGGAAACCGGAGGATCCAGAGCAAACCCATGAGGTTGGACAGGTGATCCTACGTTCATGTACAAGCAGGGAATCAAAACCACATCACTTGATTCAATGACAGACCATGTGATGCTACATGCACGCAACCTCCTGCTGTCCTTTATATTTTCACCGTGCAAAAATTGTATGTATGTATTGTTATCAGGTTGTGATATGATAAATAGTCATGGACACTTAATTGACATGCTTTGAGAGTATGTTCACAGATGAAGAACTTGTCGCCCCAACAGAACCCACTGAGCTGCACTTGCGACACGCAATAGCGCCATACACATGGGAGGGATTCATTGTCAAATTTGACACTTCAAGGAAGGGTTGATGAAAACTGCCGCGTGCTGGTTTATCCTATCCATGTTTGAATTTCACTGATAGGCGCGCTTGTGTTTGGAGGCGTATAAATGAGCGTCATTCTAACGTTAACGTCAGACAGCATGACAGATTCGGGCATCGGTCTGTTATGGTGTGGAGAGGTATCACCATGACTGGCAGAACGAATTTGCATATTGTTCAAGCAAGGGGCACTGGTGTTTACTACTGTGACCACATCCTGGCACTAATAGTTCTGCCCTTTGCTGAACGTGCAGGTCGACGTTTCATCTTTCAAGATGATAATGCCCGTTCCCACTGCGCTCGTGTCGTGAATGACTACCTCCAGCATCACCATATTGTCCATATGCCTTGACCAGCCATGAGTTCTGACCTTTCCCCTATAGAGCATGTCTGGGACATAATCGGGAGACGTGTTCGTCGATGTCAACGTCAACCCGCAACACTGCAAGAATTGGCCGTGGCACTGCAAGAGGAGTGGGTCAGATTGACACAAATCGTGATTGGACGGTTGATTAGGAGCATGCCACGATGAATTGCTGAATGTATGAGGATTGGTGGAGCAATTACTCATTATTAAGACAAAAATCAAAAACGTCCATTTTCACTTTTGACAGTGTATCTCTTTGTGTGTGAAATGGGGCCGTCAGATAAGTCACTCATATGAACTGTTTATGTTCATGTGTAGGCAATTGGCTTGTTATTAACATACACTGGTTATCTCTAATAAAAACAGCAGTGCATTCTGAATATCCCCTACATTTTTTGAAGAGTATAGAAGGATAACTCGTGTTTCCCTTTTGTGTTCGTCACTTCCTTTTGTAGAAACCTTCACTACGCGATATCCATCTATCGTAGCAATGATCTCTGTGTTAAAATTATATCTGGAACGTGTTTAATGAGTTCTATCACATATGAGATAATGACTGACATCAATATTGTCCTTTAATCAAAGTTAAATGACCTAACATTTCTAAAGCAATGAAATTATAATTTAGCTGTTCTAGTTGTATCTGATCTTTACTAAACCAGAGTAAACTAAGCATTGTAAGCAGTTTAAAGTAAATTGGCTTTACATTGGCTGAGAATAAATAAACTATGATAATTATTAGCAAGACAGATACTATAAAATATATTATTTTATGTTTTTGTTAATTTGTCATCTCTACATTTCCAACAACTGAATAGGAATAATTTAAAATATTACCTGTCATGTTTTCTGTTATATTTATAAAAATTGGAACTGTATTTATAACATCGAATACTTGACTAAAGTTATTATTGTTAACTAACATAAGACATCATATAGTCCAGTCTCTCAATATACAGTGTAAGCTTTTTTTTCTTCTTTATTCTTTCTATCACACAAATCTGTTTTGATATGAATTGATCAATAACAGAATTTCTCTTTGTTAAATTTGACACTCCATTTAACTCATGTTACTTTTCTATTTAAAAGTTTTAAAATAAAAATAGGCCTACATAAGCCTAAAATAAACACTGCATTGTATAAATCATTTGATCTTCGTATGCTGCTGCCATATACTGAATGTGCATGAACTTGAGAAAATCCTGTTGTAATATGCTACAGTGGTGTAAATCCTATACTCTAGGGCCCAATTATTAATAATTTGACTATAAATTATAGACCTTATTCTTCATATCTATATTACCATTCATAATATAAATAGAACACGTCTGCAAATGTACATAGCCCAATTTGTAAGAACACCAACAACAGTCTAGATATGTACACACTACATTTACTGGTATTATGTTCATAGTTTATGACCCCTCAGAGTTTAACCTCTTTCATAATACTGGCAACTAAAGAAGGTCACATCTTCATGAATTATTGCAAAAAAAATGTCAAACATAATTTATTACACAACACACTCATTACATAACATCTAAAACTAAATTATGTAACTTCTAAAACAATGCGTTATTAAAAGAATTAATTGCTGACCAATTAAGAGGTACATTGAAGATTTTGCTCAGTTAGATAAAAAAAAATGCATGTAACTTAAAAATTGAATCACTGCTATGTAATTCTACTGAATATTTTTGCTAGATAATAATATCACTGCTATTTTATCAATAGTATTGATTACCCCAGGACTTCCACTTTGTTCATGTTTATGGTACGATATCGTGAATTCTTGTGTCTACACCACTTTGTCAGAATGGTACATAAAAATGTTGACTAAGTATTAAAATTTTAATCTTAGTATAATAAAGTTCTATTTATTAATGAAATATTCCTTTTGAGGCATTGTGAGCTATTCAAATAGCTTTTATTATCAAAATGTTGTCTTTGGTTAAAGACAAATGAAGAGTTGAAATGGCCCAAGATCTCTACCACAGACTTAAAAAATACACTGACCTTGATAATTTGAAGTTGTATAATACACAAAGCCAAAATAAATAGATGACACAGTGACACATATTTTAATTGCACATTTATCTTTTTTAAAGGTATGAAGCAATAAAACTTAGTCTAAGCAGAAAATGTTGACGATTGAACTAAGTCAAGGTTTTGAAGTACCTGGTAGTGAAATTATACACTAAGTTTCATCACTCTCCATCAGTTAGAATTAAAGTTATCTTGTCACAAAACATGGACCAGAAAATGTTAATCATTGAATTCAGTCAAGACATTCACCTAATGAACATCTCTACACCAAGTTTAAACAGCAGAGTTGTTGTGTTCCAAAGTCTTGACCAATCAAACTGCTTATTGCTACTTAGCCTAAGCAGAAAATTTTCATCATCAAACTTAGTCAATGTATTGATATAATGAATTTGTACTCTGTATTTCTTCAATTAGAACCAAAGTTATCGTGTTCCAAAGTCTCAACCAATCAAATTGTTTATCTCTGCTTAGTCGTAGTAGAAAATGCGCATGATCGTACACTGTCAAGGTATTGATATAATGAAACTATACACCAAGTTTCATCACTCTCACTTAATTAGAACAAAAGATATCGTGTCCCAAATCATCAATCATCAAATTGCTTATCTCTGCTTAGCCTAAGCAGAAAATGCTCAGCCTAAGCAGAAAATGCTCATCTTCGAACTCCACCAAGGCATTGACCTAATACACCAAGTTTGAACACCCTAGCTCAATTAGAAGGAGAGTTATTGTGTTCCAAAGTCTCGACCAATCAAATTGCTCTGCTTACCCTGAGCAGAAAATGCTCATTAATGAACTTAGTCAAGGTATTGATGTGATGAAACTATACACCAAGTTTCATCGCTCTCACTTAATTAAAACCAAAGTTGTTGTGTCCCAGAGCCTCAACCAATCAAATTGCTTATCTCTGCTTAACCTAAGCAGAAAATGCTCATCTTCGAACTCCATCAAGGCATTGACCTAATAAACACCTACACCAAGTTTGAAGATTCTAGCTCAATTAGTAGGAGAGTTACTGTGTCCCAAAACGTTTGACGGACGGACAGACCCATTTTAATAGTCCCCTGCTTTCTTTGAATTGTAATCATTTACTGTATCATCTAATTAATTACCATGTTGTTTTGTGGGGTTTTATATTTGACTATATCATTGATTCACAAGGTAATTACTCTATACTTTATTGTATGTTAGAGAATAAAATGAATATTGAATGAATCGATCACATTTTAAAGCATCAATTTTGTTTGCAGTGAGCTAAATAAAATCTCGAAGCATGATATATAAACTCTTTATTTGACCAGTAGTCAGTACTTATCTCCATATATTACCATATTTATATCGGTTATCATTTCTTGTTGGTAAACTACTTCAATAACAATATATTTGTATTCCTGACATGCTTATCTACCGATAAATAGAATGCACAGTATCCTATAGAATGAATTCAGCCCTCGAACTGATAAGATCATATCTTAAACATAGAGGACAATGTATTATTATTGGTAATTAAAAATCTAAATCTAAATATTCTTACATTGAAAATGGAAAAACAGATTATCTTATTTTTTATCTTGAAAATTCAGTTATTAAAAGTTAATAATAAAAAATCAATTACAACAATTTCCTAATATCACCATCAAATATCAGCACAATATTTGATTCTAACATAGGTATGGAAGCCCATGTCAATAATCTTTGTAAATCTTGCTTTTATCATATTATCGTAGACTAAAACACCACTGTCTGGGCAAAGATTCCCTCATAGAACACCACGTGTTCTTCTCTATTAGCCTGGATCTTCCAGAAAAGTAGGACGATAAACCCCATTTTATTTCATTTCATTTCATTTTTTTAATCACACATAAACCTTAAAATGATCTTAAATTAATGCAAATTTTGAATGGTCATCAAGCATGATAACTACTGAGATAAATAATCTGAATATTTATTATATACTTACCATGTTTATCTCGTATCTTAGGGGATACACCAGTTTGGATGAGATATAAGACAGACTCTGTATTTCTTGATAAACAGGCCAGATGTAACATACTGCTTCCATTTTCAAACTGTTGATCCACCCCTGCTCAAATAAAATAATTCTAGTAAAAAGAAGAATATCATGTTAACCGGTTAACTGTTAACATAACCTTTTCATTCAGGACATAATAATTACATGGTTAATTGCTGGTTAATTAAGATTTATGGGGAGATAATTTTATGTTTGAAAAGAAGAGCAAATTCTGTTTTGGACATCAACAATTTATTTTGTTTCTGTTTCTTCTAAACATAATTAAAATATAATAAAAACATTAGTAAAAATACTTTGTTGGGATACAAGATATACTACTCCAGATTAGTCACATCAATTCAATATCTTTCAACAATATAATATGTTGTGTAGGTTTTTGAGAAACATAAAGATTATCCTGTTAATTTCAAAGACTGTCTGTAATTATGTCTTTTTAAAATGTTCTGTACTGGGAAGTTTAGTTTTAAAACCTGGTTTCTTATTATAAGGGCTATTCTAGGGTTTGGACTTTGGTAGAAAAATTACATTATTTTACTTATCAATAGTAGTGATGACATAAGTGTTTTGGGCTAAAAAAAAACTCCCCCAAATCCTGGCAACCAAAATTAAATTCCTCCAGCACCAAAGGCAAATGTATCTAGATGAGCTACATGTATCTATACAACTTTATTATCTCAACCATCACACCATTGGAGTACGACCCAAGTGTTAACAAGATTTTACATAATTAACAAATGAATCTTTTTGGCATGTATGAAAAACCAATTTTACAATATTAGCAATAATCTATTGATAAAATAATAGACCAATCCACATGATGTATGTGAATGAAAATAGATACTTCATCATGGAATTTGCTTCTTAATCCAAAGGTTCTAGAAGAAATTAAAAGTGAACATAAAGATCCCTTCATCCCTAGTAGTGGGCACTCTGCTTCTTAAAGGAAGAAGGCTGACTTAAAGGAGGGGACAATGCATTCTCACAAGTCTTTCAATGACAATCCGCAAATAAGATGCATGTTGATTGGGCTAATCCTAGTCAAACAATACCAGCAAGTTGGAATAAAATCAGCTTTAAAAAACAAGGTTCCAATGACAAGCCGGGCTACCATAAATAATTGATGAGTGACTCTGAATTTTGATAATTTAATTTCCACCTGGGAAATACAATAGAATCTAAACCAGAGTCTCGATTTGAACCTGAAATTCACAGGTTTATCATCAGTGACAGTTATAAATAAATGAACCTAGCTTGATCCCTAATTTCAACCAACATATGTACACACACTGTTTGTCTTATCTATATTCTTCAATGAGAAAATAACATGCTGAGATAAATTACTATTAATAGTGGAGTGTCATATTTCAGTTTATCAAACTTTATTAAGAAATATAATGTAGCCTCATTGAAGGCTTCAAGTATCAAATGGGATGGGGATGCCATGCCATGTAAAGGGGGACATCTGGTGTTAATTTTAGCATTATTTTCAAGCACATTAATCTGAGAAATTATAGGTTGCCAGACAATGAATCATATGCAAACAGCAGCTATATAGAGAGAGAAATGGGGTTTGACGTCCACTCGATACAAACTAGGTCATTTTGGGACTAACATATGGTTCAATTTTATTTCAATAATAGGGGTCTTTAGCAGTGGGAGGAAACCAGAGGAGCCGAAGAAAACCCACGAGGTTAGACAGGCGACCATACTTCTAGCCACGTACAACCTGGGAAATCGAAGCCACACTAGTTGAATCAATGACAGACCTTATGATACAATGCGCACACGCTAACCATTTGGCTATCCAACCCCCCAGCAGCTACATTGTAAGAACAGTCCATAAAGGTTGCCCCATTGGTATAGTTGAGGTGTGATTAAAGATTGGCTGCCAAGCAATGAAATATGCCCTGCATAATTAACCTGAGCAGAAAACGTTCATTATGTTTAGCCCAAGCATTCACCTACATGTATTAAACACCCACACCAAAATGTGTAACTAAAAGTTTGACAAGACAAATTGACAGACAGACAAACCCATTTAAACAGTCCCTTGCTTTCTTGAAAAGGCGGGGAACAACAATGAGCTTGATTCCCACAATTTGGTGAATTATGTGTATATGTTGAATTAGAAACTTTAACCTCATTACATCTAAAGAGAGAGAGAGAGAGAGAGAGAGAGAGAGAGAGAGAGAGAGAAATGGGGTTCAACATCCACTTTACACAAATGAGGTTATTTTGGGACTAACTTATGGTTCAATTTTAATACAATAATTCACTAGCAGGTAAGAGTCTTTAGCACACGATAATTTAGTATGCATTTTTATTTTATGTCTCATTAATTATTTACTAAATTAAAGTCTTGATGCACCATTTGCATTTTCGCTAAAATATCAAATTTTTTCTCACTGCTTAATATGTACTCAGCATGATTACTGAAATTTCAATTGATAAAAACTTTGTAAATACTGAATGTAATTAAACCATTTCTGACCGATATTCTCATTAGAGATTCAACTTTCCCAATATTGTAGTTTTCGGGGAATGCCTATAGCGCTAAATAAAGCATCACAGCCTTTAAACTGTACATTCTCATTCTCTGGAATAGATAGTTTCTCAATTATTGCCTTCAAAAAGTTATAAAATTTACAAATGTTACTAAATTTTTTTGGTGTTTGTAACATAGACAAAAAAGGTAAGAGAAAGAGAGAAATGGGGTTTAACATCCACTCGACACAAACTAGGTCATTTCGGGACTAACATAGGGTTCAATTTTATTTCAATAATTCGCTTGCTCGTAGGGGTCTTTAGAAGTGGGAGAAAACCGGAGGACCCGGAGAAAACCCAGGAGTTTGGACAGGCGACCCTACTTCTTGTCACGTACAACCGGGGATTCGAAACCACGCCAGTTGACTCAATGACAAGCCTTATTATACAGCGCGCACGTGCTAACCATTTGGCCATCTAACCCCCCTACAAAAAGGGTGATGCAGAAGTTAAGAAATATACTTACTGATCAGACGAAGCTGTATAAGACAATCCAATAAGTGAATGGGACCACAAACAATGGCTTGGCGTCCTAAATCAGACACAGTTCCATTACGCAACACTGTCGTCTGAACACCTGAATTCTGTAGATGATCTCGAAGCTCATTTTTACCTGGCCACAAGGAAGCAAAATCTACCAACGCATCTCCATTTTTGTAAGGATGAAATGAAAGACCCGGAGTCCAAAATATATTTCCAGGATCCTCATTACCTTCTGCCTGATATATCTCGGTAACGCGAGAATTCTCCACAGCCTTTAATCGTTGTTCCTCTAGCTTCAATATGTCAGCATTGATAGTTTCATCAAGAAAAACGTGCGAATGATACAACTTACAACTACACTCAAGATCATCTCTATTAGCTGGTATCGGGGTCGGACCTATCTTCCCTTTCGATTTTATTTTTTTCTTCGTTGACATTGAGCTTGTGCTGGCAGAAGACTTCAATTTTTTTGAATCTCCTATCAATATCTTTTCATATTTATTTTGCATATCCGGATTACAAATATTATGTTTATAACCATCTGCTCGAATCTGGGTCATATTTCGGTTTACATTTGTGTGACTACCTGGGCGGTAAATTTGATATCTTCCTGAAGCAGACGGTAATACTTGAACTGTTTCTATAAAATCTGAGTTGGTTTCAAACACATCACGTCTGCTTGTCACTCTAAGTGATTGGGTGAATGCAGCATCTCTAGACACGTCCTGTGAAACATTCTGTCTATAAAAAATACCAGTACTATACAATGGTTTGTTGGAAGGGTTGTCAGTCTTAAATGATGGCGATGGAAAGCAGGCGTTGGGAGCATAGGAAAACATAGCGGCATCAAAAACACTGGACTGAATGAGCTAGTAATGTTCTATTACTCAAAAAACATTAAAATGTTTCATTCACTAAATTGTTCACTTAGATTTATCACAGAAATATTTGTGTTAAATATACCTACTACATTTATATTAAAAATAAATTAAAATTTGACAAAGACGATATGAACATGTCATGGTACATTTTGTGGTTTAGACACTCACTCTTTGTATTCTGCGACATTTAATTCATCAGTGCTTGCAAATCAACAGCTTTATAAATAACACCGTTTCTTCATTATTTTTGATCAGGACAATTCAAATAAAAAAGTAAGAAAAGTAAGAAAGTAAGAAAAATTATGTGGAGATTCTATTAATTAAATCAGATCCAATTTCTTAAATAATGTCATCAGATCGAGCTAATTTGAAGATCTGTAAAACTTTAATAATAGCGGAGATGTGAGCAGGAGCAGGGAATAAACAGATGATGCTACATGAACTTGCGGTGTCATATAGATATGCTGTTTCATATTTCATTGCAAACTGATTTTAATGTATTTGAAGTTAAGGTTACAGTCCTATTTATCTTCTCTTTAAATCTCCATTTTCCCCTTAGATTATGCTGATTATCTTCAGAGTGCTTTCTATTGGAATGTAATTTAAAGGAATGTAAGGGATAACTGGGTGGAAATTGTGCACCAGCAGTGAGGTAGAAATGACTTCTGGGAAAATGTTGCACAAAATGTTTAATAATTTGCCTGATCATTTATCAGCATAAGTGTCACTGAATGAACAATGTTTTACAAAAGTTGAAATATATGATGTTTACAAGCTTGGAAATCAATAAATATTTTCTGCAGGAATGGAGTCATTTTCTGGTGATGAAGAATAGTGAATAATCCTATCTTACAACTAGGTACTTCCAGGTCTTCTTTTAGTGTTAAGATTTACAACTACACAGCACACAATTTACCCTTTGTTTCAGGAACAATTATCTGAAAATCAGAAAATACATTTTAGTTATAGGTTGGTCAAAGTCTGTCATTCAATTACGCAGTCAAACATTACACAGTCAAACATTACACAGTAAAAAAACAACATACATGTAAAAAGATTATTTTTAATTTATACTTCACTGAAAGAATGTATGTTAAGGTGTGCTCAATTGTCAGTCCGGTAATTGATTGACACAGAATTGATTCCTGTCAAAGTTCTGCAAGTTCTATAGTGTCATTAGTGTGACAGAATCATGACATAATTAAACAGTTCTGCTATGGTGATTGGTCAAGCTAGTGTAATATTCAGTTGGTGCAAGCCTTGTTGTTGCCTGAAGTTCTTATGTTTACTTGATTGACACCTTCTAAAAGATTGAGATAATTCAATTCCAGAACTTTTGAGTATGCCTGATATATTCCTAAACAGAAACACTGAATCATTTTGCTATGAAATACATGGAAGATGATACGATATGAAAACTTTTTAATTTTAAGAACTCAAGTACGCATTTATGGCATTCACAAGGTCTTTATAAAACAGAAAAGGGGGGAAGATAAGGTTGTGCAACGTTGAATATCAACAGGGTTTCTCTTTCTCTTCTCATAGCCCCAATGTTTCATGCCCAATTTCTAAAAAAAAAAAAATCAATTAAAAATTGTAGTCTGAAACAGAAGGTCTTAGAACACTGAATACCAATCTTCAATGTTTCACACTAATTTTGTAAAAAAATTAATGCATTACAAACTGTATAACCTTTATCAAGTTTACAAGGTTTTTGGAATGCTGATTATCGATAGGGTTCATCCTCTCTCGACCCCAATGCTTTATCCAAAAAAAGTATGTTTAAAACCAAAGTCTGGGCTATACAAAAGCCAAGGAAGGTTGTGTAAATCTGAATATCAATAAGCACTGTCCTCTCATGACCCAAATGTTTCACACTAAATTTGAAAAAAAAAATAGTTAAAAATTGTAGTCTCCATTGCCCTGCAGTAAGGCTATTAGATAAAACATTAATTACTAGGTTAAGGGTTATAATTATGTCCTGCATTCTGCTCCCACACTCGACAGCACAAGACAGGACATTCCCAAATCACAGCTAGGGTGGCATGATTTACTAAAATCCACCAAAATCCCACACTATTTCAACTCATATCACAATTATTTATATTGATATTTGATAATATACCATTCTTTATAACAAATTGTCATTTCAAATTTAAAATAGTATTTTTTTTTTTGTGTCCAAAGGCCACTCAATGCGATTTCCAAGCAAGTTTGGAAGTTGTAACCAATCCACTCTATTTCAAATCATATCATAATTTTTATCAATATTTGATAATATACCATTCTTTATGCCAAATTGGCATTTTAAATTGAAAACTGTAGTGTTTATGTGTGAAAAATGCCATTCAAAATGTTATATCCAAGCCAAGGGGCATAACTCATGTATCTTACAAAAAATCGCATTTTAAGGGGCTTTTTAAGACAAAAATGTTACGGTTTTAAATTAAAAATGACAATTTGGTATGAAGAATGGTATATTATTATCAAATATTGATAGGCCTATATATTATTGTGGTTTGGATAAATTGTGCTACCACAATTAATCACAGAGAGCGCAACACATCCCTGCATATCCACAAATCTATTATTATCCTGCAATTATCTATTAATCATCTATCATTTATAGATTCACTCTCCTCTCTACTATGAAACAACTAAAATAGAAATCATATGACAACGAAAAAAATGGTAGGATTAGGTAACCCAGTTTTGTCATTTGTCAATTGATCCTGAATGTCACATACACTATTTTTATGACAATTTCGTGAACGTTTTTGGCTATTGGTCTGTGACAACAGTTTTCCCTGGAAAATTATTAATATTTTCAAGCAGATAACCAAGTAATTTACCAAAATTTCTAAATTTTACCAAGTTATAAGTTGAATTAGTGGGTGTTACAATTCAATCAACAGGATAATCGAAAACCTTATATTTACTTCCGTCCTTGACACGCATGCCTTTCAAGGATCTTTCGGTTTATCTTTCTTGCAATACTGCTTCTTTTCTTCTTCGTGACATACTCTTTGGCTCAAAGGGAAAGAAAATGATTTGATAATAAATATGTTATGAAATATATTAAGAAAAATAATACTGCACTCTTTAACCCTAATGAGTTGAACTAGATGTTCTTTTTTTTACGGCAGTTCCTTATTCCAAAGTCATTCCGTCATTACGGTGATTTGCTGCATTGAATAATATGATTCTTTCAGGCCAACAAGCTATAAAAATAAATTGTTAATTTTAGACTTTAGCAATTATAATTTTATTGGTTATTTGCATCGACATAAATATATATATATATTTTTTTAATGTTTCTGAAATCTAATTATTGACCAATGAAAAGGTCATAAAATAGATGGCGTGACGCGCTTCTCTGTCACTTCCTTTTTCATGGAAACTAGCAAACTCTAGGTAACACGTGCCGTAAGCTGTATTAAATTTGCAGTTTTCTTCCATATTTCACCAATATAGTCTCCGAATTACAAATAATATTTAAATCCAAATGTTCACCTATCATATCGTATTCCAATTGCTGTTTTATTTTGGATGCATCAGTAAATAAAAATGTTTTTTTTCTCCTTGAACTGAAAATAGTGAAAAGGAGGTAAAACTCCCATCAACGACAAGAAGTGAAGAAGTCCATTCGATTAAATTTGTTTATCCCTGCAGTCTTAATTTGGAAATGTTTGTTCTATTTACGTTTACAACCAATATAGACTGGTCGTTTATTTCAAAACGTCTTGACTTTTCTTAAATTGTTTACTTTTGTGATACCTTAAAGGGTCCACACAGATTCGGCGGACATCATATCGGCTGTACTCTATTCTGGTACTTATTTGATAAAAATAATTACTGATATTTGTTTATTAAATGTTGTAATACATGTTTGTGACAATTGTGATGTTTTGTTTATTGATGAGGTGTCGATGTTCACAGATTTGATTTGTAACTCGATTTGCACTTGAGCAAGAAGTACCGATTATTACGGATCGCTTATGGACTAAGAGTAGCATCTTTTGGTTTAGTACATTACTATCCCTGAAGCTTGTAGGTTAGTCATGAATACTAGTAGGGTGTCCCACCATAATTAAATATCTCCATAATTACACCACAATTTGATTGGCAAATTCTATGGAATAGAACAACTCTGCTTCTGTTTAAACTTGATGTAGATGTTCATTAGGTGAATGTTTTGATTGAGTTCAATGATTAACATTTCGAGCTAAGCAATTTCATTGGTTGATGCTTTGGGACAAGATAACTTTGATTCGATCTGATAGAGAGTGATGAAACTTAGTGTATAGTTGATTATCATTTTGATTGCTCAATACTTTTGAAAAAAATAAATGTGCAATTAATGTGTCATCTGTTTATTTTGGGATTTTGGCGGGGGACATCAGCCTCACTGTTGGCTTGTTGCACCTTGTGAATGCTCTAACATCAAAAGTTATCTGCCGATCTGTATGAAATTTATATGTGTCATTTAGATTAGTAAAAAGAAGAATCTATTGAATTTTAGCAATTTCTGTTAATTACATCTAGAGTTATGGCCCTTGTTGAACGCGCTAACGCCAAAAGTTATCATCCGAACTGTATGAAATTTATATGCATTATTTAGATGGCCGAATGGTTAGCATATTCACATATTCGCTCTGTATCATAAGGTCTGTCAGTGTCATTGAGTCAACTGGCATGGTTTTGATTCCCTTGGTTGTACATAAGGAGTAGGGTTGGCTCTCCAACCTTGTGGGTTTTCTCATGGTCCTCAGGTTCCTGAAATGACCTAGTTTGTGTTGAGTGGAAGTTAAACCCCATATCTCTCTCTCGGAGTTATGGCCCTTGTTTTACTTTGTGAACATTTGAATGACAAAGGTTATTCGATCTGTATGAAATTTATATGCATTATTTGAATTAGTAAGATGAAAAAGTCAGACAAATTTCAACAATTTCTGTAAATTACTTCCAGAGTTAAGGTCCTTGTTTCAGTTTGTAGAACCTTGTGAACTGTTTCTGTAAATTACTTCCAGAGTTAAGGTCTTTGTTTCAGTTTGTAGAACCTTGTGAACTGTCGAACAACAAAAATTATAATCTGATCTGTATGAAATTGTCTTGTAAATGCCCCAAATCACCTACAAGGCTACAAGAGAATAAATGTGACACCCTTGTCTACCACTCAGATGATTTATCTGCTGTGGGCACGTTTCGTTTCCTGGCAAACTTATCATTCATTTATGTGCTGTTATTTTCAGTTCTAAGGAGCACATCTAAAAATATTGATTGGTACAATCTTTTATCAATCACGCCCTTTCCACTCCACCAATGACTATATATTTGTATATAACACTAACCACTACGAATGGAAAAAAAAAAAAATTATTTTATAAATATTCTATTAATTTTTGTTTTGTAGCATTTTTGCTGCCTTGAGAGCTAGTTGGTGGCAATATGCAGATCTTTGTTAAGACCCTTACGGGCAAGACCATTACCCTAGAGGTTGAACCAGCTGATACTATAGAAAATGTTAAGGCTAAAATTCAAGATAAAGAGGGAATTCCCCCAGATCAGCAGAGATTGATTTTTGCTGGTAAGCAATTGGAGGATGGCAGAACACTCTCCGACTATAACATTCAAAAAGAGTCCACACTCCATTTAGTTCTGCGACTACGAGGTGGTGCCAAGAAACGCAAGAAGAAGAATTATACCACCCCAAAAAAACAGAAACATAAGCGAAAGAAGGTATGAAGTAATTTTTTTGTCCACTGGTGTTCAGTGTGTAGACTTTTGATATAAAACGTGGTAGCCAAAGGACATTCTTTGCGTTTGAAATATGGTGATACTGGTAGTGGGGAGGGCCCTGTCTTGGAAATAAGCACTGTTTTAGATTTATTGATGCAGCTAAACATTTTATTTTATTTATATAAGAAAGTAGTTTTTAACCTCTCTTCCCCAGAAATGGCCCTGTTCTTAAGGTCCAAAGAAATAAAGCAGTGTACGTCGACCTCCCATATAACCTTATAAATATAATACAAGACACTTGGGCCATCCTTTGTGATTCAAAGCTTGCCTACTTACCCTCTTCGGTTTCCTCTGGAATCTCCAGCTTCCCCCCCCTCCCTTATAAAATCTACCATGTTAGTACAATATTGAACTAAATTGTTTTTTGAGTGAACACAATACATAAATCTCTCTCCTTCGCTATGAAGGGTTGGTTTTATTATGTCAGAGAAGGCAATGTTTACTTATTAGTTGTATACTGCTTCATATATTCTATAAAATTCGACATACCAATGACATCAGGATTTTTAGTAAGACATTACTGCTACGTACTTGTGCCTTTATTTTTCTCGAAAATAGCATTGTCATTAAAACGATGCTCCACAGGCGTTAAGGCAGAATCATTTCATGGGAAAGGACACACACCTAGATTAACCAGTTTCAATAATGAAACAAACCAAAGCCATAGTAAAGAAAAATAACTGTTTGTTAGATTAATACATATCCCGGTTTACTTTACAGGTCAAGCTTGCTGTACTGAAATATTACAAGGTTGATGAAAATGGTAAAATCACCCGATTGAGGAGAGAATGCCCAAATGAAGAATGTGGAGCTGGTGTATTTATGGCCTCCCATTTTGACCGTCAATACTGTGGAAAATGTTGCCTCACTTACGTGTTTAATAAACCAGAAGACAAAGCCAAGGCCACCGGGAAAGGAAAGGGCAAATAAGGATAATAAGAAAATAAAAATGTAAAATATATTGATATTGTGATTTATTTTGAGAGGTAAAGTCTATAGTAGCATTTCTCCATAATGTGCTCTTATGTTGTTGCCCACCCTGTTAGTCGTTCGGTTGTCCACAATTGCTTTTGTTAGTTCAAAAAGATAAACTTGAGGTTAAACATATCATTTGCAGTGTCTCATGAGATGAATCCTGTTGATTTTGACAATTTGCAAATTCTGATGACTGAAGCAAAGAGCTAATTTTATGTTTTTATACGCCCACATTTTTCTTTGTTAGCATCAAGAAAAATCTTTTTAACAGTTTCTTGTCTTGTAAATGACATCCCTTGTCGACTTCTCAGAGGCAGAGGCATAGGCTATATAGTGTGCTTTGAGGGAACTTTTGCCTACTCTTGTATTGAATTCCAACTGTCAAGGGTTCTTTTACGTGCACACAGGATCTGTTTCCCCACAGTTTAAAGGACTAGACATTGTACTTTCCAGACTCTTCGTCCTGCACCACTGACAAATCTCGGAACTTTCTTGACCAACAATGCCGGGATGGATGGTTGCTTAAAGTGTGTGTTGTATCGGATGGTCTGTCATTGAACAATGTTAGTCCCGAAATGCCCTAGTTTGTGTTGAGTGGACGTTAAACACCATTTCTCTCTCTCGACCAACAATGGGTTTGAATCCAGGTCCTCCTGTTAAGTGACCCAGTGCATTGATAACTGATTTGAGAATAGACATTGTTTATCTTTGTGGCTTGGTTGGTTGAATACATGTGGTTTCGATCATAAGGTCCATTATTAAGTGGGCTGTTGGATGGCTGAATGGTTTGCACGTGCGTGCTGTATCATAAAGTCTGTCATTGAGTCAACTGGCGTGGTTTCGAATCCCCGGTTGTACGTGACAAGGAGTAGGCTCGCCTGTCGAACTTCGTGGGTTTTCTTCGGTTTCCTCCCACTGCTAAAGACCCCTACGTGCAAGCGAATTATAGAAATAAAATTGAGCCTTATGTTAGTCCCAAAATGACCTGGTTTGTGTCGAGTGGATGTTAACCCCATTTCTTTCTCTCTCTCTCTCCATTAAGTGCCAAGATCTTCCAGTCACACACCAAACTCCTGGGTTTTCTGCAGGTCCTCACCAATGCTAAAGACACCAGTGCACAAGCAAATTGATTGAAATGAAATTGTTCTTTATGACTGGACAGGGTTGGTTTTTGTCTGCCCACATGGAAATGTGGTCGGATATAGTTGTCCACAATTTCTTGTGGACTCTACAGACAACATTTATCTATATTTATGTTTGTGAATGTTTGTTCAGGGTTGGTGGCTAAACTGAGACTGCAATTAGGTGTATAGGGGGTAGCTAGACCCGGGGAGTAACATAGGCCTGGTGGCGATGGACTCCCACTTAGCTTTTTTGAGTTATGCGACTTCCGGTTCATGGCTATACATGTGCTACATTAATTTTCAAGACATGTATGGTACATGTTATCGTCAATACAGTATATTATATATGTTAACATTGAGATGAAGGTGCCTATTAAATTTCAACAACTATTACTTCTGGAGATAGGGTCCTGGTTTATAATAACAAGCCAACAGTGAGGCCGAAATCCCAAAATAAATAGATGACACATATTAATTAATCAGACATTTACTTTTTTCAAAAGCATCAAGCAATCAAACTATACAAACTATACACTCTATCAGATCGAGAGAGAAATGGGGTTTAACGTCCATTTGACACAAACTAGGTCATTTCGGGACTAGCATATGGTTTAATTTTATTTCAATAATTCGCTTCCGCGTAGGGGTCTTTAGCAGTGGGTGGAAACCGGAGGACCCATTGAAAACCCACGAGGTTGGACAGGCAACCCTACTCCTTGTCACGTACAACTGGGGATTCGAAACCACGCTAGTTGACTCAATGACAGGCTTTATGTTACAGCGCGCAGGTGCTAACCATTGGCCATCCAACCCCCCTCTCTATCAGATAGAATCAAGATTATCTTGTCCCAAAGCATCGACAAATGAAATTGAGAATGACCATGTTGAGCTAACTAAATAATACTACACTTGATTAAATTAAATTAAAGTAGCCAAGTCTCTAACTAAATATCATCAAAAATCTTCGACATTGAAAACACGAATTATTTGTCAATTCAAATCAACATTGGTCTTGTGATCTTACAGGGAAAAGATGGGCTTCTGATATCCAATATTCAAGACAAAATAAACATTTTACCATTGGTACACAAATCATGTACCATAATGCGTTTCAGCGCCATTTGGAACAAGGGACTCGAAGAACAGGGCTAGACATATTCCACAAGTCATGTCAAATGGTGACGCTATATTCTTATCTGGAGAGCATGCGCAATAAATACCATCGGTGTAGACTAGAAAAAAACAGACGCTAAAAATTGCCATTCACATGAGACTTCTGGCGTATTTCGCCCAACATAACTGATTAGAAATTATAGTACAAACAGAACCGATTGAATGTAAACCAGTTTATATACATTCATATTACATTATTATATGCGTTGCGACCCATTTTTGTCAATTTCTAGGTCCCGAATATTAGCGATTTAGCTCCTTTAATTACTAATATTCTTCGAAAGGCAGGGGACAATAATAAAAACTTTATTTAACGAGGCAACTTATTTAGTTTGCAAAAAAACTAACCTTCCATAAGTCCCTAAGCTACAAAGACATATATACATGTAATATCTGGATAAATTCAAAATCATTTAAAAGCTTTAAAGGAGCTAAATCGCTAACATTTGGGACCTAGAAATTGACAAAAGTGGGTCCGTATAACATTGTCTTTTTGCTACTTTTAGACGTTGAAATGTTGTGTTATAGCGGGTTTTTTTATGAATCTATGTGTAGGCTATCCCGGAACACGAAGGTGTATATTTGATGTGATTTTAACCATGATAACGACTGGAATGTCATCATTATTTTTGACGTGTTTTTCTCGGAATTTTCATACTTTTCCTGTCTATCTACATGCTGCTAAATTTAGGGAGGTGGGACCTTGCAAATCTGTAAATGATTTTGTTCTATGGTAAAGGAATACAAACTTTCAGAAATTGCTGTTGAATCGAGGTCAAATATTTTTAATAAGATTTGACATTACATTATCTTTTTTAATAGCCCAGCGACTTGTAGGCTAGGCACTTGACAAGTAGGCCTACTGGTGATGATGCTGTAATAGAACTAAGCTCAGCTTAGAGACGCATAAGTACGCGACGCGAAATCTGCCAAAACTCTAAAACTACATTGACGCAACGTATCGTGTATACGATATGGATACGTGATACGGATGGGAATATTCCTCTTGCCAAAAGTCTCTAATACTGTAATATGAATGTATATAAACTTATTTACATTCAATGGTTTCCGTTTTTACTCCAATTTCAAATCAGTTATGTTTGGCGAAATAAGCCAGCAGTCTCAAGCGAGTGCAAATTTGTAGTGTCTGGTTATTCCAGTCTACATACGCCGTTTGATTCGGTGCAATGTGTCTAACCTCGTCCCTCGAGTCTCTTGATACATCTGGGGCTGAAGCGCATTATGGTACACGATTCGTGTACCAATGGTAAAATGTTTATTTTGTCTTAAATATTGGATATCAAAAGCCCATCTTTTTCCGGTAAGATCACAACATGAATGTTGATTTAATTTGACAAATAAATCGTGTTTTCAATGTTGAAGATTTTGGATAATATTGAGTTAGAGACTTAGCTCCTTTAAGGTGAGAAGTTTGGCAAGTCACTCCTAAACTACAAAACATATTTATTATACAAGTAAAATATAGGAAGAAAACTATAATTGTGGAACCCTGTGAATGCTCTAAGGACACATTATCATCTGATTTCTATTGAATTTAGATGCATTATTCAAATTGGATACAGGTGATTTCATATACTATCGAAATTATAGGTTTTACATAAGCATACACCCCATTTCGAAATAATTTGTGATTACGATCACTTAATATTGCATCCAATCACAACGGTATTTACTTCCCTCGATAATATCACAGAACTATTAAAATGGATGTCTGTCTGTCGCACAATATAATAACTCTGGTAATTAAACTAGAACGTTCAAACAAGGTGTAGGTATTTATTAGGTGAATGTCTTGTTGAAGTTCGGAGATGAGCGTTTTATGCTTGGGGTAAGCAGATATAAGCAATTTGATTGGTTGATGCTTTGGGACATAACTGTAGTTCTAGTGGGTGAGTGTCCAGCCCATGCTCTTACTGGATGTGACACGGTTACATGCTGTTACGTCGTGGCGAAAGGAACAGCTCTGAAAGTGGTGAGAGCTTGATGGTATTCTCTCTCACTCGTCGGAATAGTAGACACTCCAATAGAATCAGTGCTTACACAGGCTGCTGTATTTATGTCAGCTTGTTATGGACAGAGTTCTAGAAATCTATGAAACACGCTGGAGGGTAGGCTATCGACATCTAAAACTGGAAATGTATCGTCATCATTCCCACCCAAACCATGTGGTCTTGCTCAAGGAGTGATACATTTGCAGAGAACGTAGGAAGAGCTCATCACCAAGCTATTGTGTGGCGTTCACTTGTACGTACGTTTGTGTGTGTGTGTGTGCGACCCTACCCCTTGTCACGTACAACCGGGAAATCGAAACCACACCAGTTGACTCAATGACAGACCTTATGATACAGCACGCACGTGTGCTAACCATTCAGCCCCCCCCCCAACCAACTTGTGTGGAACTTGATCCGGAGTTCTGTATTGCTGGGTGACGGATACTAAATTAAGAACATTAAGACCAACTTGCTCCGTAGTCTGTCATGTGGCTCATCAGATTAGGATGTAGTAAGTACACTTGCTTGTAGCTTGGAATGTACAGTATTTTGCGCTTGTGCTGTCGCAGGTCGCAGCCACACGACTAAAGGATTAAACTGAATATTACCTAGGTTCGTGGGGGTTATTTTCGTGTTTTGCGGGTAGAATTTGACACCAAAATTATCATCCTATAATAAATACAATGGGAGCTATAGGTAATTATTTGAAATGTTGCCCGTCTTGGATATCTCGAAACGCTCAAGGGTGACCGATGTTCACCCGGCAGATTCTGAAAGAGGAGACCCTAGGTAATAGGTTACTAAAATCAATCATAAAAAAACTTTGTTCATGTATACCAGTGGTTCTCAACCTTATTGTGCCAATGGCACACCTTGGAACACATGAAAACATCGCGGCACACCTGGCTATACACATGAAAAATAGTTAAATTTTGCAAAATAAAAACAGGGCAAGCCAGACGGCATACAACTGTAGACAGAGACTAGTCATGGACATATAGACTGACTCGAACTAAATAAAGAAAAACACAGCTACATGTATGAATTTATCAGTAGACACCAGTGAATAGGCAATTGAGATCATGTGGTTTTTCGCATTTTCTTAGTGTGCCGTTCAAATTTGTGGCACATTGGTTGAGAATCACCGATGTATACAATTTCCAGTTTCACTCGAAATATTGGGTTTGGCGGTCGGATTATTTGGACTCCCGAGTTTCGATTTATTATATCCTTTATCATTAGCTTGACGGAGTTTGCTGGTTTACCCTTGTCAGTGGTACAGAACGGAGGGCCTGACAAGGACAGCTGTCTAGTCCTTCGGATGAGACGAAAAACCGATGTCCCGTGTATATATTGGAATGCACGTAAAAAATCCCCTGGCAGTTGGAATTCGATATGAGAGTAGGTGATAGTGCCGCTGCCCGGGCAAAATTCCCCTCATAGCACACTGTATGGCGTATGCCCGTCTTGATTTGCCCAGTATAGGAGCAGAACAGTAGGACGTTAAACCCCATTTCATTTCATTCTGACCGAGTTTGACGTTGAGAAGTTTCTGCTTAGCCCAAGTAGTGATAAGCAATTTGATTGGTCAAGATTTTGGATCATAACTCTCCTTTTAACGGTCGATTCTTATGGGACAAGATAACCCAACTGATCGAGAATCGATGAAACTGCATGAAGATCTGACTGGTTGTAGTGGAAGGCAGCGTCCGGGATCATACGAGCAGCTTTTGACGTTTGACATTGATTAATCAATCAGCGTTGACGTACACACAGGTCTGTGCACAGCACGCCAAGAATTCACTGCCTTAACAGTTTCATTGACTACTCCCTCACATCAATCAGAACGCGGGTTATATAACAACTCTTCCAGATTCTAGTGTTGTGAAGACAAGTTAAACGAAATTTTGAACTAGAAAAAACAAAAAGAAATAGGATCGTGTGTTTTAATCAGATTGTTCAAAACCTTGACTTAGTTTGATTGTGAACATTTTATGCCAGACTAAGTATAGATGAGGTTGATTGCTCAATACTTTTGAAAAAGAAATGTTCAATTAGTATGTGTCATTTATTTTGGGATTTCGATCAGGGACATCAGCCTCACTGTTGGCTTGTTTTATACGCCCACAGTGTTTTATCTTGCGCATTTTCAAATAAGGCGAAGCAGATAATGCATATAAATTTCATACACAAGGAATGATAAGTTTTGTCTTAGAGCATTCACAAGGTTCAACAAAGTGAAACAAGGGACATAACTCCAGGAGAAATTAATGGAAATCCTTAAAATTAAATAGGATTCTTCATCTCACCGAAGTAAACATTAATTTCAAAACAATCCGATGATAAATGTAGTCTGTATAGCGTTCACATGTGGGCACCTAAAAATAACTCATCCTTATTTTGTTTTAATAAAAATTTTATTTAAAGAGGACATACAAATACAAAATACTAAAACTGACATAATTTACAAATATACACAGAGTATGTAACAACTGTTATTGTCATCTCATGAGACATCACGGATGATAATATATGTTATGAAGCTACTTATTCTATGCAATGAATTATTTATATTCCTATATAACATAATTAAATCAAATTACTGTTTTTTAAAATGCATTGTATTTAGAATTTTGACAAAGGATAAATTTAATAAATGAAGGAAAGAAAAAATCATCAGAATTATATAAGATGGTACATTGTTTATTTAAAATTATTGCCAATAGAATGCTTAAATATAACTACACAATACTAGTGGTGAAAGTAAACAATATTTATAACACATAAACATCCACAAAATATATATACATGGTTACGACCACAAACTATTATTATAGGACATTTTGAATTATTAAGTCAAGATTTATTAGACTTTAGAAACCATGGACCTGAAAAATAAAAAATACAATTATTAGTTTACATGTTGTCTAATAATTGTGTGTACTAATATAAGCAGATAAAACCTTACAAATGCACATAGCGTTGATAAAGTAGCCATATCCTGGTGGTGAATGAGAAATTTATTCTGGATTTGTTCCATGTACACATTGGCATGCACGTAAAAGAACCCATTGACAGTCTTTATTCATAGCACATTGCATGCCCTTCGTCATTAGCCCTGTTCGTAGAGGCGAGACTCTTCGAAACAAAAAAAAAAAAAAGACAGCCCAATTTAAATATGATGGACATGAACCTTGCCATGCTTGTTCTTTGATAATCGTACATTAACTGACATTTCGATTTCTGATATGACGTCACACCCTGTTCCTGGTCTACTGATTTTGTATGAAAAACCAATTTGCCACGACCATAATTCCCAGTGATTTCACACCCAGTTCCGGGTCTACTGATTTTGTATGAAAAATCAATTTGCCACGACCATAATTCCCAAGTGTGAGCTACATCTGTCTAATCCATTTACCTTGATCAATTCTGGTCGGGCTAGGCCAACATCGGCAATAAACTTCTTAATTTGATCTCTTTGATCTCCTTGTAGCTGGATACACTCGCCGTATTCTGCGTGATCAACTACTGTTCCATTGCAAGCAAATTCCTAAAGAAAAACAATAAATTTTGATAAAATTGCACAGGTAACTATTAACCTATTCAAATATGTGCAGAATTAGCTTATTTTGAAGGGTGTGAGAATTCGAGAATGGGATTCAACATAACATCCTGAAGAATCAAATGTTTTCATAAACAGCCGAAAATTATTATGAAAGTGTGACAGTTCTGGACACATTAAAGGATGCAAGTCTTTAACTCAATATAATCCAGTCTTCGACATTGCAAACAAGACTTATTGGTCAATTTAAATCAACATTTAAGACACAATCAGTTTATATACATTGATATTACATTATTATATGTGACAAAAAGTATGGATTTAGATCCTCAAAAGGATCTAGTAAAATGTTTGAACCAACTAATTCTTTGTACACAATTAATTAACAAACTTACACGTTTACAAGCTTTTACAATCCTTTTGAGGTCGTATTTTGGATTAATGCCCTGGACTGTGGTAAGTGTTTTTCTACCGTTTCTTTGTTGAATTCGTATGTGGATTAATCCTTCTTGCACTTTATTATTACCAACCTCATCTTCTCCGGTATCAGCAAAAGGATCTGAAATAAATTGTCACCCGTTTTTAATAATTTAAATAAATTTGATATATTGCGGCAAGAAGTTTTACAAATTTCACCCATGTAAGCAAATCTGATTAATATCAAAATCTGAATTTTGAATTTTCTATCCCGTCTACGTAGGAAAGTAAGCCCTCAGTTCGACGTTTTACTTACGCACGGACTCTTACTTGTACCTTGTTCATCAAGGCTCCTCTTTACAGATGGTCATTGGTGCTCAACAGTGTAGAAAAAATGGCGCCTCAGGCTTAGTTTAAAATGTCCATTGTGTCTAATGTTTGATATCAGGAGCTGATATTTTCATGGTAAGATATCAGCATTGATTGAAATGGACCTATTCTAAATTCATGTTTTTAATGACAGAAGATTATGGATAATACTGAATTAAAACTTTAGCTAGGTGTACTTTAATTCATACTCAATCCAAATGAAGTTTTATTATTATTGGATTATATAATTTTGAATTCCATGTGGTGAGAAATGTTATTTTTTTGCAAACCAAGATGAATTATGGTGAAAAATAGAAGACATCAAAATAACCTTCAAACAGAAGATGATTTCATATTGCAGCTTATAAGGATGGTCCGATGGACAGATCATTTACACTACAGTCTACAAATAGGGTGGTCCACAGCCTCAAATGTTTGTGCTAATAAAAAAACTCTTGCCTCTTGCACCTGTAATCACAACTACGTGAATGACCAAAATTGAATCACAGGGTCGTTCATGCACTGCAGACAGCAAACATTTGCCCAAAAATAGACATTCACATGACAATATTTATCCACTTATTTATCAATGAGAGAAATGGGGTTTAACGTCCACTCGACACAAACTAGGTCATTTTGGGACTAACATATGGTTTAATTTTATTTCAACAATTTGGTTGCGCATAGGGGTCTTTAGCAGTGGGAGGAAACTGGAGGACCCGCAGAAAACCCACAGGTTGGACAGGCGACCCTACTCCTTGTCACGTACAACCGGGTAATCGAAACCACGCCAGTTGACTCAATGACAGACTTTATGATACAGCGCACGCACGCTAACCATTCAGCCATCCAACCCCCCTATTTATTTATCAATAAAGCCATGACAATTTTCTTTATGTGTTGACATGCGCATTTCTAAATTCAATTTCTTGTTCCAGCTTTCTGTTATGTTTCGTAAAAAAGTAATCTAGTGATTATCCCAGTCTGACAATCAGACGTAGAATGGTCATTAGGCTGGTTAAGCAAGACTAATTTCAAAGCAAGGGCACATAACCTATTTTCAGTCACAAGTGCCCGGATTTTATTCTCGACACTCATTTACCATCTTTCTGTGTATTATTTATGGATGGTATCATGGTCATAGCTTATTAAGTACAACATGACCTTTTATTTAGTGACTAAATACATGTGCGAAACTGATTTACGCTTGATGTAAATATAAATATTGTGGTGTAATTGTCGAGATATTTGGAGATATTTCTTTATGGTGGGTCACCCTACCCTGGGGCACCCTACTGATCTCACACTACACAGCTTATTAAGGCTGTGCAAAAATATTGATATAATCGATAATCGGTAGAAGTTATTTAGAGATACGATAATCGATATTGAAATTCAAATATCGATTATCGGTATATTTACCTTCTGACGGCAAGTTACGGTCACTTTCACATGACTGAACTTGCCGTAGTCTGGCATGCAGACGAATGAACGAATACACAACGTCAACACAACAACTATTTTCCCCCTTTGCTTACAAACTGGCACATTTTAAATATATATTATTGTAAAAAAACTAAACTTTTAGATTAAATACATTATTTTAATATTTTCGTTGTTTTTGTTGTTATTACTAGTTGAAACTAAAATAGGTCACGCACTTTGTGAACAATGACGCTCGGACGTGATATAGTAAAATTAGAATTATCTCCCTTCTTTGCTCTTGATTGATTTGTAGAGAAATTGTCTGCTTTCACGATAAAACTAATTGTATTATTAATGATCAACTCAGCTTTTATTACTAAATCATGTCAGATACAGCCCATACAAAACACGTTTTTGACTTCCCGGGAAAATATCTATATCTCTCGTAATTTCTTGGAAGAATTCTACTTTGGTTTTCGTCAAAATTAACCAATCATAAAAATTCTACTTTGAAAGCCGGTAATTATTTTTTTATTGTCCAATCAATAGACACCTTCTATTATATTTTATTCTATTATTAGTAACACTGTGTGATCGCCAGTAACTTGCAAAGAGAAATCATGTATTGTCTTTGTATTTATTGGAGATATTGGAATAAAAAAAAAGGTTCAAATGAATCAAGAACAAAACTTAGAATAATACTTACTGTCTGATTCATCGTAAATTTTAAACGGATTTCTTCGATTATGAACAAACTACTTAACTTTGGTTATTATAAACTCACCTGTGTGTTTGTAATGAACTCCCGTTCGATAAAATCCATTGCACAACTAATTATCACAACGATGAGAACAATTTCTCTCTTGAAAAATTTGAAAATTTACTTGTAATTTCGACAGAGTCGATGTCAACAATGTCTTCGTGACGTATTGGTCGAATCCAATATACCTGTTGCGGGGGTTGGTTAACATTGAAAGATAGTTTGACAGCGCGATCATTTTGATCATATATGGGTTTGGGCGACGAAAAATATCAATTGAAGGCAATTACATAGGAGATTTATATGGAAACCATTGATCGCCAGTCTATCAAATTTTCTTCACAATTAAAATATCACTGATTGCACGGATACTCGTAAAAGTAAAGTCATGAATAAACTATAAATATCCTATCTTCTTTATGTTATAAATAATTTAACAAGGATCATGAAGCTTACCTCCGAATTCTCTGAGTGTATTTTTAATTTTATACGCATTCTTCCGATCGAATAATAACCGCTTCAGTAACATCTTTAAGCGTGTTGCGGCAGCCCTCAGCGTGTCTATTGCCGTATTGGGTGCCCGGGTGGGTATATAATGCTACTAAGCCCGTATGACTCCGTAAGAAGCGGAACATTAATTCTCGATTCGACAGTTTTGACCGAAGTGTGATAAAGCCCGTAAAACGAATGTATAGTTGTGTTTGTGCGGCATGCATGTTCAAAAGTAAATAATCCCATCCGAGTCACTAATCAAATAATTAGAACAAAATATTTCAAAAAGTAAAGCTATAAAATTTGCAGAGATTTTACTAGAATGTAAAAGACGGTAACTAAATACAGGAATGCGGGTAGTTATGTACCCAGACCACTCCGACCAAAGACTACTCGGACGAAGACCAGTCGGACCAAAACAAGACCAGTCGGACCAATTAAATTATATTATAAGGCTAGACAATATGCTATTTATTTATTATTAAATCACAATACAAAGAAGCAAATAATTCTTATACGGAATTCTTATATTTAGAGTTGTTTGGTTCAATTTTGTGTACGTAAATAAATCAACGATTAGTTTTAAAATTAATTAATAATGGTGCCAAAAAAAAATATCAATCTAATTTTTCTTTACTCTTGCAATGAGACTCGGTATGTCCAGACTTTTGACAGTCTCTACATATACGGGTATACTGTACTTGTCTGATAGCCTAATTTTACTTTTTCCACATTCGCGGTATCCCCAGTGGTTTCATTCCGTTCTACCCCACTAACCCCTGGGTTACTATATATGGGGGGGGGGGGGGGAGACACGTTTTCAAGTTATCCGCCCTTGATGCGTTAATATAAACAGCACATAATAATACGAAGACCGGACGTTTATATGCCCCTTTTTAAACGTGACTACAAGTGTGGTTCTCGATATTTTGCGATTTGGAGTACAATTATCAATTTATTCAAACAACACGTTATTAATAGTTCGAGTAGTCATATTAAAACACACACAATTATCAATTTATTCAAATAACACTTTATTATTGGTTCGAGTAGTCATATTAAAATAAACACAATTATCAATTTATTAAAATAACACTTTATTATTGGTTCGAGTAATTATATTAAAACAAACGCAATTATCAATTTATTAAAACAACATTTTATTATTGGTCCGAGTCGTCTTTCTGTTGGGTCCGAATAGTCTTTTTGTATGGTCCGAGTAGTCTATTTGTTTGGGCTGAGTGGTCTATCACTTGGTCCGACTGGTCTTGAACCGAGTGATCTTTGGTCCGAGTGGTCATGGATTCTTGTCGTAATTGTACTTGAATTTCCTATGCTGTCACCCCTAATACGAAATGATATCTTCCGCAGAGTGACGTAACCATCTTCCATATTGGTATTTTTCTCTGGGAAAAGTTTGTGATATTTCAATTTTTCAAGAGAGAACTTGTTTTCATCGTTGTGATAATTAGTTGTGCAATGGATTTTATCGAACGGGAGTTCATAACAAACACACAGGTAAGTTTATAATAACCAACGTTAAGTAGTTTGTTCATAATCGAAGAAATCCGTTTAAAATTTACGATGAATCAGACAGTAAGTTAATCCTACATTTAGCAACTAATTATTTTACATTAATTGATTTTTTTACGTACATCGGCACAGTATTAGACTATGATAATAACACTACTGTAACTCGATCAACACAAATAACAGGTCGGTAAAGTTCGGTTTTTCCGGAAGAATGATTGATAATCGATTATTATCGATAATCGCCGACAAATTCTTGCTGATAATCGATATTGAAATTTCATATCGATTCCCAGCCTTACAGCTTATTCCTTAGTTTTAGTTTTGTTCGTGAGTACTACTCCTATTATTTACGGACCAGGCTAAGTTATGAATGCCTCTCCACTTTTGTTCTGCACTTATTTTTTTTTTATTGACGACTACCCCAACAAAATTGCATTATCAGCTGACAAATAATTATTAACAGTGACAATGTTTATGTTATGTATGTATGTATGCCAATTCAATTCGACAATTGACGTATTGAAATGATCACTAGTAGACATTACAGTACACAAACCTTATTAAGAACAATTATAACCAAAAATAATTTGATGACATGGAAATCCTTACCAACACGATTATATTCAACACTATAATATCTAAAGTTAGGAAGTCGAAAAGACGCAATTCCTGATGTCGACCGGCCTGCCTCGTCGTAAGCTTATAAAAGAAAATAACAACAAAATCTAGGTCAAAAATAAAATGCGTATTTACCGTATCCCCCTTTTAAGTTCTGGATACTATCGGTAGTCATACAAGCTAATAAAGGTTTCTTCTTAACAAAGATGCTTATTCCAGCTTTTATATGAAGTTTGATCGCTAAAGATTGAGATGGATTAGAAGTCAGTTGCTGAAATACAAAGGAATTCGACGAATCAATGGCCTCTGATGACGTCAGGGCAGATTGTTGTTGGAGGCTAAAACATGCCCTGTACTAAAATAATTTTCTCCTCAATGTTACCTCTTTTTTTACTGTATCTAATATGCAATCACCAATTGTATTCGAAACTTTTGTAAAACGGCAATTATAAATTCAATATGAAAAAAACATATTAAAGTTTGGATTGGAGATTATGTGATTAACATGGCCGAAGAATGAAGCTTGTTAGAAATACACACTTTTTAGCTGACTATTATTCTTGTTATTATATTATAGAACAAGTTAAATTTACCACCTAAACGTTAAAAAATATAGACACATAAATATGAATGGTTGTGCACGATTTCTAAATATGTTATAACAACATGACAAGCTAAAATTGCACAGAATCTAACTTTGTAAATCAGTTAATTTAGAAGTGTGTTGATGGTGGTAGTTGAAGAGGGTCATGTGTTTGCTGTAATGAGCCTCCAGTATTAAAGTTAAAGTGGTGTCAGAAGGCTAGTTTTAAAGAGTATTGTTATAAATTAGACATCTACCAAAGTAGACAAACATGGCAGAGTTTTATGATCCAGCCAGCCCAACAGAGTAAGTTACAATATAAAATCAACCCCAGTCAGGCTACAGGATCAGGGGTAGATTTGACCCAAGTCACCCAATACTTCAATACTAACCAACAAGCAATACCATTGTTATCAAAGACTTACAGAATACTTCAATTATTTCAACAACAATGAATTAATTCCTGGAAAAATAGCAAAATTTAAATGGTAAACTGGAATGTCTAATCTGCTGTAGGAGCTTTTATGGGATTCCCTTTTGACCTCTTTTTTTCCCCACATAGAAACCTATAGCCACATTCTAGGCCATTATATCTTACTGAGTGAAAATACCCTTGTTTCGTCAGATTGTATTGTGTGAAATGGAACTGGCAAGTATTTCCATACGTGAAAGGTTTACTGACTGATGTCAGAAGTTGATATTATGACATTATTAACGTATTACATGTATTTCTCATTTTAGAGGTTCTAATCCATGATTCTGTGATATCGTCTTAAATTTTGTCACGAAACCACACACCACCTCTAATCCACAAATTATTTACTCCACTGCTTTTTTTCCTCACGTTTTTTACAACCAAACAGATAAGGTCTATCAATTTTGGTAGGACAATTAAAGATACATTCCTGCTTACAAACTTTGTGATTTGATGATATATTTGGACTAAAAACATATTCAAAGTAACCAATCTATCACAAATTGCTTCAATTCCCTCTCAAAACTTTATATTCGCCGGGGATACCTATAGCTATAAGTAAGCGATCATCACAAGTTAGTGAATGATTTTAAACCTTGAAAGAACAAAGTAAATAGTATCCATTCCGAACTGTTTTACACATGCTCGATTGATCACATATATGCAGTTGTATTGAGCTTTTCACATGACTTTCTATAATAAGTGCATGTGGGTTTTTTTATTTAAAAAAAAAAAGAATGTAGTCTACTTTATCAACAAGTGTGGAGTTTATTGTAAACTGTGGTTGATAAAGATAATTAATGATAACCGTAATTTGGAGAAAATTGTTGTGTATTAAATTTAAATTCAATCCTAACATTCTGAAAATAACCTAATTACTTATAGTCTAGCAATGCAGGCCTGTAACAATCACAAACACTTGAAAATTAAAAATAGTATGATCTCTGAAATATTGGTTAAGTCCAATACTATTACACAAATTTGTCACTTATTTATGGAATACCCTTTGCAGTTTAAAGTACCAGTACTATATATTATATTTGCAAATGGAGATCACTTTTGCTACTGATTTACATTGATATTAATATTAAGACTTTAGACTTTAAAGTGATTTTGATCCTGATCCTGGGCATACAATTATAGACCATATGAAATTAACCCGTGCTGTATTATAATAGAATAAATTCAATCAACTGTACATCTCTTGTATTTTTTTTTTTTTTTAGGGAGTTTGAGGCAGAGTTTGGTGATGGCATGAGACACAAGAATAGGCACCATAATGATCCAGGCTTTATGAAAGAAGATCCAGCTTCAAAACTGCCCAGTATTTTAGATATTGAAATTCCTATAACTGAGAGATGGGTTGAAGTTGACGAACCTGTCATTGATGGACCGGGATATAGAAAACCAAAAAAGAAGAAGAAAAAGAAGAAAAGACTAGACTCGTTTGATGATGAACCCATGGCTATACCTGCAGAAACTGAAATTGTTGAAGAAGAATACAGTGAAAGGTTCAATGAAAGACATCGTGATTTTGGTCGCAGAAGATCGGACTCTAGACACCGTCCACGATTTGGTGAACCTTTTAATGAAGATTCAAATGAATCTGATCGTTTTGAGAGACGCCCGCCTAGGTTTGGTCGTAGAGGTCGACGGCATCCTAGATTCGATGATAGTCCCGGATTTGATGGTCCTCATTTTGATTTTGTGGATGGACCACCAGAATTTGACAGACCTCCAGAATTTGACAGACCACCAGAATTTGACAGACCTCCAGAATTTGACCAGCACCCTCCATTTGATGGTCCACCAGGGTATGATGGACAACCAGCACCTCATTTTATTCCACCAGAATTTCAACAATTTGGTGGTGATCCACAATTCCCCGGCAACAATTTTCCTCAACCAGGATATAATGGACCACCCCAACAGTTTCCACCTAGCGTTCCTCAAGAGCCATTTCCAGCTAATTTCCCCCAGGGTTTTCCTGATTTTCAAACATTTGTGCAACATCAAGCCTTTTTTCAGCAGCAACAACAACAGATGTTAGCCAGCCTGCAAATTCCTGTAGCAATGCCAGTTCCTACTGAAGCTATGCCAGTTCCACCTGAAACTATGCCAGTTCCTCCCGAAATTATGCCTGTTCCTCCTGAAGCTGTACATCAGATACATCCTCCTGAAGCTGTACATCAGATACATCCTACTGAAGCTGTACATCAGATACATCCTCCTGAAGCTATGCATCAGATACATCTTCCGCAATCTGCAGCACAAGTAGTACAGTCTATTGACCAAGCAAATCCTACACCTCCTGCAGCTCCTTTAGTTTTGGATGAGATTCAACTCCCACCACCACCACCTGATATCTCACTTAAAGAGCTTGAAAATAAAAACATTAAAACTGAAGTAAATAACACTAAATTAAAGGCGGCTTCTGGCACTGGAGATGAGCCAATTGAAATAGAAGATTCTCCTCCAAATTCTGTTGAAGCAATAGAAGAGCCTGAAGAAATTATCCAAGAAAAAACAGAACCTGAGGAGCCAGAAGAAGAACAATCAGCTGCTAGGAAATTATTAAATAAAATCATGCAAGCCACAAAAAGTGGTGAAAAACAACTTCCCGCCTTGAATCAGTTACCACCTATGATTGGTAAAGGACTACTAAATGTAAAATCTAGTGTTAAGAGTAAAATATCATTTCAACTGAAACCGATTATTAAAACTGTAGAAGGGTCAGGTGGTGAATCTGAAGAAGAAGAAGACCAACAACAAGCAAATTTGAAGAAAGATGTACCTTTAAGGCCTAAGGTTGTAAAGAAACCAGAAATCTTCAAACCAGATGAGGATATAAATGATCCAAGTGTTCAACAACTGGTCCAAATCCGTGATACACTTGAGGCTAGGGAGAAATTGCAGAAGGAAGAATACTATCAGGCATTGGCAGTTTTGAATCAACAGAAAGCAGAACTTCGTGAAGAACCAACTGTACTTGTCCAAAAATTTGCTAAAAAAATAGAAGACTCACAACTTAAAGCAAAAGCCAAATCTCGATGGTCTGATGGTGCTGATCAAAATAATAGTAATGCAGAAACTGCAAGCGCAGAGGTATGTGACGATATCAAGACAAAAGATACTTCAGAGGTAACACAAGAATCTAATGATATCGAGGCTAATGATAAAGAAGACAAAGAGAATGACAACACTGCCAAGTCCTCTAATAAAGACAAAAGTCGTAGTCCATCCAAGGACAGAAGTAAGAAATTAAAAAAGCAAAGTTCTGAGAGAAGTACTTCAAGAGATAAAAGCAGAGAAAAATCAAGACATCGTTCAAATGATAGAAACAGAGAAAGGAAGTCAAAAAGATCACGGTCAAGGTCTGGCTCTTATGATCAGAGATCAAGTAGATCCTACAAAAGACGTTCAAGATCAAGAGATAGAGGATATGACAAAGGACATGACCGAGGGTATGACTGGTCACGAAGGGGAAGACCTTGGTATCATAACAGACAACCATATGGCAGATACCAACATTATCAAAACTATCATCATCGAAGATATGTTGATGATTATAGAAAGTCTGATTATTATGACCAAAGAAGAGATAGAAGAAGTTCACCTCATAGATCGCGTAGGAGGAGTTCATATTCTAGGTCAAGGTCTAGATCTAGATCAGTGAACAGAGGAAGAGGTAAATCAATCGAAAAAGTTATTGCAGAAACCGTTGAGGAAATGTTGAAATCTGAAAATGGCAGCCAGTCTCGCAAAGGACGTAAAATGAAGGAAAGACAAAGAGAAAAAAAGAGAAGAGAAAGTAGTAGCAGTAGCAAGTCATCTTCTGAAGAGACCAGTGAAGAAGAAGAGGAAGAAGAAGAGGAAGAGGAAGAAGTACAAGTCAAGACTTTACAGTCTAAAATTAAATCTAAAGATGCTACAGAGAAAAGGAAGGAAGTTTCAGAAAGTAGTGACTCTTCGGAGTCAGAGGTTGAAAGTGAAGAAAGCAGTGAAGAAATAGATCAACAAAAGCACAGCAAGCAAAGAAATGGTAAAGAAAATAAAGATGTTAAGAATAAAACCTTAACAGAAAGGGACGAAAATTCCAAAGTACAGAAAAACACTAAAGTACAGAAAAACACTAAAGTAGAGACAAAATTGAAAGTGAAGAAGAGCAGCAAGGATACTAGAAGTAAAAAAGTAGAAGACACTTCTGATGATTCAGATGATACAACTGATTCGAGCTCCAGTTCAGAAGATGAGAGTGAAGATTCCCGACCATCTAAAAGACATGATAGATATGTAAAGGACAAAGAGGTGTACTCTAAAAAGCAGAAAGATTCTGTTGATAATGTAGTCAAAAAGAGGGATGAAGATATTAAAAAGTCACAAAGACATTCTTCAAATAAGAATTATGATTCTGAAGAAGAAAAAATTCAAAGAACTAAAGATTCAAAAAAGTCTAAAGATTCTTCAAAAGAAAGCCGCACCAGAAAAAGACATGATACCACTTCAGAGGATGAATCATCATCTGAAGAAGATAGGAAAAAGAAGAAACAATCAAAATCTAAATCACCTGTTCCAGATAAAAGTAGAAAGCGTTATGAAACCAGTACAAGTGATGATACATCACCAGAAGATAGAAAAAATAAAAATAAAAAATCAGCAAAGGAAAAGGTCCACCAGAAGAAAGTGAAATCAGACAGAAAAGACAAGTCATCTGACCATTCTAAAAGTAGATATAGGAAAAATCGTGAAGAAAGTGAGAAAATGGAAGAAGGATCAGATGGTGAAGTTAATGTGAGGCATACAGAAGAAATAATGAAATCTAAATCTAAATTAGCCCAGAAAGATCATAACCAAGAAAAAGATAAAGATGACAGCTCATCTGAGTCTGAATCTGATTGTTCTGGGAAGGAAATAACTGCATTATCTGTGCAGAAACATGACATCAAAGAAGACTATAAAATTAAATCAGCAAATGTGATTCAAATGGAATATGGAGATGCTAAATTGGAAAGGTATCCTAGATATGACAAGAAACAGAAGAAGGAATTAATGGCTACGGAAGAACGAAAAGTAATGGAAAAGGCCATTAAATCTAAAGAGTCTGGCCAGAGGGATGAATTCAAGGGCATAAAACGCAGAAACTCTTATGAAGCTGAAGAAAAAGAAAGTGAGTATAGAAATGAAAGTAAAAGGGATAAAAAAGAAGACACAAGAGCTGATAAAGCAATGGAAAAAACAAGGGAGGTTGATCATTTGGATAAATCAATGGATCTAAATACACCTTCCAAGAGAATAAGGGAGAATGAAGAGAATTCAGCCACAACTGGCACAAGACTCAGTGATGAAAGCATAGAACAACTACGACAATCTAATAAAGAATTTTTTGAAAAGATGCTCGATACGTCAAAGAAGAAGCATGACAAAAAATCTGAAAAATACGGACAGTCAGGCATTTCTATCAGGGATATTAAACCGAAAGTGGATGATGACAAAATTCAACAACGTTCACTCCCAAAGGATTACTCTGAAGATGTTACATATAAATCAAAAATTTCATCCAAACATGATGGAGAGATAATGAGTCGACCAAACATTTCATCCAAACATGATGGAGAGATAATGAGTCGACCAAGAAGGTCTGGCAAAGAATTAATTGATGAAGAATTTGATCAATCGAAACAAAAACATTCTGGTAAGAGGCACAATAATGAAAAAACTGATAAACCTTTATTTAATAAAGAATTCATTAATGATGATGTTCTTAATTCTAGCAATGCACAAGATTTAGATGATAAGTTTGAAAGACCTAAGAGATCGAGCCAAGAATGTGCTGAGGATAACTTTGAATCTGCGAGACACAAACAAACTGATAGAAGACACAGTAATGAAAAAAATGAAAAACCAAGAAAATCTAGCAAAGAATTTACTACAGATGATTTTGATACAAACAAGAAACATGACACAGGGTTGGATAGACCAAGAAAATCTAGTAAAGAATTTCTTCATGATGAATTTGATACATTAAATCAAAAGCATTCTGGCAAGAGATACAGTGAAGAACATTTGGAAAAACCCAGGAGATCCAGCAAAGAATTTACTGAATTTGAATTTGATGCTTCAAAACATTCGGACAAGCGATACGGTGATGAAAAGAAAGAGAAGCCAAGGAGATGTAGCAGAGATTTTATAGAAGATGATTTTGGCGTTCCAAAGCATCCAGGCAAGAGACAGAATGATGAAATGATAGACAAACCTAGGAGATCAAGTAAAGAGTTTACTGAGGATGATTTTGGTTCTTCAAGGCATGGTAAAAGACACAGTGATGAAATGGAGAGACCTAGACGATCAAGTAAAGAGTTCAATGAAGATGATTTTAACGCCCCTAGACATACAAGCAAAAGACATAGTGACGAAAAAACAGCTAGATCAAGACCGTTAAGTAGGGAATTCACTGAAGATGATTTTGATGTAGCCAGAAGAAAATTTGATGACAATCTTAGGCCAAGACATTCTTCCAGGAGATTAAGTGAAGAGAATCTGCCAGAATCCAGACACATGGACAGATATCTTGAAAATGAAGACAGACTGACCGACAGAAGGTATGAAGGTGATGATTATAAGAGAGGTAGAATTCCTTATCGGGATGATGATTTTGAGGGAGGGAGATCTTATAGAAGACAATATTATGATGAGATTGGCCCATCTGGTCATGGATTGTATGAGGACGATTTGGAAAGAGATAGATGGTTGGGTAGAGGTCACCCTGAAGACAGTGCCAGGGATTCTAGAAGGTATAAAGACGAGAGAAATGAATTTACACCAGTGGAACCTGGATATTTGTCACCATCCCATCCTTGCTATGATGAGCGTGACAGACCAAGAAGCTATGACAAGTTTCCACAATATGTTAGAAGTAAGTGGGAATCTTCAGAAACAGAGTGGGAAGATACTTATAAGCATGAATATGGTAGAGATTTTCCAAGGGAAGAGGACGATAGAGTTGATGATGTTTTAAGGAAAGATTGGAATATTGAGGATGACAGGAGATTGGAGAAACGTGATGGTTATTATAGGGGTAAAGATGTTTGGTCTGATAATCCTCAAGACAGACGCAAAGAAAGGAACATTCCAGGTGATGACATAGGTCTAGATTATCCCAAAACAAGAAGACACCCTGATTATGACAGGGATAGCTCTAAAGATTTAAGAGAGAAATCCCACAGACACAAATACTATGATGAGGAATTTGAAAAAAAATATAAAAATGAGGATAGAGCAGTTGTTAAACACTTTGATGATGATTTTTATAATAGAACTAGAAAAGAAAGAGAGGTCAGTACCAAAAAGTCTGCAGCTGAAGCAGAAATTGATTACTATACTGGGAAGAAGAACCGCCATTTTGAAAGTCCAAAAGGAGACAACAAAGTATCCAGTAAACATTATAGAAGTCCAACTAGTTCAGAGATCCCTGAAAAAAGAGACAGAATGGAAAAGATCATTGATCGAAAGGACCAAGAAATTCCCTCTCTGATGGATTTAGACTTGCAATCCGGTACAAAACATCCACAGCTGAAGGAGGAATCACCTCAAATAAGGGGCTCCATAAGTGATGGTAAAATTGAGAGTCAGACCAAGGATGAAAAACTAACCCACAATTTTAAGAAACAGAGGCGAAAGTTTACAGATTTGCCAATGAGTGATACAAGTAAAATTGAATATGAATCTAAAAATGTTGACCTTAAGGATAAAACAACTTTACGTCATAGCCCTTGTCCAGTTATTGCTACAGATGTGAATAAGAATAGCTCATTATCTTCACTTCAGACATATGATGAAATACTGTCTGAATCAGATCTAGAGTCAATGAAAGTCAATTCACCTCGTAATGTGTTACCCATGAAGGAAGCCATTGTGGCAGCTTCTAAAGTAGGACCAGTTCCATCAAAACTAGTAGTGGATGCCAAAGATGCAGAATCATTTGAGGCCAAAACCAATCACATCTCACTTGTGGCAAACAAGAATATGGAAGATAAAGAACAAGTAGCAAAATTTGAAGCAGAAAAACCTGCTTTGAAAACTCTTACGGTAAACTTGGAAAGATTAGGTGATATATCTTTAGATAAATCAGGCAAAATGGTTATCAGTCCACCAAAGACTAAATCTAAATTAGAATTTCCACACAATACAAAATTATCTCCTGTTGAATTGCCAGTTTCTGCACCCAGAATGGGGCTAGAATTGACTGATATTCCCCTTCCTGGGGAACAGTCTGCACCACCTCCAGTACAGCTTTTAGAAATAAAAAAAATTTATCCAAATGAAGTTCCTATTTCAGCAACATCAAACTTGTCTGCGACATCTATTCGTAGATCAACTAGAATATCGGCAAGAAGGGAATCGGCTGATGTTTCTGAACAACATCCTTCATCAAAACCAGAACCTGCATATAAAAGTTCAGCAGATGTGAGTCAGATTTCAGCCAGTCCTATAGTTCAGTGTGAACTAACCTCTAGCTCTGTAGTAAATTTGCCTAATACTGATGCAGTTAGACCAAAAATAACTATGAAATTCTCAACCAAGTGGGACAAAGGCAAAGTGAAAGTTGGAGAAACTGAAATATTTGGCATTGAGGCTGAAACACCAAAACTTAAGTTTAATCCATCTTTATTAATGGATGATAAAGATAATAATTTAATACAGGAGCCTTCAAAACCAGTGACTCCAACTGCACCTGTTGAAGCACAAGAAGCCCTTACAGCAGAAATTTCACAACCAAATGAGGAAATTATCCCAAAGCCTGTTGATCAAATTAAATCCAAGTCACCACCCGTGATCAAAACCAGAAGAAGTAGTAGATTAAGTGCCCATGCAGCTAATGAAGCCTTACTGAATCTAAACAACAACTCTTCTAGGAAAACTAAGGGTAAAAAAACAGTTGCTTTAGAACCCAATGCTAATGAAGTAACCTCTTCTCCGTCTACAAGTCCTTCATTAACTCCAGAGGTTGCACCAAAAACAGTAGCAAAAGAACTTGTAGAAGCTGTTCCTACAAGACGAAGAAGTACCCGATGCAACAAACAACCACAAACAGAAGGCTGTACTTCTGAAACTACTGACATTGTTTCTACATCAAATCAGGATGACATAAAAGTTCAACAGCAACCAGCACCTCCATCTGAACAAACTCAAGAAGAAATGCAAACACCAGGTAATCTTTTGGACGTTGGACCAACAGGAACAGAGATTGTGACTGAAGAAGCTGAACAGAAGAGTGAAGAAAAAGAGGGTTTATTTGAACAGGTAGAAGAAGAAATAAGGCAGAAAATCATACGGGAAGTAGATGATAGAAAGAAAGTAAAATCAGACTGGCAGGATAGAGACTCTGAGCGTAGAGATAGAAAAGACAGAGATAGATATGATGATAAAAGGGATAGAAGCAGAAGATACCATGATGATGATAGAGATCGTGATCGTTATCGTAGCTATGATAGAGACAGAGATTATGATGATAGGAGGTATCGTGATAGAGGAAAATACAGAGACAGAGAACGGGACCGTGAAAGAGATAGAGATGATTATCATAGAAGTAGCCGACGTGGCAGTGATAGAGATAGAGATAGTAGAGATCATTATGAAAGACGATCTAGTAGAAGATATGACAGAGAAAGTAGTAGTCGATCTAGATCACCAGAATTCATCAGTAAAAGGCCAAGTAAAGTTGAAAATGAAAAACCCACAACAGAAGAATTTCCTAAATTTGATCCACCAGTGAAAGTTACACCTTTAGATATATTTCATACCGAAGTAACAAAAAGCACTTTTACTCCACAGGCCATATCACCAGTTGTTGCATCGTTACGACCCACTAATCCTCCGTCTTACTTTAAAGATATGACAGATATTGCCGATATTCCACCACCACCAAACTATGCTCCTTCTCCTCAGTCTAATGTGATAACAATTGTTCCTACACAAACTCCAGACTCGTCAACAAGTCCGCCCAAACCTATGAAAGTCAAGTCAAGATGGTTACGTTTCAGTGAAGCTGAAGCCTTAGAAAGTAGTGATTCAAGCCCAGTGACCAATATCCAATATGTTGATGATCCTTCTTTGATAGCAACACCACATCAGTCTGGAAGATCAACATCAAACCTTGTGCCTTTAACTGGTCCTTTAGCACCTGTTTCTAACATACCCCTACCATCAACATCCCAACCAGTACCAGTAAATATACAATCAAACGCTCATTCAAATCTAGTATCTATTGTACCAGTTGAAACATTACCACAAACTGTTCCCTTCCAAGTCGCCAAGGCCCCAATACCTTCTACTTACAGACCTTATGTAGAAAAACTACCTCAAATTGATGAAACTGTTACTCATCCATCTTTATCTTCGGAGAACATTGAACATCAAGCTCTTATTGATGAAAAATCTTTTAAAAACAGAACTAATATATTTGATACCTTGAACTCACAATGCCTGGATGAAAGTCTTAGATCTGATGTATCCAGTAGCCAAGAAACAGTCACCATTTCTCAACCATCTATAGACCATGGAGATACCACTCCGAACGAGTCTGCCAACGTAGAACCAATCACCGAAACCATGCCGTATTTTGAACAAATTGATGAAAACCTCTATCTCACCGAGAGGTAAGTTTAAGTGTCTTTTACAATAAATCTTTCAACCAGATTAACTTAAACGTCTGGATGAAATCTAAGAGCAAAATAAACCAGTTTAAAAAACTCAGCTCTCTACCTGGCATTGAGAAGGCTTTTCTTAAAAGCTATCTTATCTTGGGTGTCTGAATCAGAAGGCTTAAAATGTTGGCCCCAGCTTGCTTTGGGCACAAGCAGTAAGCGATCTTCCTGTAAAAATGACGACATGTGTAATTAAGTCTAACCTATAACCGACGAGGTCAAAATTACTCAAAATAGTCAAATTGGTTTGGCTTATAAGAATATAGTATGTGTAAAAGCAACACTATCCTGTAATCCCCTTTTATTTTGAATTTGTTTAAATATAAGCGTCTGAACAGGCTATTAATTAGATTAATGTTTTCAATCCAGTAATTACTAAATATTGACATTTAATGATTTTGTTATTTCACTTTCATAGAAGGTATTTTAATAGAAGTAAATGATTATTTTTAACTGCTTTGGAAGATATGGAGATATTTGAATGATGTGTATTATGTTTTATATAGACATCAATCTAAACAGATGAAGAGAATGGTATGCGATTGTACAACAAGTAAAGAAGATAGAGATAATGGAATAGAAGCTTGTGGTAATGATTGTCTCAATCGTATGTTGTATATCGAATGGTAAGAAAGGTTTTCTTTTCTCTCCCTACAAGAACTGTAAACTTAGAAATAACGCTGATAATTATACATGTAGATCTCATTGAATTTGTGCCCCTTTTGGCTCAGGCATTTATTTCTTGCTACATTCAAGTCAGTCTATGTGAATAAATGCAAAAATTTACAGACAGAACCATTCATGCTGATTTTTTTTGTAATTAATTCATTTCATGTAGACCAGAATCAGTACAATCTAGTAATATTTCTTACAGGCAATGGAGGTAAAATAATTTAAAAACATAGACCTTTACCCTCTGTCAAATCAAATGATTACATGATTGCAGGAAGGGAGCACAAGATGGAAGATTGTATTTTGTCAATCTGATTAAAATATAGATCTATATTTCATTTCGTTTTTTTTTATACTTTCGATGGCCTACACTACATGAAGATCTGACCAGTTGTTTTGAGAGGTCGCTTAAGGTCGTCTGAGCGGCTTTTGACCCTATGACATTAGACATTTGATTAACCAATCCGCATTGATGTTTCTAATGGATTACCCACAGTTCCTTGCACCTCACGGCAAAAGCTCTCCGTAACAAGCGGTTTCATTGGCTAATCCCGCACATCATCCAGAACACGTTGATGATAAGAACTCTTCCAGATCCTAGTTTAGTATTAAGTAATGACAAGTAAAACAAAATTTTGAACTATAAAAAACGAAAGGAAATAGGATCTGTGTTTTAATCAGATTGGTATTTTTATACGCCCACATTTTTATGTAGACGTAGATTGTGTCGCCCCTGTTCATCCGTCCTTCCGTCCACAATTGTTTGTGAACAATCTACAGGTCACAATTTTTATCCGATTTCAATGAAACTTGAAATATAGGTTTATCACCCTAAGATCTTGGTTCCTTTCGCTATTGGCATGTATCGGACTGTAACTTCATGGATTATGGCAATTGATTATATGAAAAATCACATTTTTAGCTTGTTAATACTGTAGAAATCACAATTTTTATCCAATTGGTTACAAACTTGAAATGTATGTTTATAACCCACAGATCTCGGTTCCTCTCCATATTCGCGCATATCGGACCATAACTTCCTAAATTATGGCCCCTGATTGTAATAAAATCGTGTTTTTAGCTTGTGAACCCCATAGAGGTCACAATTTTTATCCAATTTAAAAAAACGTTACAATATACCGTTACACCTAAGGATGGTTAAGTTCGAATTTGTAAAAATCGAACCGAAACTGACAGAAAAAATGGCCGCCCCTCGTTTGCAAATAGTGTCAAAATATTGTGTATCAGGGTTGTGGACCCTCTGGAGATCACAGTTTTCATCTGATTTTGATGAAATTTGAAATGCAGGCTTATAAACCCACAGATGCCGGACAAAATGGCCGCCCCTCGTAAGCAAATAGTGTAAACATCTGGTAAATCAAGGTTGTGGACCCTCCAGAGGTCACAATTTTGATCCGATTTCGATGAAACTTTAAATACATGTTAATAACCCAAAGATATTGGTTCCTTTCGATATTTGCACATATCGGGTTGCAACTTCCTGAATTGATTGAACAAAAAATCACGTTTTTAGCTTGTGGTCCCTGTAGAGGTCAGAATTTTTATCCGATTTAAAAAAAATATGTGTGAATGTATCACCCGTACACACTAAGATCTTGGTTCCTTTTGATAATCGCGGATACTCAAACTTAACTTCCTGGATTATGGCCCCTGATTGTTCTATAAATCGCATTTTTAGCTTGCGAATTCTCTAGAGGTCAAAATTTTTCTGATTTTAAAAAACGTTTAAATACATCATCATTCCACCATAATGAAGCCTGAATTCCTATTTTGGGAAAATATAAATGAAACTGCTCAACAAAATGGCCGCTCTTTGTACGCAAATTGTGTAGAAGTGTGTAATTTGAAGGTCGTTGAACCTCTAGAGGTCACAATTTTTATTCGATTTTGATGAAACTTAAAACATATCTTTATATCCCAAAGATCTCTGTCCCTTTTGATATTTGCACATTTCAGGCCATAACTTTCTGGATTATTGCCCCTGATTGTACAAAAAATCACGTTTGTTTTTAGCTTGTTTTCAATCCATCTCTTGCAAAATGTGGACGTATCCTGCCTGGCAGTCGCTGGTATTAAAAGATTTAGATTTATATACGTACATAAATAGAATGATTTTTTTTTTTTTTTTCAGTGGATCACGATGTGCTTGTGGTGAATATTGTAACAATAAGAAATTTCAAAATGTAAGTTTTTCTTTATTTATTTCTTTATTCTTCAAAGAGACATCTTGACAAACAAAATAGTATAAAATGATAGGTGATATTTTCAATCGCCAGCAAAGTATTTATTTTATTGCCCCCTACCTAATGAAATGGATACGTTTGTCCCACCAATGTCTTGACAAATCTTGATAATGAGCTTTTACTGCAACTTTGGAACATGATAATTTTGGTTCTAGTTAAGTGGCGTATAGTGTCATTACATCAATACCTTAACTAAGTTTGATCATGAGCATTTTCTGCTTGGGTTAAGCATGTTGGTAAAGAATTTGTTTGTGCGATGCTTTATAAAAAGATAAATGTGCGAGTAATTGATGGATCTCCTATTTATTTTTTGATGGAAACAGGGACATAATGAATGAGGATGTCAAGAATGATTTTGCTCATACAATCTTTTTTAGAAATGTGAATTGTAAAATTGTTACCAATAAGACGTTTGATGTTACTGATAACTGTATTTCTTGCAGAATTTCTGCTATTGAAAATTTATATATGATATGATGAAATTTTAGAGACAAATTAAACATTAGAATACCAGATACGTTTTTAATAATGTTATAGTACATCTAAATACATAATATATTCTTTACAGCTTGTATACAGTAACGTAGAAGCTTTTCAGACGTCATGGAAAGGCTGGGGTTTAAGGGCTGCTGAAGAACTAGAAGCGTAAGTTTTATATAACCGATGTATAATAAATTTGTCCAAACTAATGATTTCATTGGCCATGTAGGTCGATTCTGCAAACCAATCAAAAACAGTTTACATACGTTCATGTTCACCACAATACTGCAGCTTGTGCGCCCGATTATGAGAAAGTTTGCAAGAAAGTTAATATCAAAGAATTGACATGCACATAAAAAGGTGTCTTAAAATCTTTTGACATAGTTTGCAACAAAATCTTTTGATTGGTCGATAAATATAGCACAATTATCAAGGGTGGATAATTTGACTGTGTCTCGCCCCTGAATGAGTTAGTGAAGTAGAACGGAATGATGCCACAGGGAATACCGAGGATGATGGTAATACTGGCAGGCCATTTTCCAGGATCTTTGTATGGCCATTCAAGCCCTTTGTTGTATCCAGCCTTCCGAAGAAAGCAGAAACTTTATAGAATTATTGTATTGATGCGCTTTATAAATTTTGATATATTATGATTATTTAAATAAAAAGACAAAAATGTTTTGTTTCAACAGAGATAAATTTGTAATGGAGTATGTAGGAGAGGTTTTAGATTACAAGGAGTTTAAGAATAGATCAAAACAATATGCAAGAGATGAAATCAAGCATTTCTATTTCATGGCTTTGAACCCTGATGTTCTGATTGATGCTACACTTAGAGGAAATATTTCACGATTTATCAATCATAGTTGTGATCCAAATTGTGAAACACAAAAGGTAAGTAAGCATTTTAATTCCGCTAATGGACGAGGAAGGAATTTATTACATCAATTTCTGTTTTTTGTTATGTCTAATACAAATTAACTTTATCCTTCTTTATTAATTATTAGTCCCCGGTAAATATAGACAATTGGTCTTGGCAATCATTTGAAATATTTTAATGGTCATTTTATGTGTATTTTGCTTGTTTATGCCAGGCTTGAATTCATTATACAAAGTGCGATAACTGAAACAGTCTGATTTTAAAAGCTCGCCAAAGATTAAAACATCAATCTAGAGAAATTGTAAAAAAATATTTCAATAATAATGTTTTCACTTGTGTTTACAGTGGACAGTTAATGGTGAATTGAGAATAGGATTTTTTACTAGAAGAACTATTTCACCTGGTGAAGAACTCACTTTTAATTATCAGTTTGAAACATATGGGTATGTTCATTTTCATGTATGGATTAAAACCACTTATGAAATCTTGAAAAATATGTCAGACATTTGAGACCCTTCAGAAAAAAAAAGTAGTGGTCCTAAATATATGTTCAGTCTTGACAGTGGTTGTCTCTTGAATGACACAATTGAATTAGGCTAAAATATCAAATCATTAGCTACACTCACATAACAAGTCAAGGTGACCCTATTGTTAAATGTGTGTGTGTGTTGGGGGGGGGGGGGCGTGGCGGAGGGCTCAGTGAGAAAGGTGATGACTTGTTAACCTGTTGGTCCAGGGTTCAATACTGGTTTTGGCCGAGAAAGATGCCCGGGATTTTCCAGCGTGGTTTCGGCTGGTCAGTGTTGCAGAATGGAGTGCCGATGAGATGAAAAATCAAAGGTCCTGCACATGATAGAACCTTTGACCGAGGGAATTTGATAAAGAGTAGACGGAAACAGTGCTATCCAGGGAAAATTTCACTCATAGCAGTGCATGGTGTATTGTTAAAACCCATTTCATTTCTTTTCTATTGTTAAAGTAACACATATCTTTGATTTGAAACTGAAATAAAATGACCTTAAATCAAATATACTGCTGGCATCATATATCATTGAATCGATGTATCACGATTTACCTTCTCACGATTTGCGTATTGAATTGCGACACACAATTTTTATTTGTCTTAATTATCAGCGTCACACATTATCTATAGGTCCACAAACACTTTTAAATTGTTTTGGTCCTTATTTTGATCCACATCAATATCATGATATAAACAGTTTTATTTCTTTGACACTGGCAGGACTAAAATTATTAATTATTCATTTAATCTGTTGTTTACTTGGTAAATATTGACCTGGTTATGAATCATGATATAAATCTTATCGTAGCACCTGAATTGCAATACGTATCATTTCGTGATTTCAGTGGCAATACCCAGCACTAATCCAATATCTCTTAGTCAACATGCAGTCTTAAAGTTCAGTGTAGTTGAAAAATAGTTATTATTTATGCATTGCCTATTTACTTTTGATTTGATATTTTTGAACAGAAAAGCAGCTCAGAAATGTTTTTGTGGGTCAGATAATTGTCGTGGTGTAATCGGTATTGAGAAACCACTACCATATAAGAATAAGAAGAAAGACAAAATTATTAAAAAGAAAGAAAGTATGTTTGGTGTCGATGAGGTAAGATGTTATCCGTCTGTAAATAATTTGTGTAAATTATCTCAATCAGTACTTTATTGGTCACTGTTTAGGAGCTAGGCACAAACCCATAATCTTGAATCCAGACCAGCACTAACATAATCATACTTACGTCTTTTATTATCTTTTTAATATGTAAATATCTCATGTTTTGTTTATAGGGATGCAGGACATCTGTTTTCAGTAGTAAATAAAGTCTTAGTTAATAAATGTATAAACTTCTCGATCTGATATAGATTGTTTTATCAAGTTTTTAGGCGCCCACACGGAAATGTGGTCGTATATTGCCGTCACTACTTTCTGTATGTATATCGGTATGAACGTATGTACATCCGTTGGCCCGCCAAGGGGAACCTACCTTTTGAAATGATTGCATATTGACCTGATTTTGTTTTTAATAGATTGAAGAACAGATTGAGAGGATGAGTGCTGAAGGTTTACGTAATAAGAATCATGTATTAAACTTGTGTCGTCTGATGGTCTACGTACAACAACCAGATCATAGAATAGCCATCCTAAAAATATTACAGGTAAAAACAGACATTATACATTCAATAGCTGGAAGTGTGCCATTACATAAACTAAATAATTATTGTCTATTCTATACACTCATCAGTTTTATGGGAGTCATGGTGGCTCAGTGAGTAGGACATTGGCTCACTAACCTGGAGGTACCATGTTCAATCCATGTGTTGGCCAAGAAAGTTCATCAATATTTTCTGGTGTGGTTCCCCCTTGTTAGTGGTGCAGGACAGAGAGCTGGCAAGGGACAACTTATAGTCATTTGGATGGTACGAAAAACTGAGGTCCATACACAAAAGATCCCCTTGCAGTTGAAATTCGATATAAGATTAAGAGTAGGCTATACTGCCATTGTCCGTGCAAAATTTCTGTCATAGCACATTGTATAGTGTATGCTTGGCTTCATTAGACTAGTCGGAGCAGAACAGTAGGATGTTAAACTCCATTTCATTCATTATTCCATCAGTTTTACCTGTGTATCAGCCATCAATTTGTTGACATTTAATGTGCAACAAGCCAGATGATTTTCATTTCTCGAAACTAAAAAATTTGTACTATTTTACCGAACACAAAAAATATATACACTCATTTGTACAAAAATGGTTGTTACTTAGTTTACCTCAGATGCACGAAGATGGAGATTAATGTAAAGTTTTAAATGGCCACTCTATGTAAGATTTATAATATGGTTTATTTGGATTGGATATGGTCTTAAACTTTATTTTTTTTATTCTGGGGTGATTGCCCTTTAAGTAGATATATAAAACGACAGGTGGAAGTATAAAAATTTATAAAGTGGTATTCTTGAATTAAATTTATACAATTTTTTTATTCTGGGGGGATTGCCCTTTAAGTAGATATATAAAACGACAGGTGGAAGTATAAAAATTTATAAAGTGGTATTCTTGAATTAAATTTATACAATTTATTATAGATTAACACAATATGAATACACTTAGAAATAAACTTGGAATATTTGAAGTATGCTATATATTACAGAATACTCCTGAACCAGCTTGTCAGAGATTGTTTGTTGATTATCATGGTTTACCTTTGTTATGGAGTTGGATGGCGGACTCTCAAGAACCATCAGCAGAGTTTCAATTTGAGGTAATATTTTAGGCAGAATATCTGGTGAAACAAAATGTAACCATTTTAATAGGAGATAGTTTTATGTAAGCTGACAATGCTTGTCATATTAATTCTGTAAAGTTAGGCCATGCTGAATTCCTTGTTTCTCCTCGCCCGCGCACTCAGATCAAGGGCCCTGAAAATCGTGTACTTACCTTATCAACAACAAAAAAAAAAAACCAACCAAAAAACCTGTTAAAGATGACTGAAAAAAACATAAGAAAGCATGTTATATAGACAGGCTCTATCATACTTTGGCTCTGAGTAATCAGTTTTTTCATTGACTGAAATTATCACATGTCATTATTTTCATGTATTGTCCAATCATATCTAGTGTACAAAATTACGCATGACTTTCAAAATAGCTAGCAATGTTGGTACCACTACATTTCTTTAAAGATTAAGTACAAGGATTTGTTTATTGTGACTGAACTCTGATTGGGATACCGAGTGCCTTCACATTTGACTATACATGTAAGCAGGCTTCAAAATGTTAAGTGTCAGTTAGCTTTTTTTCATACTTCAATACTTGTCGCTTCAGCAACTAACCTGTCACTCTTAACTATCCGCGTCACACATTATCCATTAGGTACGCTAACACTCAAATTGTTTTGTTCCTTATTTTGATCTTTATGAATATCATGATATAGACCTAAAATAGTTTTATTTCTTCAACATTGGCATGACTTAAAATTCTCCCAAATCCTGAATCTACTTTGGCCGTACGTCAGGAACTCGAAGATTCATAACATAACCTGTATTCATGTGGATTCTGCCAAGTAAAACATGTACCTAAATCCAATGCTTTATATTTATTATAATGACTTTGAGAAATGTGTTGAATTCGGGTTATAAAGTGTCCGTAATTGAATATCAAAACACGACTTCGTTTCGCATCTTTATGTATGGCACTTATTCTATTATTAATCATGTGTGGAGGACATGTGACATCCCTGGCATTTTGTTTTCACATCCCAACTATATTTACGCTAAAAATTGTATTTAAAATACTCTCCTCACCAAATTATTTGATTTTGTCAAATTTTCCAGTACATTATAAAGAAACTTTATATTTCGACATTGTTTTTTTTAAATGTTTAAATACAATTGTAGCCCAAAATGAAAATTTCTTGGATTCCCATTGGTCGAAAAGCCACGTCGAATGAGTATAACAGTCCACTAAATTTCCTGGGCGACTGACTGCGAATGAATATTTCCTGAGTACTAGACTGTCTTTGCAGCAGTGACCAAAAATTCTACACCTCAAAACTTTATTTGAGGAAATCATCATGAAATTTTGCTTGTTTGTATGTCATCAACAATGAAATTCAACCATTGGCTTATTGAAACACATCTGAAACACAAAATTAGTGAGTAGATTTAAAAGATAATAAGTAAATTTCATTTCAATTCTGGTCTGGCAATAATGGCTGCTATGGCCATTCTGTCACAATCAGACTGGTCAAATTGAAGATTTTCAACAAGTGCATAAAAATACTACAACTTATTGAACTCCCTATGGACCGTAATAACTGTATGGTGATATATTCTAAAAATAAAAAATATACAAGGCAGACTGATACTATGATTGACTGAGGACAGAGACTAATTTTCATACACAGGTTTTTTGCGAAGAAAAAATTACTCTGTCGAAATGACAAGAGTTTACAGTTTTAAATCTGTGTAGCAACTGCAGGAGTACGCTACACAGCATATATCTACGCGGTCACACGAGTGTATGAACATTTATCAAACATAATTTGCAATTTATTTGGAACCTGGTCACTGCATCCCTTTTCAAACAGTCGCTTAGTAAATCAAATTGAACTCGAGTGATGGTTATCTTATTATGTCACGGATGTTTTCATTATGTCAAATCATTAAAACCAAAAAACGACCATCAGAATTCCAAGAAAAGTGTTAATTGTTTTGGGCTACAATATTGATAAACACCTCCTATTTAGAATTTATCAGACTGTTATTGTCCATTAGATACCATTAAAATTTTTCATTAGAGGTGCTTGATCGCTATATGCTATCTCCGCCGCTTATGAGTTAAGTTGTATCAAATGGACAATAACATTCTTCAAAATTCTAAACAGTCGGTGTTTATATCCTAAATAAACGAGGCTTGTGCCTTTCGTTGAATAAGCTGATTGTTTTCCCTCTAGTAAACTGGTGAAGCTTACTCGGGCAATAACTAGACATTTTCAATGTTATTGCACACTTTCACTGCTTTACGCCAGTTTTAGTAGAAATCATATAGAGAAGTGGGGTGGGTTTTCTATGCAATAACAATGAGCATGTTGAGCAGATATCGATGTTATAAGTCATTTATAGCACACTTCATTCGTTAACAGGATTAACACCTCAGGCTACAAATGAAAATAAGTGTAGGCCTATATGTCTTAAATACTTAACTCCATCAACCACGATTATTTTATATTTTAAAAACTTTAACAAGAAGCCTATTGGTATCACATTTTAGTTGTTATTAAATTTATTAAAGTTAATTTTATTGTCTTTTACATTCACAGTAAAGGGTTATTACGACTAATTAAGATTATATACATGTACATCCCCCTTGGACTCAATAGTATTATAGCTTTTTAGAACATTTTGTGTTTTGAAACCGCACGTTTTCCAGAGTGATGGCAGGAGAAACAAAGAATCAATTCAACACAGCCTTATTGAATATTATTTTAACCGAATGCTTTGATCAATGTATTTATTTGACTTCAGGTTGTGTCTTTATTATCTGAGTTGCCCATTACAAATAGAACAATTTTGCAAGATAGTAAAATATTATCTGTTATTGAAAAATGGACAGAAACTTCTGAAGCTGATAGTAACATAGAGTTACCTCCCCCTCCTCCATCTACAGTGCCAGTAGGAATATTATCTTGTGCTAAAGACACTAAAGAAGATAAAGAAAAAGCTCCTAAAAAGCGTGTCACATTTGCTGAAGAAACAGTCAGTTCTGATAGTGATTTATCAGACATTAATAGTTTAATTACTACATCAGAAGCTTGCTCAAGTACAAGTATGTCGCTAGGGTCAACAGAAACAATTCCTGAAGGGCAGTATTTAGGAAAGTTAGGAAATATTGAAGATGATGGTTTAGAACAGTCTGACTTTGTGCAATCAAGTGAAGACACAGATTCTAATATGGAGTCTGGTGTGTTGAAGCAGACATCAAGTCAAAGAGAGGCTGATTCTAGTGTATCTGGTGATATAGGAATGGATACACATCTAGTAGAGAGTAGTGATAAAAACGAATGTACAGTAGAAAGTAGTGCTATGGAAGAAGAGAGTCAGGATGATGAATCAAGTATAGACAGTGGTGAAAAAACAGAAAGTTTATCATTGTGTACTGTAGCCAGTAAATTATTAGAACAATGGAGTAGTCTCAAGGTAAACATGAAGTTTGTTTTGTTCTTTAAAAAATATAATTTAGATTAGTCTGCAGTTGGCAAGACTATCTTCATGCATGTGTAAAATATTGAAACTTATGGCTGTATTTGTAGTGGTCGTTTGAATGCCTTGTTGTTTCAATCGCAAAACTTTCAATAATTTAATCGGTTATTCAAGTCTAGTTATGTTGATAGTAAGGATTGGCCCGTACATGTTATTAAAGTGGCTGATTTATAAATTATAGGAAGTGTTTAAAATACCAAGAAAGGAAAGAGTTGAAGAAAGAAAGAGAACAGAACAAGAACTAGGTAAATCATTTATATGTCATAGTTGGATGTGAATATTAATGTTCAGTTTTAGAGAAAATTTTGGATATTTTTAGAGTATGACAATTATTCATAGATCATTGATTTTTTGATGAGTGATGGTCCAATAATCGGTTTCAACATTGATAATTGACCGATAAGTGGCTTATCGGTAGAAATCGGTATCGACCATTTATCTGATAATGGGGTCGCCGATATCTGTTCAAAAGGACTAGGTAAATACCTTAAAAAAAAATCATTATATTGCTTGACACTTGGTATCTTTATTTTAGTTCGTGTGGCTATTTAGACTCTAATAGAGGCCGTAATAAGGGAAGAATAAACGGTGCAAAATCCTTATCAGTCCACAATATTTTTAAATTCTTATTCACACATTGTTTGAGTGTTTGGGTAGACAAGCGTTTTTTGAAGAATACCATTTCTGCGCATGTGCAAAACTATGTTAACGTACAACAGTCCACCTGATAAAACTTCTGACTGGAATATGGAATAAACCCATTGCATGATGATCAAAATTATAGAATTGAACGCAGCAATACGTTGCAAAGGCCACTAGGCTTTCATACTTTAAAAATGTAGACATAATTTTTATCGTTAACAACATTTAATATAATATAGATCATGTTTTATAATAGTTATAGAAAAGGCGGGAGAATGTCATGTGACAAAAGGGAAGCTGTCGCTTTGATGTATCATTAATGCATAAACCATTCTGACATCTATTATAGACATACATGTGCTGATCAATTTAGGGAATTGTATCTTAATAGACTGGTAATCTCGTCTTTATTAATTAATCATACAGTAAATAATTAAGTTCACAACAGATGGTGTGTATTTTTGACTGCATTGGAAGCGTGAACTGATTATTCTTTCAAAAAGCATCATGTCAGGTTTAATCCCTGAGGTAAAATAGTACCAGGTGCTTCCCAACTAACAATGACATATATCTACACTGATTATCATGAAATTCAGGGCATTTTAATGTTCAACAGTTTTATATCCACCACTATCAGTAATTGTATCTTTATCGGCCGATATATTTCACTGTCAATATCTGATATTGGTAAAACAGATAGTAGCCAGAATTGGACCATCACTATTTCCTATTATTAACTTATTTGTGACTGTTGGAAACTTTCAAAGTTGTAAAATATTTATTTAGCGTTATTTTAATATCCAAATCTGGGTTCCATTCCATGGATTTTGAATTTGATTTTTTTTTTAACCCAGATACAAGATACAAGGAAATTGGTGGGGATTCACCTTTTGGTAAGTTTTGGAATTTTTTTTTTTGTATTGGATCACGAAAATATATATAGATGTGAGAAAACATTTGAATCTAGATGTTCTTAAAACACCAGACAAACTTGATAATCACTCAGTAACCACAAATCCTCATAACATAATAATATTTGTAGGAGAGCAATGGTCTATTAATCGTAGCCTGTTTGTAATTCAGCCATGACAACACCTATTTTTGTGTGTTTTTCATTTGTTGCAACAAATTCAACATAAATGTACATGTTTATACAAGGTTTTAGCCCAACATCAAAGGAATCAGATAATCTGTCCTACAGTAAAATTCCAAACAATGTAGCTACCATGAAATTGTACATGTAATTTGATACAGGCAAAACATAAGTGTTGTTTTGTTTTCTTTTTTTTTTAGCCCTTGCTAATTTCGAAATTTTTGTAATTCATATGAATAAGTGGAATGAAGCAATAATAAATTGTCTCGACCAATTAGCAACTGTTCTTTTGTTTGTGACCCTTGTTACGGTCAACTATATAATATCACGTTCAAATTAATATTGACTGGCAACTCGGTAGCACATCAATAGTCATTGTTCCTTAATATTCAGATCAGCAATTTGATAAATAAATTTGATTTGAATTGCTAAATAAATAGTACAATGTACAGAGTCATATTGTTTACATACAATGCAACAATTGGCTGTTAAAGAGGTCCCTGTTTTAGTCATTAGGTTGTTTTTTGATGGCATGTGCAATCATGACAGCTTGCAATTGGAAGTAGAATATTTGGTACTAAAAGAAACAGCATGACCAGAAAAGTTTGTTAAAACTAGAAGTTAGAAGCCCTGCTGCAAAACTTCTGTAAACACAGTTATTTTTCAAAGAAATAAAATGTTTTAATGTGTGCCCAATCAAACAATAGGTCAATATACATGCACAGTGTATATACCAGTAGATGTTTGTACTGACCAAACAGTTCTGTAATCATTATTGTATTGGGCATGTGTTGTGTGACTTAATTTATGTGTCGTGTAACTTTATTTATATGTCATGTAGTGTTGATGTAATTTTCATTTCAGCCAATTGGGCTTCAAAGAGGAGGGCCAGTAAGGCTAAAAAACGTGCTGCACCAAATGAGGAAGTTTTCTTAGATCCAGGTAGACCAAGGTATGAAATAAGTGTTCTTTATAGCGCATTAATTTACCAACTTCAAAATAAAATATTAAATAATCTAGGTGAACTGTGGAGTATTTTTCCAAGACCCTCCTCGTTCAGAATCCAGTCCAGTAAACTTCCATTTCACTGTAGATGTTTTAACCTTTTTTGATGTCAAAACAATGATCGTAAAAAAATCCATCTGGAACTCTTATCTTATTTTCTTTTTTTTATCCTAGACGCACCCTTCTACCAACACCACCAAAAATGAGTAAAGAAGAAAGACGTCAGTTATTTGAGGCACAGGTTAAGGCACAAGATGAATTGCAGGCGGAATTTCAGCGTCAACAACTTGAAGCCTTACAAGCTGCTTACCCATGTGTTCCCACAGAGTTCTTTCAGGATCCGGGATTCCTCCATGCATTGCAACATAATCCGAACTTTGCTCTGCAACTTCATGATCCAAACTTTATTTTACAACTTCAAGATCCCAATTTTATTATTCAGTTACAAGAACAAATGCAGATGCAAATGCAGCAACAAGATTCTAGTATGCCCATGCAAGATCCAAATATGGCCATGCAGCAAGATCCTAATTTGGTCATGCAAATGCAACAAGATCCTAATCTGATCATGCAGATGCAGCAGGATCCTAACTTAGCCATGCAGATGCAGCAAGATCCAAATTTGGTTATGCAAATGCAGCATGATCCGAATTTAGCAGCTCAAATGCAGGATCCGAATATGGTGATGCATTTACAGGGATCTCAAGCACAACAAGTGGTAGTTGGTGGTATCCCCCCTCAATTAACTGGTGTACCTCAACAAGGTAAGAACCCATCTTTAAACCCGGTTTTGGTTCAAAAGTTTGACAGTTGGAAAATTTGTTGATTAAGAAGGCAATAATCTTGTCAGTTACAATCCTTATCAGTCATATCTTCGTGAGAATAGGCCACATGGTTCATTATCCAAGTAATTAACACATTTAACATCAATTTTAATAATCCCGTAAATATACACATTTTAAGGTCCAGTAAGAATAATAAATAACAAGACTGACAATATGTGAAAGTCTGTGATGTCTGTTGATGTGTGATTAATCTATCGTTGTAATTGTAAAATACCTTTTTATAAGGAAGATGTTTAGACATCATGAACTAAATATTCTCATCACACACATTTGCTTTATCTTTGGAATAAATGAAGGTCATTATATTCAACTTGAAGTCGGTACATAAATTAAATAAGGAAAATATTTTGTTATAGCATATCATATTCTGAACAGGCTAATATTTATAGTTATCACAAAAAATAAGTACAACAATGGGAATGGGAGCTTATTGACCCTCTTTCCTACAGTTGACAATGACTTCCTTTGGCCCACTTCTGGCAGGTAGAATGTTAAATTTTGTGTAGAAGTCCATTATGGAAATGTCTGGACTGAGTTCTGGGATGAACTTTAGCTGATTGGGCTATGCAGCTTTCCGTCACAATAACTGCTGTAAATATTTGTCAGGTGAAATATCTTGAATGTGTTACTGCTTAAACTCAGCAGGGATAAGCAATTTGATATGTCAATGTTTTGAAACACAATATCAATAAGGTTGATTCTGATTGATTAAAAGTGGTGATATGATGTAAATGTAGTTTCTTTACATCAGTGAACTGACGTGATTGCTTGATTCGTTATAAAAAGATAAATGTACAAGTAATAATGAGTGCCATCTATTTTGGGGACATTTAATATACATGTAAGATCTTTATAATCAGCTGCTCCGATGACAAGGCTTATAGTGGGCATATGTTTCATTGACATTCAACTTAACTTATAATGTGTGATACGCAGCAATGATTCTTGTTTGAACTGTAATGAAATGTTTTTTGAACTAAATTGAAAATGAGTATTTGTTTTACAGTGGTAGATGTGAATGGACAATTAATACAAACAGGTCATTTACCTGCAGACCCTAACATTCCTCAACAAGCTCAGGTTATAATGGATTCATCTGGTCAACAAATAATATATCATCAACAACAACAACAACAATATCAGGTAACTCAAGTAACTGTCAATGTCATAACTATTGTATATAGAGAAAATTACTCAAAAACACAGCAAGTCATGTTTGATTAAAAAATAATTATAAATAATAAATAAATAGGTGTTATTTGGATAGTAATTTAGAAGATTAGAAGTTAAGCAGGCATTATGCAGGAGCTAAATCTGCCTATTGCAGATCTTTCTTTAGGCCTTAAATCTTATATAAATTATTAATTAGACATTGATTAACATGACAAGACCATAATCAACTCTCTATGCCATGTGATGGGTCCAATTTTAAACAGATTTGAATCCAATCTGCCATAACCGTAAAAATGGATAATCAAGACTTTGTTTATTATCATAACAACAGTAACCATGACAATCGAGGCTACAGTGAAGTAATTTGACTAAAATTTTCAGCATATTCCCTTTACATTATCTATTTTTTAACTATTATAGCGGGAACTGTCAGCTTTTTATTTAATTTTCCATAATGCCACTTTAAGTTGGTCTCACGGCGCAGATGAAAAATAAACTCAGATGATAGTTTGCATACACACGAGGATGAGACAGTATTTGTGAGATAGTTCTCAAAATAGCAGAGATTGGTTGAGTTGTCATCAGGATGATTCTTATGGATCCAATGATTAAACCAATACAGGGTTAAAAATAAAAAAAAATACATACCCTATATTTAAAAAATTATTCCTTGTTATCAGGTACAAACTAGTCAAGGTGTAATGCCAGCCCCACAGTATTACACTATGCCACAAGGGGTAATAGTTCAACAACCGCAAGTTCCCACATTACCCCCTCAAGTCCAGGTAGCAGACCAAAATTTAGTTCATCAGGTAAGATTGTTAGCATATGTTATATATGGTGCAATGAATATATTATGATGATGTCTTACATATGGGGATATATGGTTTATGATAGCAAACTGATTAGTGTAACCTTGTTTTGTACTTAAAAATTCCTGTTTGTGGTATCTGCTTGTTTTTTACGATTGCTCTTTAAACGGTAATAACATGACTGTTTATTTAGTGTTGATAAATTTGTGAAACTAACTTAAGCCTATGGAATATTGTGGAATAATTAACAATAAATTTGGAGATAATTTTTTAAGAGTGTATCCGCGAGAAGACCATGCAAAAATCGCAAAATGTGCTAAGATGGGGGGTTGGAAGTTTTTAATCAAACTTATGGTATGGCACCCCCTAGGTGCAAGAGGTGACATGCTGAAGAGGTTACAGCCTGATGTCACTCTAAAGGACTGTACAGGAATTATTCATTTTATGGGTAAAATTGCGGTTTTCACATGTGTATTTACCACCCTTTTTAAGCACAGATTGCATTCTATGGTGCAATAGCAACCTTCTAATTTTGACCCTGTCTGATAAAGCGGGTAGTCGACATCCAACCAAGCACTAATTTGAAAAAGAAAATCAATACATACTAATTTTGTGTGGACTTATTTTAGGGTACGATATTCACATTGTCCTTATAGTACAGAAAAAGATACACTGTAACTTTTTCTTTCATGGTCTCAAGTAAATTTTCTTTTGATGGTTTTGAAGTGCTAAGCACATAGTATCCATAGGTGTAAATAAAATGACCGGAATGCAACATACTTAAAATATACAGCTTATTGAAAAGTGCTAAAAATAAGCTTTTGTGATACATTTTTTGCAAATTTAATTAGAGAAATAAAATTTTTGACTTTTATACATTTTCATCATACCCATAGCCATCATTTGTATCATGTTGTACTGTATATAAGTGTGTATTTGTATTTATTGTATATTTAGTATTGTCGTATTGTCCCTTTAACATATTTGTTGTATTGTCTCTTTAAGATTTCATTTTCCAACAGGTTACCGAAAATGGCTACAAAATGTTTAATTTCAGAGCATGTTTGCACTATTCATTTTGAGACACATCCACTGATTTCTACAATACAGAAATGTGGAAGCTTAAATATTAACGGCAACGAAGCCTTGCGTCGAAGTGGGCGACGTTGAACAGTGTAGTATGGTAGCTACGGCTCTCGGGCACCTTCAGGGCCGGATTTAGAATAAGAGAGGCCCTAGGCAAACCCCCTGAACAAGGCCCACGACATGGACCTTGGGGCCCTGGGACAAGCAACTCGGTGAGAGGGTGGGTCGGGGGAAGTCATGCGGTTGGTGGTTCGAATCTCACTTTTAGGTGAATTTTTCATTTTTGTTGGATTATTTTATTTAAAATAATGTCTTATTTGAGGGTAATGGATATGTTTGTTAATACTGAGCACGTTGATACTCCAATGGAAGCTTGTGGACAACTGCGGAAGCCAATTCCCGTCGGCGCCAGATGAGCCATGAACGATTACAGGCCTTCGAAAGTATTTTTTTTTCAAGACATTTTTATAAAACAGATACTAATGTATTTTAGGGCTGGTAGTAAACATCATATGAATGAAAAGGAAAATAAATTGTTAGGTTTTTTTTATCTACTACGGTTAATTATCTCCAAAATAGGGAAATTACAGGTTAATTTCATGAGTTATTGTTTCCTTTATCTAGTTTTTGTCAAGTCGATTCCGGTCATTTTTATTTTTTGTATCAAATGTTGGGAGGTTGCTTGTTCACGTGAGCATAATTTTTTAAAACCCACCCCAGGAAAGAAGTAGCTATAGGGCGTCAAACTTTGGGTGACGAAAATGGGGAATTTAGACAGGCTTTGATATCCAGTCCGTATACAGATCTCGTTCGCCAGAATCGCCTGAAGTTAATTGTGTGGTAACACCAGTGAGTCATCTACAAACTGTGTGAGTTTGGTCTCTCTGCTACGTATTGTAAAGGTGTAAGAACTTGCCAAAGTTGGTATTTGAGAAAAGACAGATTTTGGCAATTTCACCATATCAAAAATATTTTTTCAATTTTCTCAGTCAGGAATTGAAAGATTTATCTGATATTGCACATTTATGTGTTTTGGGACTATCCCAACTTATAAACCAAATTTGGTAAATATCTGTGATTGAAACCTTAGCACCCTCTGCATGGTTTTCTCGCGAAATTTATTTCTTATTTGGGGTACTGGGTATAGACCTTTATTGTTAGGTAAATTAATTGATGATATACATGTATCTTGTTTATTGTAGCAATTACAACAGTTATTGAATATTCAGCAGAATTTAACAGCTTCCCTTCCTTCAACAAGTCAACCCGTAGAAGATGATGTCCCCCCACCCCCTTCACCTCCAAAAGCTAAAGTACCTAAATTACCCCCTCACTGGAAGTCAGCAAAAGATGCAGATGGAAAAATGTATTATTATCATGGTATAACAAGGTAATTGATTCATATTCATTATCCAAAACTAAACATACTGGAGCAATATCTCTGATCTACCTTGTCGCAGGTATGATCAATGCCACTCACGGTATTGACAGGAAAGAACAAATAATCATTAACATTATACATAATAAAATATATTGTACCATAAATCGTCAAACGTGTAAGTACAAAGTGTCAAATAAAACCTTTATTTACCCAATTGAGTTGATTACCCAATAATGTATATCACATGAAATTACTCAAAATACTGGCCAATATGGTGACTCTAATGGGAAATCAGAATTTCATCTGTTTGGTGATGATGTTGGGAATAAAATCTCATATTGACACTCTTTGATAAACCCAAGCTTTATTAATTTGCATTGATGTATTTGATAGGAGTAGGAGAATTTCTGGTGGGACAACTTTCGTTTAAAGATCACATCCAAACTATTTGCTCTACTGCCTTCTATCATATATCTCAAATTGAAAAGTTCCTGTCCTATCTCAAAATATGAATATTCATCTCATCTAAACTAAATTACCACAATGGTTTACTTGTGGCTTTCCCAACCATCTGATTAAGAAATTAAAATGATACTTCAGCAGCCCAGTTTCTCACCCAAACCAGAAAACATCTCCTGTGTATTGCAATTCCTACTTGTCTTCCAATTCTTAAAAGAATTAAGTTTAGGTTACTCCTTTTCGTCTTCAAATTTTTAAAAGTTCCGTCTTGTGCTAGATCACTATTCTACCAGCAGAAATCTCTGTTCTTAGAAAAAAAAAACAGCTGATTAAAACTCCAATCATTAATCTACAAATTGGAAAACATGCTTTTCCTATGCTGGACTTTTCTTGGAATAAACTACCAACGTTAATGACAACAGTGGGCAGTTTTAAATTTCAACTCAAAACCCTGATCTGTAAGTAATACACAAATGACAATTTTTGTAGTACTATGCTGTGCTATGAATCGCTGGTTAGATGTGGAAAACCCATACCCAAATACTCTCCACATCCAACATGTGACGCATACTCTCTCCTCTGCTACATATTTTAATAGCCTTGTGATCGTCTAGTATTGTCTCTGGTTATATTAAAATTATAATTCTCGACTGGTTAGGACCTATCTTTAAGTGTCACTCTGACATCCCACGTTGTGAATTCTGCAGCTTGCTCAGATTATTGTTACAAGAATAACAATATCACAGTTTTTATGTCAAGTACTGGATACATAGGTTACAAGAATAGATTAAAATAAAGTCATTCTCTCTATCAAACTACCATCCATACTCGCCAGTACGAGTCTACTGATAGAACTTGCTACATTTTCCCCTCTAAGAATCTGCCTGGTGTCTGAAATGTCGCCCAGAGCTCTGATGGTTTTATATGCCTAGACTGCTACTATCTATTATCTAATTGTTCAAATATTACGTAATTAATTATGATGATTGGTTACTAAGCCTAATGATGTCACGAATAAGCCAAATATGGAATGGACATGCCTCATACCTATGAATCTGTCTATGAATCTGTTAACAATAATTAGCCAAGGCCATAATATTATTATACATATGTGTCCTTTTACACAAATCTCGCCATAATAGTACTACATTTTACATCACTTACTAAAATTCCCCAGTTTTGTATTTTTTTTATTAATATTTTATTTTAGACAAACTCAGTGGGATCCACCAACATGGGAACAAGGTGATTTAGATATGGATCTTGGGACACCTACATTTGATGAATTTGGTAAAAAGGTAAGATATGTTTGTGTGATATGTTTTATTTTATCTGGTCACTTGTCTTCTGTTTATTCATGTTCTGTGCAGTCCTGGACTTACAATAAATTAGCCTACTGAAGTCTATTGTGAATGACTGTAAATTTTATCATTTTACAGAAAAAGAAAACTTTAACAGCAGCAGCAGATACTTCAAGTGAAGTAGAGAAAAAGTTAAAAGATATATTTCGCAAAGGAGTAAGTACAGAACTTTGACTTTCCAAAAGGAATTGATAACATCTAATTGTAAAACTAATAGAATATGATTTAAAAATTATTATAGCTTTTAATAATTGTTCTTGGTGTTTTATATATTAAAGTACCGATGCACAATGGCACATTATTTGCTTGCAAAAGATACCTGTATGTGTATTGAAATGTAGCATGTTATTAAAATTCAGAAGTAGTATATCCATACAAGTGTTTTATTTTGTGAAATCTATTTTTATATGTCTTATAAGGATTACACTATGGGATTAGTCACTAAAATATCACATTTCTCCTGGCATAATCCAAGCTAATGTGTACTCAGATTGATTATTTAACATTTAATGAAGAAAACAAAATCAAAATACCAACACTAGATAATAGCTTGGATTCAATCAAATTTAAAACAGGTGGCAGGCTTATTGAATAGCAAGCAGCATAGTCTGATGAGATTTTAATGCCATATACCTTTCTAAATACTGGATGGAATTGTGGTTAGGAACATATAGATTATATTGGTGTAATTGTTTAGTTTTTAATTATTAGCCAACTTAAGATTATTTTTTTAAATCATTGTGTTTGTAAATATGTGCTATATCAGTATCAGTACCGGTATTCCATGTATGTGCAATTTATCTTTATTTTTAACTTTTTTTCTTAAAGTCATATAAATTCCATGTCTGTGTTTTGTAAAGTGCATTAGAGCAACCATTGCTGTATAAATGAATATAGTTATATGAATCTTTTCATTTATTATTTATTATAATGGTTTTATTTACAGATGTCGACTTATATAGTGTCATGTTTAAATCCCTACACAAAGAAAGATTGTAAAATTGGTCGTATTAGTAGTACTGACGATTTTAAACATTTAGCAAGAAAGGTAAGAAACATACATTTAATAATTGTAACATGTTAAAAAGTTTGGGGGGGGGGGGTGGACGGCCAAATGGTTAGCCCGTGCGTGCTGTATCATAAGGTCTGTCATTGAGTCAACTGGCATGGTTTCGATTCCCTGTTATACATGACAAAGAGTAGGTTCGCCTTGTCCAACTTTCTCCGGGTCCTCATGTTTCCCTATTTCTCTCTCTCTCTCTCTCTCTGTTAGAAAGTTAAAAGAAGGTGAGATAATTGGGACATGTTAGAATATTAAAAGACAATGAAATAGTTGTGATAAGCTTGAGTTTTAAAGAATTGTGATATGCTATAATTTTAAAGGACAAAGAGGTAATTGTGATGTGCTGAAATTGACATGCTAGAATGTTGAAGGATGGTGAAAGAGATATTGTTAAAAAGATACTATACAGAAAATAGACCGGGGGGATTTGCTTGAGAACTATACCCAATTGGAACAACAAAATCCTAAAGATATATTTGTCCTAAAAAATTTTAAATTAATTTCATTCCAAGCAAATATCAGTTGAATGTATAGTTTGATTGAAAGTGAATTTCAATAGATTAATTAAGTGGCAATTGCACCTAAATTCGTTTTAAGATGCATTATCACAAATCTTCTTTTTTATCTTTAAATGTATAGACTAATATTTTGCATGTAGTGTGGTTCTCCTGCACTTACATTTAATGGTAGAAATTTATTAAAATGACAAGCCTATAATTATCTATCTAGAAAATCAGATGGCCAAGATTTAAATGGAATTGCACACTTATAAGATTTAAAATTTAACTACAAAATGGATAAACAAGAATTGTCCAAAATTCAAATGCTCATGACTTTGCTCAGAATCAAGTAATTTGAATGAAATTTAACAGCCAAATCTTTATCTAAATCTTACATAATGCCTCTTTAAACATAAGAACACCTAAACTCTGATTAGCTCTAAACCAGCATTCCAAAATAGGAAGCACCAGAATCCAGTAATTCTCAGTTATTTCCTATCACAAGTTTTTGAGTATTTTTGCCCCAGTTTAATATTTCTACTTGTTATTTCAGCTAACTCATCATGTAATGGCAAAAGAGTTAAAACACTGTCGTCATGTAGAGGATTTAGAAGTTAATGAAAATGTGAAATCCAAGGCTAAAGACTATGTAAGAAAATATATGTCGAAATCAGGTCCTGTGTATAAGAAACCTCTTGATGATGATATTTATTAAACAGACTTGTATTTTACTTTAATTGCTTTGGAAGAAATGTATATAATTATTTTAATACAAATGAACCGAAGTGGGATTTATAAAATCTCTGTGTTGGTGCGTTTTTATTCAGTGATTATACAAGTGTTCTTATTTGCAACAGAAGAGTTCATTGACGACTGTTCTAAGGAATGACAAAATAATGGCATCATTAACAAACTGGATCAATTTGAAAAAAGAAACACTGCTATAAATTAATGGGGAACAGGTCAGTGGATAGAATTTAAAATCAAAAGGCATCTTAAATATTTAAACATATTCATCATTTAAATGAAAGAGACCATCACAAATGTCTTATGTTTAAATTTCGATACTGCATCAGAAAGTGCTTTTTTTTTTATTGGAGATGTTGAACACACAAGCTATCATTAATTAAAACACTCTCTTTGGAAAGTGAACATATGAAATTTTTTTAAAGGCATTAACATGAATATCATATTTTGCAAATCATGTTGCTTGTTGAAGGAGACTGTTTTAATTATTGCCTGGCATCTATTTTATACTCTCTAAATATTATGTTATAAGGATCAATCATGTATGTAACTGACCTGAATTTTGCTGTGTCCTGTTTTATTAGACCATTTGAAGATTATCAGTATTGAATTTTTGTCTTCGTAATCCCAAGATCAGTGATTTATTATCAGAGGTTAATGTCTCAGTAGTTTTGAGAAATTTTGTGTGTTACTTAATTCAATGAGCATTTATAAGATTATAAATTCAGAATAAAAGATTATTTTATCACATTATTTGGTGTAATACTAAATTCACAACTTTTGTAGATATTTCATTTTTGATTAAATATGATTTTTCATATTCTTCTGTACATGTAACAGACATCTATTGTACCATTGTATCAGTCGGTATTTTTAAGCAACGCACAAGCTAGTATATTTTTTAACAAGCTACGGGCTGTAGGTCTGTGATTAACAGATTTCGCTTGATCAAGCACTGATTTCATGTTTCAAGTTATGGATGATAAAGGTAACAAGCTAAAGCTTGTAAATGTTTATAGTCTTTTTCATGTTTTTAATAGTTTATGTATTACATCAATGATTAGTTGCTTCAGATTCGTGACATTAACCAATTTATGAATTGTAAAAATATAACCTGTAATACTGTTAGAGTCCACACAGTTATAGGTTATGTCTATTTGTTTATCAGTAGTTGTTATGGCGACAATGTCTTCTTGTTGGTCATCTCAGATTATTTTATTATAGAGTGTGTTTTCCTCATTACATGTATTATAGTTGTATGAAATATATTTTCTGTGTTGAGAATGTGTTTTGGTTTTGATTCTTTGCCTACATTTTTTTTTTATATCATGTTAAACAAATTTAGATATTAGAAAGAGATGTAACTTAATATAGTTATTTGTACATAATACATTAAAAGTAACATAAAATGTTTGAATTATTAAATGTGGTTTATCTTTTCTTTCCACTTGTTTCACATCGCATGATTGATGTGGACTTTGTACCATTCTATTTATTTTCTTTTAAGTATGCATATCTGCACATGTAATTGGGGTTCTGCCAATTATATTTGGATGTAAAAATCTGGGGGTTAATTAGCTCACTCATTGGATTGGAACCCCTAAACTTTATTTTATCAGAAAATATATTTCTACCTAGGAAAAAAAAATAGATGGACCGAAGATGTTTTTTAAAGTCTCTGTGTGTCATTTGCATTTTCGGAAAATATCAAATATTTCATGGTTTACTTAACGCTAAAATCAAAATATCAACAATAAATAATCTCCCAACTTGGATTCAGTGGGATTAAAAAGAATTCACCAAGGTGACACTGGCTTGTGTTGACTAAATCATCTGCAGTCAGTGTTAGAAATCCAACTTATTATAATATTGTAGTTTACAAGGGATTAATAATCCCTCAAAAGATGTAAAGCCTTTAAAAAGTATTATAAATGAAAAACCAAGATCACATTAAATACAGTATATTTGGCTACAAATGATTTAATACTAAACACCAAAGACAGCACGATTTAATTTGTGGTATAGTGTCTGTATGCCTTTGAAAACACAAATAGTGGATGTTTGAAATCGCTTAACCTGAAATTGAAATCACTGAATTTATGACCAAAAAAAGAAATTCTTTTGTTAGTTTAGATATGTTACTCAAGATAGTAGCATATTTATGGTTCAGATTTTCAGAGAAATATATCTTTAAAATAAACATAGTCCCTGGTTTTGAAACATTAATGATATTCTAAAAGATTATTAAATTTTAGTCAATATTAGATCACAAACTAAAAATAAAACACAAATAGTAAATAGTAAACATTTGTCATTAGCAGAATACATTAAAATTATGTCAAGTCATGAAATCTTATCAAATACTGGTGGTTACTTCTTAGTTGTTGCACATCCATCTTGATGAGACAGTCCATGTATTATATTTTTCATATCCGAATTGGAATCAAAAACATTGAATTGCCTTTGTACCACATTATGATCTCTAGTCATGATATCAAAAGGATCAAGAACAATAGAACTAGAAGGTACCTTGTACACTAAAGTCACATCTACTAATTTGGGGATGGAAGACGTACCGGTAGTTGAAGGTTGGCTCAACATATCTCTTTGTCTCACATAATCTTCTTGTGCTGTCAGTTTAGCAGGAATGATTCTTCTATTCTGTAAGTCTGATTGGAAAGCCAGAAATAGTTCAGCTGCCGGAAGTTTTTCTACTTCATTTCGTTCAATTGTATCTTGACCAACCTTAGTACTAGTTACACATCCCATATCCTGTAATCAAAATTCATTCATCAGAAATTATTTACAACACCAATAAGAAAAAGACCAAATGCTACTGAGAAAGATAAATAATGAAAAAAGGAGAGAGAAATTGGGTTTACTGTCCATTCAACACAAACTGTTATTTCGGGACTTAACTTCTGGCCTGGTTCAGTTTTATTTCAATAATTTGTTTGCGCGTAGGGGTTTTCATAAGTGGGAGGAAACCGGAGAAAACCCACAAGGTTGGACAGGTGACCCGACTTCTTGTCATGTTCAAGCCGGGAATCAAAATAACACCACTTGACAAAGATGGAACTATAACTATGATTATGGACATCAATAATATTAATAATCTAAATGTTCAAATGTGAATGGCAGTACAAATGAACTAACCAGTGGGCAGTTGCTGGCGAGGTTGGTAGGCATGGACAGTTTTTAATAGCGTTGGACTATGTTGCTGTTTGGAGCTACCCTGTCCGTTGATGGAATCGAAAGTATATCATAATTCATAACATTATAGCCTAATAGGCCTAATCACTACCAAAGAAATTCTATTTCATGTATAGATATGATTAGTAATATGCCATGGTGGCATATATGGGTCCACTTCTGCTACGACATGTCACAGTGTGATTTTACTTTGTCTGTCGAAGAACCATACCTCATAGTTCACATCTTTAATAAATTATTTCAATTTCAAATAAATGTTTGGCAATAGCGTGCAAATATATCTTTGTTAATAATGTTCTGAAAAATTCGTCTGCTCTTGTTTATACCGGAAGTGTAATCTACCGGAAGTTTGACTTGGTTGATAAAAGTAAAAAAAGACCCTTACTTCCTCGAAGATGGCGGCAAATTCAATAACAAAAGTTTGAATAAAATATTTTTTTTGTGTTTCCTTATCGAGATAAAGCATGTATATAAAAGGAAATGTCGTTTTATTTAAAGCCACCTTGTGGGACAATATCTCTAAGTAAACTAAATGAATTTGCTTGCCGGAGGCTGGATCTACTTGCAAGAATCCACGAAACGGGTGGAGATCGAATGAAATTGCTGGATATCGTCAACGACTTGAGTATCGTTAGTCACTCGGAGTGTTTAATTGGCGGCACTCAGAAAGACAATGTTTCACATTATATCTTAAGGTACATAACTAATCTCATAAATGTAATAAATTGTTATTGATTTAAACTAATGTTATCAAATTCAAATTGCCTAGAGTACCGGGCGGTATGTTACTAGTAATTGTAGATCTTATTTATTCTTAGACTTACATGTATCTCTTACTTATTTTATCACAATCACACCTTTTAGTGTACTAACTATCAGTGGTTAAGGTGCCACTGTCACACCATAAAAATATCTCCAGATATATCAATAGGCATATGATAAGGGGGGGGGGGGCTGTATCATTTATGGCCGAAAAAATACCGCGATATCCCTTGAAAACGAATCTACATAACTTACAAGATAGCGTTTACACTGACTGATCTCATAGTATATTATTCATCATCATACCTAATTAATAATTATCATATATATATACACACCACTCTACTCCAGTGAATTAAACATGTAATACCACAGCAATCGAAATCGATCTATGTACAAAAATTTTCATCATTTGGCCAATACCCGACAAATTTGATGATCAGCCGAAAAAATTGTTTTGCCTGACTCCAAGGACCCTCATGGCTCATATGCCTATGATTTCGATTTCCCCAAAAAGCCCATTAATTAACCTAACATAACATTTATAGGTTACATGGTCCGCAGAGGATGCTGAATGTTGGGATATTTCAATTCATGATATTTTTGTAAATACCGAACAGAATTAAATCATTTTGAACTGATATCCCTTTTCAGAGATTAAGTTGCACAATATCAACCAGAATAATCAGATGCTTTAATCAGATTACATTAGATTAGGACAATGAGTTATAATGCTGATATCTTATTTTGCACTTTAACAGACTTGGTGAATAATGCCAACTGCTATCCCACCTTCCAGGTGTGATGATCCTGTCCTTAACCCTACAATCTTAAACTTCACCATTAGTTTTGTTGAAAAAATTACCCATGTTCAAATATGGGAGTCTAGGTTAAAATATAATTTATAAATCAAGCTGAATGGTTAGCACGTACGCGTTGTATCATAAGGTCTGTCATTGAGTCAACAGGTGTTGTTTCGATTCCCAGGTTGTACGTGACAAGGAGTATGGTTGCCCGTCCAACCTCGTGGGTTTTCTCCGGGCCCTCCGGTTTCCTCCAACTGCTAAAGACCCCAACGCACAAGTGAATTATAGAAATAATTGAACCATATGTTAGTCCCGAAATGACCCAGTTTGTGTCAAGTGGATGTTTAAACTCCATTTCTATCTCTCTCTCTATAAATTAAATATTGTTCCTTTTACTCTACAGGTTAATTCTGTCAAGAGAAGAAGAAACTTCAAAATTCTTATTGGAAACAGAAAAAATACTCTTTGATTTTCGGTCCTCCTGTATGACACAAGATGAATTATATAAACTTCTTAGGTCCTTGAATAAGTTCAAATTATCAGGTGTCTGTAAAGAGCATGGCGTGGAATCTATATTGTCCTCTTTATTTTTGGTTAAGAAATTATGCAATAACTCATGGAAAATGGTTGTCAAGAAATATTTTGAATGTGGAGATGATGAATATTTTTATGTACCATTTCAAACTGTCTTGCCTCTTGTGGCAAAGCGGCAGGTTTCCCTCAAAGATGGTATGGCCTTGGTTCCTTTCTTAAAGTTGCTTGATTTCTTAAAGGAAATATTATCTTCCCTTCTTACTGCTGGAATTAAAAAAGCTAGATGTCAAAGCAATACCGATGTAAGAATAAAAATATTGTCCAGACAGATCATGGTAAGTCTTCATAAGTTTTTGAGTATGGTATTCAGATTAATAAAATAGTTGTACAATAACTTCGGTTAATTAATTCATTTAGGTTTCTCAAATATTTACTTGCAGATACATGAATTTTGAAGAAATGAAACAAAACCTAATCATATAGGTTATAGTTATAACTTTTAATACTTCTTAAAGACTTATAAAAGTAACATCTCCATTATCTCAAACATTTGAATTTTTATACATGTAGCTTTGATTTATTTGTAGATGGATATTTAATATTGTTTTTTTTTACATTTATTATTATTATTATAGAAAAGATTTAAAAACCAAGTTCACAGTTTTTCCAGCAACCTAAACTATAAAATGACATTATTACACAATGAGGTTGATTACTCAGTTAAAAGTTTCCCACCTTGTATGATCCACCTTCATTCTGTTTTACGAGAAAGACATAGACTAAGTCATCATGCTCGGGTAAGTTACCCTTCTACACATATTATTTACCAGTATGTGACATACATCTCGTCTCTTCTTTATCACTTATCTGTTTCAAATGGGACATGTACATGATTATGAATATAAATTTCTTTGTTACGAAATTTAAATTATTTATGATCTTCTGTTGAAATGAAATCTTCAGATTTAAAATTGTTATTACACATTTTGGATATCATTGTTTTTTTATATTTTGTCTCGTCCAGTCTAGATATTAATTCCATCAAGTCTTCTGTGATTGGTTTGTGTTGCCTGTTTCCATTGATTGGAAGTTTCGTGCATGGAAATGTGGTCGTATATTGCTTTTTCACTGATACTTTATTGAACTGTTGTGATCAACCTACCGGCTACATTTATCATCTAAAAAAAGGTTGTTTACATTAATGATACAAAGAAGCCTATTGTTCTTTGTATTTAATGTACTTGACTGTCCAGATAACGTAGCTGCCATGGGGATATGTTGCGACATTTGTTAGAAAAGTGAAGCATAAATAGTTTAACTGTTACGATTGGTTATGCATGTAGGTATAGGGTATGCTTTCGTTCTCTTCAAAATTATAGATCTATAAAGATTGCTTCCACAGAAAACAATACAAGTCAATTCGACGTTTATTTTTGAGAATTTAATTTTGTTTTCAGATACAGTATAGTTTATTTTTAAAAGAAATGGGTCTACCTGTTCATGAAGCGATTGTATTCTGGAGATCAGAGTATTCACAGTCAGCTCCTCCTGGTGTAGACTGGGGACATAACTGGAAGGCTGATGGAGAGAGATATATCTACAATATACGTCACCTTTATGGATTGGAGGGGTCACATAAAAATTATAGGGGACACTGTTGCCATTCCATACAGGTATATTAATGATTAGTAATTCAATTCATCATGCACACAAAAAAGTAACCTGCATATTCCTGATGCAAAATAAATTCGTGGGAAACTAATACTAACTGTAACTGATACATGTACTGTAATCTTGGTGAAAACAGATCTATGGCTTTATGAGTTTCATCAAACACTGTGCCTGTATCATAGTCTGCTTGAAAGATTTTAAATATTGTTACGTTACATTTTTAACTTTTACCAGTGTATGCATTGACGTTTATTATACTTTTTAATGAAGGCTAGTCTTTTCTCAGAATTTAAAAGATAGCCGGATAGACTTGAATTAGATTTTTACTAGTATTATTTGTATAAAATTAAGCCTTATTTGAATGTTTTAAAAAATCGTTTTTTCAAAATATCATTTAATACTATTCCTATTTATTTTCAGAATCAGACAGTCCAACCAACAAGTGTAGGCGGGTGTCCTTTCGTTCATTTTGATAAAACTAATTTACAGAATTTTCTTTCTACCCAACAAATTGATTCTAAGACAAGTTCAACCATCATGGAATATAAGGATAAAAGAATGTTTAATGAAGCATGTTCATTGTTTTTAAAGGACAAAAATGCAGAACTTCTTAGCGATAACTATTGTAAAGAGGGAAGTTGTAGTTTAAATGACTCTAAATCAGTATGTACTGTAAATGAATTCAGTACAAAGTGTACTTTAGTTGAATCTAGTACCAGGTGTACTGAAAATGAAATCAGTTCCCAGTGTACTGTGAAGGAATCCAATATAGAGTGTATGTTGAATACATCTGTTACAAACTGTACTATAAATGAATACAGTACCCAATGTACTTTAAATGAATGCAGTACAAAGTGTACTTTAAATGACACAAGTACAAAGTGTATTGCGAGTTCAGTATGTCGTAAAAATATGTCGTACACAAAATCTGTTTCATATAACACAAATTCAAGATCGGTTCTGAATGATAATTCTTTCAATATATGCACATCGGTGAGTTTTACGCGAAATGACAGAGAAAGTCTGAAAGACTCTAATCTTCACAAACTTATAGACTCTTCAGTAGATAGACCCCTGGTATATTCAACTATAGAGGAGTTGTTGCCAAAGTGTAATGGACTGTATCAGAAAGGAGAAAATGGTCCAGGTAATATTGATCTTGATGAAAGTCATTTGATTGGATGTAACCATGAAATTTGTCCATCACAAATGACCAACAATATGTACAAGGATTTGCCTCAGATAGAGAAGCCCATAGATTACTGTATCAGTTACAAACTAATGATAGAAAAATTACAAACTTATTCTCATCAATATTCTTGATTCTAGTTTTATTTATAAATGAATTTTTAATGAAAATTGTTAATTATAAATGTCTTCCATGATAAATTTAATGTATAATAGGTTGATATATTTTTATTTTATGAATCAATGAATGCATTTTACCATATTACTGTATTTTCATAGATTTTTAAAGTGGAAAAATATATTAAGATAGATTCAAACTGATTAAAAAATTTTAGACTGACCTCCAGTTGCTACCTAACATTAATTATCCTATTGTAATACATTGATTAATATACAGGATTACCTTAGTATCTGGAAAGAAGGTGGTTGGCTGGCCGAATGGTTAAAGTGTGCACGTTGAATCAGAAGGTCTGTCATTAAGTCAGGTGGCATGGTTTCGATTCCCCGCTTGTACATGACAAGGAGTAGGGTCGCCTGTCCAACCTTGTGGGGTTTATCTGGGTCCTCTGGTTTCCTCCCTCTGCTAGAGACCCATATGTGCAAGCGAATTATTGAAATAAAATTGAACCATATGTTAGTCCCAAAATGACTTATTGATTAAAGGGATTATTGATTTGGTAAAAAGTAGAGCTCAATCATATCTAAAAATTTTGGATCATAAATTTAAAATTACAGAGTTATTGCATTTTGATTTTCAACAATTTGAATAACCACATTCACATTTATGGCTCTTGATCACTGAAATTATTTTTGAAATTTATACATGTTCATGTTAACAAAAATGAAAATCCTATTTATTTCCAACCATTTCTTATAAATTCCGCTAAAATTAGAATCTGACATGATTTGTTTCTGTTAGAGCTTCAAAGAAGCAGATAAAATGGTAATTATTTCGGATAATTATTGTTGGTCTTGATCACTATTTAAAAATGCTACCGTTTCATTGGCTGGCAACCAATCGTATTTAAATTTAATTAGAATATTGGTTGAAAAGTGTGCATTTGGTGATAACTGATACATTAAAACAATAAAGTTCGGTTAATTATCATTTTGAGCTCGGGTGTTTATGGAAATAAGTGGGTTATACATCCAGATTACAACTGTACAATATATGGAGTTATTTCCCTTTAAATACAGTCTCCGTTTAACCATATCCCGCCTTCTAATTTCGGTGGTGGTCAAGGGGCCTTCGGGTTTTTGTCAAAATGACCCCTTCATAATTGAAATTCTTAGAAGTGTGCCCATGTTGCTGCTGCAAAACAATCCTTATGTTAGTCCCTAAATGTCCAAAGTATCGCGTTGGCGATAGACTATGTTTGTTGCCAGGGGCGGATTGGGCGATCGGACAAAAAATGAAAAAAATAATTTTGTCCAATTCGTCTAAAAAACCCTTTTCTGCTGAATATTATATTGGGGGGCGGGGGGGGGGGGGGGGGGTATTGGACCGGCCATGGAGCGGTGCTGATCATGTTGTATGTGGCCGGTGGCTTTAACGGGCCGCCACGCCATCACTGGAGTCTGGAATGGGCTGGTATAATAGACTTTCTGGGCTGGGTGTGGACCGGAATTCGGAATCTTGCAATGGGGATTCCGAATTTCATCCGAAAATGTCATCGGATTCACCCGACACTGTCGCCCGCAAATTTACTAATTATTAAGTCACCTGCACCCTGTTTGTTTGGATACGCCAGAAACGTTTGCCGATGGTTCGTAACTCCAAAAAAAAATTCAATTTTAACGCCTCGGCAAAGTTTGATGATAGCTGGTCTGTTGGCTGAATTTGAGTGCGAGACGATTTCCTGAGGCTGGTGTTAAACATTCCTTGACATTTTTATTAACTCGTTATTTTCAAAGATGAAATTACAGAATTGGGATGTCGGGAATGGTCTCAAATTGCGGGAAATTGCCTCCCATTTCCAAAAATTCAAAAATGAATTTTGTCCCGTACGCCTATGCATGTCCGCTCCAACTCCGTCAAGGCCACCTGTTATACGGGACATTCAATGAAAATATTCCTACTTATTCAATATTCCTAACTGGTTAATCAAATGGTCAAAAATTTCTTAACTGGTCCCATTTTTTAACCAGTTAAATTCTCTGGTCTCTGACTTGATTCTTGACGATACAATGATAAAACGTTAATTAATAATATAACGGTATGATAATTTCACAGGTTGATGGTTTTAAATTACTTGCAGGGCGGGGTTTTGGCCTAAATTAATCGATTTATGAGATATATTATTTGACAGAGATTATAATCAGATATGCCACCAAATCGCATATTTGGGGTTCATTTTTCAAAATTTTCAGGGGGGGGGGGGCCTTAATATGGAGAGTCATCGATCACGACATAACCGACCGGAGACCGGAGTCAATTTTTGAAGAATGAAAGAACCATACGATAATTCGACATTCAATCAACAAATTTAGACGATTTCATGTGATCATGATGTGATGTATGTACAGAAAAAATTATACAGCTAACTACAATTACGTACGCCAATTTAAGTCTTTTAACCGTCTATATGAATATTATGGCGTCGACAGGTCCCTATTATAGTCCAATGAACACCCTTCTTTTCTAGCCTATGGCGAATTTTGTAGTTAACTGTATGAAAAATTTCTTAATTAAATTTTAAGTTAAATATTTTAAATGTGGCATCTAACCAAAAAAGACATTCTATGGTGCACTCATTACCATGACGCCCTAAGCACGAGCATATTTTGCTTAATGGTTAGTCTAGCTCTGCCTCTGGGGAAAGATCTTTCTCCAAATTGAAACTAATAGAGAATTATCTTCAGTCTCTGATGTGTATAAAATCCCAGATAATAAACTCTAATCACGTACTTAGCGGTTGTTGTGCTTTAATATAGCATCTATTTTGAATTACATATATATGGGGGCACCAAAATCTTTTATGTGCTTAGGGCCTCTGTTTTATATAATTTACACTGGTTACCTGTTAAATATCGAATTGATTTTAAGATTTTATTACTTACTTTTAAATGTTTAAATAATTTGGCTCCTGTTTACCTCTCAGATCTTTTAGAACTTTATACACCTGGCCGAACATTACGTACATCAGATAAACTACTTTTAAAGCCCAAACCTGTCAACTAGTCTCTTATGGTCAGCGCTCTTTTAGTTATCAAGCACCTGTTTTATGGAATAATCTACCATTTAGTTTAAGATGTTGTACATCTCTATATTCTTTTAAAAAACAACTTAAAACACATTTATTTAATCAGGCTTTTAACTGACCCTGTATACAATCGTTAACATGCCCATAATCTTGTTGTTTATGTGTGATTTACATTGTCACTTTGTTAAGTGCCCCTGAACATGTTATATGAAAGGTTGCACTATAAATATGCTGTAATAATAATAATAATATTTTTTACGCTATTTGAGAACGAACGGCGGCCATTTTGTCTCTCAATTTTGGGCCAATTTTCACGAAATTCGAACTCCGTCGTCCTTAGGGTGTAACGGTGACATAATAATACGTTTTTTTAAATCTGATAAAAATTATGACCTATATAGGGCCCACAAGCTAAAAACGCGATTTTTCGTACAATCAGGGACCATAATTCAGGAAGTTAAGGTCCGATATGCGCGAATATCGAAAGGAACCGAGATCTTTGGGTTATAAAATTACATTTCAAGTTTCAACAAAATCGGATAAAAATTGTGACCTCAAAAGGGTCCACAACTATGATATACCATATTTTTACGCTATTTGAGAACGAACGGCGAGCATTTTGTCTGTCAATTTTGGGACGATTTTCATGAAATTCGACTTCAGCTGTTTTTAGGGTGTAACGGTGATATAATAATACGTTTTTTTAAATCGGATAAAAATTATGACCTCTATAGGGTCCACAAGATAAAAACGCGATGTTTTCGTACAATCATGGGCCATAATTCAGGAAGTTACGGTACGATATGCGCGAATATCGAAAGGAACCGAGATCTTTGGGTTATAAACTTACATTTCAAGTTTCATCAAAATCGAACAAAAATTGTGACCTCTATAGAGTCCACAACCTTGACATACCATATTCTTACGCTATTTGAGAACGAACGGCAGCCATTTTGTCTGTTAATTTTTGGGCCGATTTTCACGAAATTCGAGCTCAGTCGTCCTTAGGGTGTAACGGTGATATAATAATACGGGTTTTTAAATCGGATAAAAAATATGACTTCTACAGGGTACACAAGCTAAAAACGCGATTTTTCGTACAATCAGGGGCCTTAATTCAGGAAGTTACAGTCCGATATGCGCGAATATCGAAAGGAACCGAGATCTTTGGGTTATAAACTTACATTTCAAGTTTCAACAAAATCGGATAAAAATTGTGACCTCTATAGGGTCCACAACCTTGATATACCATATTTTTACGCTATTTGAGAACGAACGGCAGCCATTTTGTCTGTCAATTTTGGGCCGATTTTCACGAAATTCGAACTCAGTCGTCCTTAGGGTGTAACGGTGATATAATAATACGGTTTTTTAAATCGGATAAAAATTATGACTTCTATAGGGTCCACAAGCTAAAAACGCGATTTTTCGTACAAACAGGGGCCATAATTTAGGAAGTTACAGTCCGATATGCGCGAATATCGAAAGGAACTGAGATCTTTGGGTTATAAACTTACATTTCAAGTTTCAACAAAATCGGATAAAAATTGTGACCTCTATAGGGTCCACAAGCTAAAAACGTGATTTTTCGTACAAACAGGGGCCATAATCCATGAAGTTTCGATCCGATACATGCCAATATCGAAAGCAGCCGAGATTTTTTTGGGATAAAGCTATATTTCAAGTTTTGTCAAAATCGGACAAGAATTGTGACCTGTAGAGAGTCCACAAACAAATTGTGGACGGACGGACGTCCGGACGGACAGGGGCGACGACAATATACGTCCACATGAAAATGTGGGCGTATAAAAAAGTACGTTTGGAGATTACCAATGACATTTTTGGCAGATTCTGTGTTCAAAACTCGAATTTCAGCTCCTAGTAGCACAAGTTGTAACAAAACTATTGCCGCTAAAGAGGATTTTAATGTGTTTTCTTGGTGCACCTTTCCCGCTAAATAAACAATAAAGGGGAAAAACGGATCCCCGTCGGATATCAACCGCAACACGGGCCCACCATGGATTGAAGAGGCTCCAGTGTTGGAGGGCCCCATCACAGCCGCTAGCAGATGGAGTCCTCGTCCTGACCGTGTTGACATCGCCTTTTGCTTAACTGAGATTTTTTGGCGGGGCCCCCTGATGTTGGGGTGGGGGCGGCGGACTGGGGCCTGTTTCCCACCTTGCCCCGTGGTTAACCCTGCGCTGATCAAATGTGATGGTTTAAAATGATCCCTTCTCAACCATTTCAATATGCCGACTGGCCTTTTGCCCATACCATTTTTCAATTATTAATCTTTTATTTGCAGTATCTTAACTTTTGATTTTACTGTCCCCCCGTGACTTATAGTGTCCATGTTGCTTTCTTTTCGGAAGAGTGGACCGTAGCGCCGCTGTCCGGGCAAAATTCCCCCCATAGCACACTGTATGGCGTATGCCCGTCTTCATTAGCCTAGTCGGAGCAGAACAATAGGATGTTAAACCCTATTAATCCTATCTCATTTCTGTCTTTTCGGTTTCTAGATAGTTGTCATTACGTGTGGCTCGGCACTCCTACGCATACCGATTCCATGACATTTTATAGGTTTATAATAGTTATCGTCACTGAGTTACGAAGAACACTGAACACGTTTATAAAAAGAAAACAATTTTTTTATTTGTAACAATATTAGGTAGTTTATCTCCAGGCCCTGTAATAATTATAATGGTATTATGCTACTTGAGCCGGTAATAACTGAATCACTCAATAATCTTTAAACTGAACTGAAGAATTAACGAAACCACAACAATTTCAAAAAATAATCTGTGTATTGTACAAAATATTGTTATACTACTTTGATAGTCAGCGTTGGATTATGAGTTCCCAAAATACATATATCCTAACTAAGTTAGTTTATAAAATCAAATGGAAGAAGATGTTTTATATTAAAATGAAAACCTGTGTACACTGAACAACAAAATTGGAATACAGCTTATTTGATTGTGACACTGTAACCATAAGATCCCAAAAATTAAAACAGTCGTAACAGAACAGTAAGGACGTTAAACCCCATTTCATTTCTTAAATGTAAGGATTATCCAAAGCCTTTCGGTGTACATTTTATATACATAATTTAATTTGACTTAGAAACTCCCAGAATATTATAAAGATTGTGATGACGTTTATTATTTTGTTTAGCAATGAATGAATCAATTTCACTGAAAAAAATAATACGTGTCCCTAATATATAACACATCACACAAGGCCAAATGAAAATGTTGTAAGATAGTTCTAACGCACAAAAGTAACATATTTTAATTAAATTGTTATTTTATATAATTCGAGGAAATTTATAAAGGGGTCCATTAAATTGATCAAAACAGAATTGTTTTTTATATTGTGGAAGGTCATGTAAAAATCATAAAATTTAAAATTCGCCTGTTTCAGTTCACGTTTTTTCCCCTAAATTGTCTTTAGTTTGTTAACATATTTTGAAAATTTAAAATGTTTAGCGCCACCATTCCACTTTTTTGTAATAGCACTTATCGACAACAAATAAATAATAATAATATACACACAACAATAGATTTAGTTTTAAATGTAATGTCAAGTCACGTTTGGCAAATACTGGTGCTGTTACAACACCTCAAACCTTCTCCATAGGATGAATATATTAAACTATAGATATAAAGTTACCATTAATCTGCCACAGTTGTCTTCACTGTCTTCTGATAACAACCATATCGTTCCATCAAGCGGACAGAATCGGATATGTAATATGTAGTATTTTTTGATTCTAATGACTGATTCACACACATTTACACCTTATACTTTCCATAAAAATATACGTACATCCACAGAAATGAACTACAATATTACATTTTTGATATATATATCCATATTAGGGTATCCGCTCACAACTTGATATTATTTACAATATTTTGAAATGTTTCCTTGAAATCCGTTGTCATAACAACGCTTTAGTGCAACTGCACGGCCACTTTGAATCTTTACTCATTTTACACTAAGTCTCCCTTTTTGCTATTTCGAGTTATTTTTTTTTCTCGTCTTAAAACCTCATGAATGCACACTTCGCTTATATAGCACTAATAAAAACAGAATAATGATTCTTTAATAACTTGCTTTAAGGACAATATGTTTTTACCCCAAAAAACGAAAACGTCACGAACCGTCCGTTTTGAGCATTTTCAAGCAATTTTTTTTTTATATCTTGTATTTTTTTTCCACACCGCCTACGCGTTAATGTCAATATTAATAGAATAGGCTGTCGCACTGTATCATTATTGTGATGGTTCCAAGAAGTTAAATGAACACATGTCAACGAACAGTCATTTTTCTTCAAAAGTACTTCAATGATATTATACAGACACAACTTTATTTTCAAACATATTTTGTCTGATTTATGTTCATAAAAATATGAACAAACACGTTCCAATTTTTACATGCCATAAAGATGTTTATCTTACATCAAATTAGATCACCTGATATATGGGATTTTCACATAGCTGATACATTTTGCTTTTGACATTGTTCATGTTTTAATTAGTCGCCCGAGCCATAATTACTTTGATTGTTATGGCTACAAATTGTCTGATATTATTAGTAGTGTCAGGAACACACGCCCAATTATTTTCATTAACCATAACAATCTGCCACACAAAGTTGTTCTAATTAAGGGTTGATGATCTTTCCAAATCTGTTTATAAACTGATTATTTCCTTCTCGAAACCGTTTGTATCCTTTCGGAGTCCTGGGCGCCTTTAATAAATATGTATGCAAAAACGGCGCAGTCGGTAGCCGGAACACACACTTGGCTTAAACGTTCTGTGATTTGACATGTATTGACAGGAGCTCCCGGTCTGCTTCTGACATAGGTTGACGAACATATGGAATCCGAGGAACGGTTGCTGCGGCTGAACGATTTCCTCCTATATCTGATGTTAACCGAATGTCTTCTGTTTCTGACATACTTGTATACTCGTTTCCGGACATCTGACGTGGTATTGGCTCCTTCTTGCAACACTTACATACGTGGTCTTGGACCTTGCGAAACAAATAGAGGCGTCTGAAACAGAGTTTAAATTACATGGACTGTCAAACGCACCTAACTCTATCCCTTAACCTTACATGTTACAATGCATAAAGACTCCAGTAAAGTAATGAACTAACTCCGGGGGGTAAAATATATTATTTTATTTTGGGAACGCCAGTTATTTTGGTACGTTACCCTTAGAAAGTCCACATACTATTACACACTAGTTTGTCACTTTGTATTAATGGACTTTGGATGGGATACACTTTAGGATTCATGGTACAATATATTTCAGTTTGTACTACAAGTATTTTTTAACAATGTGGATAAAGCATTTGCTGCCCTGTACGGAAAATCTTTTAGGGTCAGCGTTTTTTTTTTATGTTCAAACATCAGTTGTAAATAGATTAGACCTTTTTGATTTGGCTAAAAAAATATAGGCTACATATAGTGCCAATGAACGTTTGTTTAAATGTCGACAGTTTACGTCAAATGCAGTAATAATATTTGTAAACTAACCGAATGCCTCATTGTAAACCACTGTAAATACATGATTTTTTAATATTTGTAATAAATAAACTCAATTTAACACGTTTACAAACTAAATCAAAAGGTTGCAGCTCATTTATCCTACAATCAACTGTTAAAGGGTAACATCAGTCTTTGCTATTTTATTCATTATCTAATATTAAAATAGTTTTAAGAAGCACAGCTCGAAATACAAACTCTATTGACTTTATTAGCAAAATAAGATGCCGACTGTGTCATTATTATTGGAATTGCCAGACACTGTATATAAACAGTGTCATTATTATGGGAATTGCCAGACACTGTATATAAACAAACAAGTTTCACCTAAAACCATGTTACTGCTAGATAATAAATAAAATATAAATAAAAGCTGCAACGACTGCCGTTTTCTTTTCAAAAAAAAAAAATAATTGTATGTGGATCTTCAGTGCCATATTAAAAACGTGGTTCACACAGTTGAATATTCCAGCCAGAACCGCAACATACCTGCAAATACGTGTGCTGAATATACCATATATTACCGGATTAGCCGCGGAATTCAATGGCGCCAAACTCTGAATAAACGTGGATAGTTTTCTGGTAGACGGATTTTTCCAGTCCACATAGCCATACACATCACACAGATTAAAAATAAAATATGGACTCCAACACACAATAAAAACTGCAAAGGAAAGGGTTTACACTGAATTAAATTACGAACATTTGTTTTGTATATTATCGAAATCAATCAATTAAATCGATTGACTAAATTCTAATTTCTGAAAATATTACGTGAAGTTAATGACACAAATATTTCTTTGGTTTATTTCTTTGGTAAACTGAACTGGCATGGCTATTATTTTTTTGCATACACAGGAGACAATACTTATACTGAATTTCGCAATCTGATTCTTTTAAAATCGTCCATGACCCTGTGCACTACAGATGCGCGTGCCAAAACTCCATATTCAAAATAGAAACCTGATAAAATTGTGTCTGCTCAAAAGGAAACGCAGAAATATTTTTTAATACTAAACACAACATAAAAACAACACAGATAGTGTAAATTTCAAAGAAAAACATAAATATAGCGTTGACAGGTAACAGATAGGCCTATGCGACCGATAACAGCTTTGCGAAGGGAAGCCAGGAGACCACAGTATTTCTGGAAACAATAACAAAATTTAACAGCCACCCAGTTTCAGAATGTTTACTCAGAAAAACTTTTAGAGCAACTACAAAGTTTGGTTGACAAGGATTCAGCCTAAAATCGATGGGGGGGGGGGGGGTCAATAGGATTCATCCTTTTCACTGGGAGAACAATTCCAGCAAATTTTAAACAAAATCTCAAAAGCTCTGACCAGTAAAGTGAGGACGGATCAATTGAAGGGGGTAAGGGCATGGAACGGGTTAATTCTGCATGCAATATATTTTTTATATCTTTCTAATCCAGACTCAACGTAAATGGACTAGGTTTGTGGTAGGCCTGGGCTTGATTTTCATAGAAGCTTGCTAACGGGTATCCATCGAAATCTGCGACTACTCCTTACCTAGAACAATAAGAAAGGTCATTTTAATGGTTCTGATTTTAGCTTGAGGAATAACACCACGAGAACTACTACAACTCTCTTTACTGGAGTTACTGCGACTGTGACCATTTAAACATTCTGAAATTCAAAATGAAGAGCTTTATTCTCTTTATCAAAATGCTTGAATATAATGACCAGATATTGATAATTAATTAGCAGCTTGATAACAAGGATAATGTCTATACTGCAAAAATAATAGTAATGTTAAACCGAATCGTTATCTGATGCAAAAAGCAGTACTATGACACATGATTGTTAAATGTGAATTGAAACGGTGGTTTTCGATGGTACGCTTGGCGTAAGGAAATAAGCCCTTTTTTATTTCAACTATCGACTTAAAAATGAAATGAAATGAGGGTTAACGCCCTACTGTTCTGCTCCGACTGGGCTAATGAAGACGGGCATACGCCATGCGGTGTGCGATGAAGAAAATTTTGCCCGGACAGCGGCTCTACGGCCTACTCTTATATCGAATTCCAACTGCCAATGAATCTTTTACTTAATATTACGTTTTATGGGAGCTCATTTTCAAACGAAACAGCCTGTACTTGGCTTTTCGGTATCACAATTAATTTATAGTTCAATCCGCGACAGCAGCAGCGACAGAGATGGTGGTAATAGTCTTTCAAAAAAGTAGGAAATTAGATGAAGTTTTAAGATTTTAATCAAAGTGCTGGTTGACTAAATATAGACTAAATCAGTTTTACAAATCATTGTGCACGAAGTTCCAGAATACTTTATACCAATTCTAATATGGACAGTTTACAACGCATGCAAATGTTTTGTTGTAATATTATTACATGGTATTACAAGGTAATGTAGAAACAGAAACAATGCTAGTTTTATGTTTAGAAAAGAAAGCAAACATCATACCGGTACCTTCATCTTTCGACTTGTAAGACTTGAGTGATTTTTGAGAATCGGACGGTTTGAGTAATCTACTGCTTCTCCAGATGATGGCCACAATAACAACATAACAAATACAGATTATAATAGCTGGGATAACAAATATAACCAGAGCAATCATCGATAAGTACAGCTGAAATAAATAATAACAAATAATAGAAAGACTTGAGTGAAAATAGACAGAACTTATAAATTCTTATATCGAATTCCAACTGCCAAGTGTTCTTGTAGGCGTACGCCAAGGTATTCAGGGTACCTCGGGGTTTCGTGATCTCCGAATGACTATATGATAAACAGCTTTTTAGCTTGTGAGAAATGTAGACTAGGGGATGAAAATATAAAGCGAATACTTAGCATTATCTTATCAAAGCACGCTAAAAATCGAAAACAAGTTTCAACTCCAACCAAAAACTCCCATTTATTAGTCAAACCACATAGAAATTATTTAAGAATGACGTACCTGCCATTGCCACGCCTCTGTTAAATCTATATAACACTGTGGACCACCATAGTGATGTTTCTCCTGGAACAAAAATAACTGTGGTGCTGCAAACAACAGAGATATCAACCACGCTGATCCTATCAATATCTTCGCTCGTAACCCTGAAATTATACAGATAAATAACTAGATATCATTATACTCTTGGTTGACGGGCAGGTTCTACTTTTTTTTTCATCTATGTCAAACAACATCCTGGTTTTGTAATTTTAACTACATTCTGATCTTGTAATTTTAACACTTGTTACCAGCCATGAACAATGGAGATTTTCAAAGAAATCTAATTTCTGGCCATTTTACTCGTCCCACTGGGAAATGAATTCATGCACGAGCCCCTTGCTGATAAGCTATCAATTTTGTTTTTGTTGATCTATGATGTCATACTAGATTTCATTATTTCATTCTTTAGGGCTGAAAGTTTAAGCCAACAACCCTTTCACTGGTTATTAATTTAGTAAAATATATATACTTGTTTCAGAATGTAAATCTGTATGAAAAGCAAGTACATAGTTCCTATGTTTAATCTCTTTTACAATCCATACTTTAATTCATTCCAAAATGAAGCGATTATTTTGTATTTGATTAATGATGTTAATCATTCATTTTTATTCTTTTATATGATTTTGTCTACTCAGTCATTTTAAGATTTCCATAAAAATACCAGACATATTTCATTGGGAATATCATTTTCATTAAAGAAATGATATAAACTTGAGCCAGTAAGAAATTCTGGCTGGCCCGATATTCTCTCTGTTATTCAAATCAATTTGTCCAATTACTAACTAAAAGCTTTCTCCTATATCTAGTTGTGATCAAAGTGGTCAACTTATTTGCTCCATTTTCTCATATTGACATGTAAATTGATTTAATGTGGTCGATACTTTAATCACTAGAGAATTTACACACCCCCTCAAGGCATACTCGACGTTTCTCCTACACAAACATTTAACAGAAACACTGGGAAATTTGAAAAATAAAACCCGTTCTGAAGTGTTAAAAAGAAAACCGTCCTGAAGGGCAAAAATGAAGATCGATGCTGCAGAACCCAGTCATTAAAATAAGGACTCTTTTCATGGTGTATATGAATACGCATGTGGTAACTGTCATAAATATAGGCATATTAGTCAAATTCAGCCTAAAATACGCGAGGTATTAATCTTTTAAAGGGCATTTTTTTTATCGGATTCAAAACTGCCGTTGCAGTGGTTACGTGTAAATAAGGTGTCATTTATAACCATTAAGTCCTGGCCCCGGTTTTACAAAGCATTCTCTGACTTACATTAAGAATTTACTCAACTTTCAATCACTGTTTATGCGAAATATCTCTGATCCAGAACACACAAATTTGGACATAGTTCCTCAATGACGTATTTAATACATTAAAACAATAAAAGTTTTATAAAGGGCTATATTTTAGTTATAATAAAGCGAATAATTTTAAATAAATTCTTAACCTAAGCCCGAGAATTCATCGTGAAACCGGGGCCTGTATGGATACTAGCAGATGTAAGTTTTGCTCAAATAGACATCTATCTTCTATATATATATATTTGTGACTGTCGTTTGTCTGTCTGTCTGTCTGTTCGGGGTTGGCGGCTACACTAGGTCTGCCCCGAGTCTGAAATGTAGGGTATAGGGGTAGCTCGGACCGGGGAGTAACATAGGCCAGGTGGCGTTAGTCTACCACTTCCGGTTTCGGAGTTATGACCCCCGAGCGAAGCCGGGTATTCTGCTAGTACTTAATATTTTAGACATACACACTTATAACGCATATTCGGCGCACGAAAATACTCTAAACTATGGAAGAACCATAACGTAGCAACAATATTTAGTGTTACAGTTGTCAACAGGTACACACATACCTTCATTAAGTTTCAGTCTCGATAATCCTATTTTCCGTCTATCTGTTGAATAAAGGTTTGTTTCTACGTAAGTTCGTTAAACCCCAACTTGTTTAGGGAAGTGTCTCATCTTTTGACATTGCGTGTCAATTATTCACACCACATCTATTTGATTTCGCTTTGTTTACGTAGCTTTATTTCCAAACAAAAGGCCAGAAATTTTAGTTTTAACGACATATTTTATTTCTTTGAAGTGGAGAACGGTCGCGAAATCACCAGATGTTTACTTCTCTTATCATCTTCAGACCTAATTTGTTTCATTTGATGATCTCCGTTTCGTAGGATAATACGAAACGAAGACTAGTTTTAAAAGCTTGACTTTAATCAGACGAGTTAATATATTTGTCAAGATGACACTATGGCAAATCCGAGACTATTGGTTAATCGCGGATCAATTGAAGCCAATCAAACTTCATAGGTTACAAGAAATGTTGAGAAGTTAAAGGGGAAATAGAATTAAGGGTGATAGGAATCTAATAATCTCTAGCCAATATTTCTTGTTCTCCTTAAAATGTCGTCCGGACATTCAAATAGATTCACTAAACAAGTTTAAATATACGCATGCGCGATACTCAAAAGATATCAACTCCGCCCAAACATTTCGGGTTGGCGGAGTATGGAGAATTGCTATAAACAGAATATAAGCCAGACACAAGTTTGATGCACTTTAGAGCTGGCGAAGAAGCATTATGTCGATTATCATCAAGACCATTTCAAAGGCAGTACCAACATGTAGCAGACATTTTCCTCACCTCTTCCTTTAAACACTGCTGTGACATCAAGTGTTTTATATAAAATTGTAAGCGCTGGAGATTACGATATGATTCTTCTATTAGCTTTCAGAACAGATATCTGATGCCCCTTGTCAATACTCTTCAAATACGCCTGTCACTTGATGTTAACAGTTCCAATAAAACCTGGGTATTTCTATAGACATTAATTATTCTATTTAATCATGCGATACCGATGAAAGTTTCTTAAGTGCATTGTATAGTTAATATGGAGAATAAGAAGTCATGGTTGTCCTGGTTGATCAGTACAGCAGTCGGGAATATGATCATGCGTTAGAATCCATATCAGGACAATCCTAATTAATGTCAATCTATTATTTTTGGTAAGGAAAACGATAATTTGGCAATCAACGACATCAGCTTTAATATTAAAAAAAAGTTATATGGGATGAAAAATTCGCGAAGAACTTACTTGATATGTCATGAAACTGAAGATATTTCACTTTACATTATATGAAACTGAATGTAACAAACTTTATGTTTTATGAAACTTAATGTAACTTGCTTTATATGTTATGAAACTGACGTATTTCACTCCATGTGTTATGGAACTGAACATATTTCACTTAATGTATTATAAAATTAAACGTATTTTACTTTATGTATTATACAATTAAGCATATTATACTTTATGTATTATACACTTAAACATATTTTACTTTATGTATTATACAATTAAATATATTTTATAGAATTAAACATATTTTACTTTATGTATTATAGAATTAAACATATTTTACTTTATGTATTATAGAATTAAACATATTTTAAAGAATTAAACATATTTTACTTTATGTCTTATAGAATTAAACATATTTTACTTTATGTATTATAGAACTGAACGTATTATGGAACTGAATATACTTGACCTTATGTATTATGAAACTGAACATATTTTACTATTTCGTCAATGACTAATAGAAATTAATACATAACTCTTTTTTTTTATCAAATAAGGGAATACGGTTTCTTACTAGTTGCGCATTACACGTAAAAATGTCAAAAGAATGTACAATGTGTAATAATATTCGGAACAGCACCAAAATCCGGAAGAGAAACAGGTAATTAAGTTTTAAGTGTATCCTGTTCTCGTAGAAAAGGACATCAGTGTAATCAGTATAGTATTTGACTTGTAATTATCACACTTTAAATACAGACTGCATCCATTATAAACTGTAATAATTACAAGGAGACCTCTGAACTTTAGCTATAAACATCATTAAATTGAGTGAAGAAAATGATACCATTTGGAGAGGTTCTAATAATACAATTATTCAACACTGACCTAAACTACAATTAATCTTGTTTTGAGACATCTGCTAGCTATATATGGATCATAATATTTCCATAATTATGAGAACGAATGAGTTTGTACTTACAACTACCAGAGAAGTTCATTGGTCTGGCCACAGCATCTAATCTATCAATACTAAGAGACACCAACATAAAGGTTGATGCGTACATCACTGCTGCCTGATAATATACAACAATAATACAATATCATCAATATTTACCAGTTATACAATAATACAATATCATCAATATTTACCAGTTATACAATAATGGATACTGGAGAAAAACAAACTCATACAAAATAATCAAATTATAACTTCCCGATTTTATATTTCAAGGTTCCAGAAACTTGCAAGCTATTAATCACCTTCTACATTGAATAACTGTCAGTAAAATTGAAATTAATATAGTTTCTAATTGAATCCATGCGTTAAGCTCATTGAAAATTTAAATTAATGCCTGTAATTATACACTCGCTAAAGACCAGAATGCGGAATATTTTGTGTGAAGTAATTGTAGCGTTCAACAGATCATCGTTGAGAAAATTTAATTTGATTTCTCTTGTCTGTGACAAATTCACTGTGCGAGTTGCTAAAGAAACACCTTATGCAGCATCTAATTAAAGCTTTTTACTATTCCTTTATTGTACACGAAAAGGTCAACAAATATTTCTTGGTGTATTCCGGCTTTCCAGCTATCTGAACAATCATAGATACCCTTTAACAAAGGCTTTTCTGCTTAAATGGTCAATAAAGGATTCTTGTGTATAATGGTTTCGATTATTAATTTCGAACTAAAGAATCTGACCGTTACCCAAAATAATGAGTACAATTGTTTAACAAAAATTTGTTAGCTACAGAGAAGTGATATCTAGTTTTCTAGAAGTGTAAACATGACCCTAGTGCACGGCATCCGATACCTCCTACAGATATCCAGAGATATGGTTTGGACATACATAAAATTTGCCCCATGAATACCATGAATGATATCCTGGCGTCAATCTGATTAAAATACAGATCTATATTTCGTTTCGTTTTTTATACTTTCGATGGCCTACGGTAGACGAAGATCTGACCAGTTATACTGGGAGGTCGCGTCAGGGGTCATACGAGCGGCTTTTGACCACATGACGTCAGACATTGATTAATCAATCAGCGTTGACGCTTCTATTGGTTTACGCCGTAACAGATCGTTTCATTGGCTAATTCCTCACATCAACTAGAACGCCTGTTGTATAACAACTCTTCCAGATCCTAGTGTAGTAAAGACAAGTAAAACGAAATTTTAAACTATAAAAAATGAAACGAAATAGGATCTGTGTTTTAATCAGATTGTCCTGACGTGATCCACCAGGCCGGGAGCACAACATGATTTCATGCTATTGCATTCGAGATTGGATTACAGAAAATGCCTAGGAATGTCGAGTGACCCGGGGTCATGTTCATGTTAAAAATTAAATGTATAATTACCCTTGTATATTGTATAAATCTACACATGATGTCTCCAGCATACCAATATATAGTTATCTTTGTGATCAGGTCAAATAATACATTCAGAGGACCATTTAATAGATCTAAAATATTAAAAATATATGTTCTAATTAATATTTAAAGTACGTTTCAACAGAGCTATTTTATCATAATTTCATTGGATATATATAATGATGGAAACATAATTTGAAATCAATCGTTCGATCTCGTTTACAGGGAGTAAAACTAATCTAAGCCTTTTTGGAGAAGAGGTGTGTGTCTGTGTTGTGTTGTGCGTGTGTTTGGGGGGGGGGGGCACTTTACACTGCAAACTGTATAACATGTACGGATATTGTTGCTCAAGTCAGATAATGATGGGCTGGTTGTGTACCACGGTGTCCGTTTGAATAAAAAAGGAAAGTTATGTGCATCTGAACAAGATAAATCTGTCGATCGTACTTGACCCTGAGCAGGTGCAAACAAGATTAGAAGAAAACCCATGCTATTGATAATGGAAAACATAAGAGAAAAAAAGAGAAATTAACGAATGCATGAATTAAATTACAATTCTTGTCTCGTCTTCTCAAGTGAATACCACAAATAATTCAGAGGGTTTTTCAAACAACAAAAACTGCTTCAATGTTTAATGTACCTTGCCAATATGGAACCTCGATTTCGACATTCAATTGATGTAAATAAAAATGATCCGAGAAGAAAGAACCATGTTCAAATGTCTTCTTTGATTATATAAAGGGACAATTCTACGGTGAATGAATTCAGTCATGTTAATTACCATTCATTATTCACCAAGAATGATTGTAATTGGAATTAAGGTTAAGAGTACACTGTGAAAACATGTATCCATCTCCATAATCCTGACTTTCTAGGATACAGTATTTTACCTTTTGTATATAGTTAATTCGTTTGTTTATGTCTTGCCTCAAATACGTGACGCACGATTGTCATCGATTCTTCGATAAATTATGATACACATTTTAATGCCGATTCAAATAAATTGCTCAGATAGTATGTTCATGGGTCGTATATTCCCGAAGTAAGTCTATGTCAATCGAGTCAATCTACTGAAAGACAGCATTATGTCACTCAAGTTTCTTTTGTGTTTGAATGATTTGTTACGAACATTCGTTATGTCTTGGACACGCAGTATTTACAAAGTCGGTGTTTTCCAAAATGGGTGATATCGCGATGAGAGAACGTCTTAAGAGTCAATGACTACAAAATATAACGTGGTCGAGTAAATTTCATAATTTAAAGAGAAACAAAACTGCTTAATGGTAAAAATAAACGAAACCCTGATATCACATAAGTGAAGATTAACAGTTTCAGTCTACTTTGTAAAATGACGATTAGATCTGGATTGTCTGATGCACCTGCATTGTGGACCAAATTCACAATAGTATCCATTGCCATCCCGGTTTCTTACAAACCAGAGGAAGCGACTCAACAACATGACATAACACCCATCAATGATAACGGAACTTGCAACAAATATAAAAGTGAAATATATGCCCCAGAACTAATATTAAATAAATAAAACTCTGGCACTATAACTGCATCAGTTTTTGACTTGGATATTAATATAATTAACAGTAGATTTAATGTCGGTATTTTCGACAAAACGGACAAATCTGGCTTTGAAGTGCTAAAATACCCGTCAATTAAAGTAACATACGCTATATAATGTTTTCTATTCACAGGCATTACGATTTTTAACAATATGTAACGATAAACAACTATTTCTTTCTGAACTAAAATCTCTTTATTTTAAGTACACTGCCAAAGGCGGAACACAATTACACATTTTAAAAGAAATTTCGAAACTTCCATTTGTTCAACATACCAAGTTTGACATTTCTTATAAGTATATAATTGATTACATATTGGGAAATAATCTAATTTAATAATTATAATTATATTTAAATGTTCAGCAGTTTCCTAATTCTATCTGGATTATAAATACACTTTTATCGTTTGATTTCTTGAACATACCTAGTTTGCATATCTTATAGGTGTATTTATTATATTTTGTGCAATAACATAGCTGAATCATTCCGACGACATCCTAAATTGATAGTTTATTAACTTTTTATTGTTGGTTTTTATGTAGTAGTTATTAGCACACTTTCCGAGGTGTATCGGTGAAGATCAGGACTGGGCCCCCGACCAAAACTGTCCTGATCTTCAACAATACACCGAGGAAAGGTGCTAATAAGTCACTTACATCACATTTCTATCGAGTATTGTGAAGCGAAATGTGAAAAATAGTATTTATTATCGAGTCGTGTCAAGCGAAATGTGACAAATACACTGAAAAAACCCTTGTGTTGGATCTCAACACAAGAACTTGTGTTAAAAATATTTAACACATGTTTGTGTTGTATTGCATTGCAATGACACAAGTTTGTGTTCTTTTCAATGTCTTAACACAAACTTGTGTACATTTATAAAATCTTATGTGGGTTTTTTTCCATATAATTAATTACGTCGACATTAAAGATAACATTTATTATGTTCCTTTATCGCATTATGTTTTTTATTTATTGAGAAAATCTGAATGGGATTGGGGAACTGGATTAGGGATCTGGCCTAGCCTATATGTAAAACCACTCTTCCTGAATTTGAATGTCGAGTAATTCACTTGATTTATTTTTTAATATTTCTAATTATCTAAAAGGATATATTAATTATTACAAACATTAAGTAGAAATCGCAATGTATGTATCGTGCGATGCATTTAATAGCTCTTTTAAAACAACGTATTTTATAACAGTATACTGATATAAGAGATCAAAGTTTTAGTCAATTATTATCTAAATATAAACTATTTATTTAATTAGATATAATAAAAGATTATTCTGATTCTACTCTTTGTTTATTTTCACATCTTGTCTAAGACAATATACAGAGACAGGTTATTACAATGTCTGCATTTGGAAGTGTCTGATTGATATCGCCCCAATAAACTTGACACATCAAAGACAATAACAATTGTGTTATATCTACGTTTTAAAAAAATGTTTGAATGGGCGTGGAAATAGTCGAGTTAATCTTTTTATTTCATTTAATTGGTTCATTAATCGAAATTGGAAATTTATTCTTACCTGTAAATGACCAATTAAAATGAATTACTCTTAAAACAAAGAAAGAAATATTTATTGAAGTAATTTTGCGGTATTAAACCCTGTGGTACTGCAAATGTTAACTGTATTATTAAGCATTAGTATCGAAAAAAGTGATATTGTTGTGAAAAAAGTTTGTTCAGAAAATAAGAATATCAGGTTTGTGATTTTGGTATTTTTTAATACAATGTATTTATAACGCAAATTTTTCGTTTCGGTTAAAACAAAATATACGTCCATTTTAATTGGCCGAAGGATGTGTGACTAATAGAAATATGGCGGGCGGACAAACTGACCAAACAGTATATTTCGAGGTATTTGAGGTAAGCTAATTTAATATTATATCATAACTGCATGTGCATAATTGTGTTTCTGTTTGATTAAATATTCAAAAAATCATTCTTAGGATACAACCTCGACACCAGTCCGCCCTGAATTGCAATGTTTGTTTTGTGTTCTGGGCGCCATTTTGAATATAATACAATCCAGCGATAATGTAGTCTAATTCCTTTAAAAGGGAATCCGAATTTGTTAATTTTCTGCAATATCACTTCGGTGGAAGCGGACGTTAAATAAAGCTATTTCACGTACAAAGACCTACAATAAAATCCAGGTGAATTGGGAAAAATATTCATGTATTTTCTTGATGAAGAGTAGCTATTTCAATTTGTAAATGCCCAGTCATCTTAGACAAATAATAATTCCAACTTCAAATCAGTTGTATTTATTCAAATCATACCATGAAGAATTGTATTTTTCCACTTGCATAATAATAAAAACTTGACTTTTATTATTTTATTTCTTCAGGCCAAGAGCATGGAAAATTGGTGATTGCCTTGTATCACTGCTAACTATAAATCACAGGGAGCCTTGGGCAGAAATGATAATATGGTTCTCAGATATGATACTGTGTACAGACTGAACAGAAAATATTTATACACTTGCTATTACAGTACTGGCCAAATTAATAGCAATTTTTTCTAAAAACGTTGCAGAAGTAACTCACTAAAATTGAAGTATGAATAAAATCATACACCGTGAATATATTGAACTGAATATTTTTACACATAACCATAGGCGTACGGGGAAATTTTTGACTGGGGGGCGGTGGTGGTTGGTGCCCCAAAAATGTAGTTAGGTTCTTAATATGTTACATAATAATAATAAATTCGCTGTTAAATTGGAAACATTCAAGAACACAATATTTTTTTATACAACTTTTACAAAGTACAATTGTGTGCCCAAATTTTCCCAGCCCCCCCCCCCCCTCAGCTCGTACGCCTATGCACATAACCATATTGACATCTACTTCACATTGCATGGTTGGTCGACGCAACGCCGTGTATAGATAAAGTTGCGACAACTGTGAAGCCAGGAATTTCATATGACGTCATGCAAACTTATTATCTATTTATATGACCTATTATATTGTTGGATGTCATAGATTTCAGCTTGCCGCTGAGGGGGGGGGGTCCCCAAGAAAATTATCCGTCATTTCCTTGCATCTGTAGCCATTCCAAGAGCTATTTCCCAGACTGGTGTGTTTGAGTCGATGGTTCGAGTCATTTGGGATCCCTACAACGGGTTGGGAACGGACATATTTGAGTCTGAGAAAAGGCACTTTCAGCCGTAAAAAAGGGCACTGTTGAAAATTAGGGGGGGGGGCGCCCCCCATTGAATCCGCCTCTGATTAAACATATTTAACTTGCATTCGCTTTTAAAGGAGCTAAATCGCTAATATTTGGGAACTAGAAATTGTCACAAATGGGTCGCACTAACCTTGATGTTGACAAATACGTAAGACGATATGAACATCAAGGTGATATATGCATATATGCACCATAGATAATTAAAACTTCTATTCAAGTGAAACCAACTGTATCTATTTATGTCTTACGTCGAGCTGAATACATTTTATGATTTATTGTGATTAAAACATCTATTGGTGGTTAACCGAGTGTAAC